TAAGCTTCGATTCAGGTTGTCACCCCCCCCTTACAAGCCGCCACAAGCACCCCAACCACCCCACACCCCACCCATGTACACATGCCAATCCCAACACGTGTCAATTGTGGCTCAGATTCGTTTGCTGTTTTTCCTCGCCTTTTTGTTTTTTGTTTTTGGCCTGCGTTTGGGCTTCAAACACACAAGCTTCGGGTCATTAAATAAAGCGACGGCCAATGCGCAGGGAGATGGTTCTGTATACATATATTCAGGCGTAAACAGTCAAAGGACGAAGGACTCGGATGGAAAACCCCTTGTAAAAAGTACGAAGCGAATTATTTGCAAACAAAAGTGCGAGAAGGGGAAGTGATTTACTTTATCGATAGACATAAAACAATTTGGCTGCCTCTCAATGACAGTTCTCGTTCCCGGATCCTCAACCTCTCGTCGTCGGCCTCGTCCTCGTCCTCACTGTACAGTCGTCCCCATCCTGCCTGCCATCCTTCCTTCCTGCCATTCCACCCCAACATCTGTCATTTGTGTGTGCGCACATATCTTCGATTCCTTTTGTTTGGTTTTCTGGTTAAATTTTATAAGGTATAAAAATTACTTGTGCCCTCTTTCTCGCCCCGAGCCTTTGGTCCTTGATTCCTTGAGGAGGAAATTGCCCAAAAACTTTCGCTCTTTAATTTTTTACGACCGAATTTTACACAAGGAGAAACTGCATTTCAATTTTTGATTTTATAATCAAGTAAATGTATTTTCAATAGAACACTTAAGAATTTTAATAATGAAATTTCCTTGCAATTAACAGAAACTTTTTTTTGTTCGATATCTAAATCCCTAAATTCATTCCAGTTTTTTTTTTTTTTTGTGGTACAGTGTACACTGTTTACTTTCCGCACTTCGCATCTCCTCGTATTTTCCACCTTGTTCACTTTTGCATACGAAATGAAAACAGGACTACCCTGCACTTCCTTCCTGGCCAGGACCTGCTCGTTCTGGGTCCTAACTGTTGCTGATTTATGGTCTGACATAAGATCGGGGGACAGAACACTGGTGGAGCGGATGGGGATGTTGGATGAGTGTTTAGTTTGCATGTCGTTGGTGCTGCTTCTCCGTTCCTTTTGCCTTCGAGTTTTACGTTCGGTGCCTTTGCTTTGTAGCATTAAAATGACATAATAAAATGTATAATTTCGACATAAAAAATAAAATCCCCAGAGAGATTTCTTTGCACCCGAGGCGAGGCTTCTGCTTCTGCTTCTGGTTGTTTTCCGCCTTCTGGTATCTGCCATCTCTCACACTTTCACCCTCTCTATCTCACATGCCACACTTTGATTGCCGAGCGAAGGTGTAGCATATCAATTAGGTGTGTGGGTCAATAGTTTAAGTGGGCCAATGATGGAGGTGAAAGAGCAAGGCAACGGCAACGGCAACGGCAACCCAATGATGGGCTCACAGTTGGCATCATGGCCGAAAAAGGATTATGTTTCGTGCTCTCTGAGTGGTCATTTGAGTCATCAGTTTGATGTATCTGAATCTGTATCTGAAGTACAGACATTCTGGGTGCAAACCAATAGTAAGTAAAGGGTTTGAAATCAAATTCGCTTTGCTATTGTCAAGGTCAATTTATGCATTTACATTGTGCTCACACATGGATTCATTAACTATTCCCTTTTAAACTGATTGAGTTGAAAAGCGGTTAGGGAATGTCGACTCAATAATTCGATTTATTACACCTTTAAATCATGCATGAAGCAAATCTCCTCTTTGTCCCATCAACCAATCCGCATAAGTGGGCTCCTTAGGCAGACCATATAATATATATACCCATATATATATAGATTTGTTCCACTCCTTGGCAACCACTTAGCTATTCATAACTGGCACACACAACCAGACAAATTTTAATAATTCAACTCTATAATATGGACGCAACGGAGGAAATTCGCTTTTTGGCCAATGCCAAAGGCAGCGAATGATAGAAAGTCGGCCAAAAAGGGGGCGACCGAAATGCAATAGAATGCGGACAGCCGAGTGGGTGGTTGGGTGGTGGGTTGGGTTGGGTTCGGTTCGGTTTGGTTTGGGGGAAATCCACAAAAACCCAAAAACTTGTGCGCGTGTGTGTCTGAGTGCCACACAGGGTGTAGTACATTTCCCCCCAGAAAGGCGGCAAAAACAAAAAGCAGTGGGAAGGGCACAAAGTGCAGTCAAAAGGGGGATGAGCATCTGGTGGTGCTGCTGGTGGAGGTGCTGCTGGTGGTGCAGGGGTAAACCGCGCTCTAGACACACATTAAAATTTCAATTTTGGAGAAATTAAAATTTTATCAGTTTGTTGAGAGTGTCGCACACGTTTTGTGCGCTTGTTGGTTTTCACTTCTCATTGGTGAGGCACCCAGATCCCAACTAATATTATATACGGGCAGACAAAAGTCATAAATGACCAGAAACTCAAACACTAAATTGTACGTGTTTTAAATTTGTCTATAGGTTTTTGAATCTGGCCATATTAAAGCGTGGCTTATGAAAAATATAATTGTAAAATACCTAAACAGTCTCTGGATAAAATTCTTTAAATTAATTAGGGTTATGGTCTTATCCGTGTTGGTTATGTTAAGACCGGAAAACATTATGTTTTGCAAACGCAGCCCGTTTTTACAGCCCGGATTTTCCGCCTGGCACATTTTTGGGCATCAAATAAGGGCTCAAGAGTTTTAGGGACCACTAAAGCTCAACTTAGAACCCACACCCGTCCGCCCAGACGGAAGTGGTCTAAAGAAATCTGTTATGGTTAAACTTTCGAATGAAAAAAATACCAAGTTTTCGACAAATTGCAGCGAAAAGTGCACAATGGTTTAGCCATGGGGAAACAGTGCGTGGCGACGCCGGCAAAATGTATAACAAAACCCGAAACACGGAGAAAAGAGTGAAGAAAAGTAAACCAAGGAAGTTACACTACAATTTTCCGACTATAATAAACGCTATCCTATAAAAAAACATACCTAATGGAAAGTCAGTCAATGTTCATAAATACTTTGATATAATCATTTTTACATTGGTACCTATCTTTAATTTAACTGTTGGCTTAACTAAAAACCACTTAACTTTCAAGATTCATTTTTATCTGAAAGTGTAATTTTGACAATGTTGATCTTAATTAAAAAGTTTTTTGGGGATTAAACCGTAAGGATACGATGATACACAACACAATTCAACGTACCCTTTTCCGCTTCCCGAAGAAGCGGACACGAAAAACTTAGATTTTTCTACTTTTGCGCAAGGTGGGACAACAGACGACAGGCCAGCGGAAAGTGGGCGGTGGGCGGTGGAGAAAGGAGGCGGGTTCCCAGCCGTCTGTTGGTAGAGAAGAGCAGCCCAAGAAAACCCGCAAAACTTGGCAACGCTCTCTCGCTCTGTTTATTGCATGGCGCTAAAAGCAACTGGGGACCGTTTTTTCTTCTCTTTTTCAGCTTTTTTGGTGGGGACTGCTCTTTATACGTACATACGTATCTATTATATGGACGTGCATGTGCTTGTTTGTTTGTTTGTTTGTTTGTCTGCCTGTGTGTGCGCAGTAAATGTGGGCGTACAATTTTCAATTATACATTTTAGTGGCCGCCGCAGCTCATTGACAATAAAAAATGAGAAAATGAGGAAAAAGAACCGGAAAGAAAAGGGGTCGGTCGCAGAAATGAGAAAAGTTTTTTAGGAGATCCGATTTGCTGTCTTGTGCGTAGCATTTGGTTTCCTGTGAATGACGGACAATAATGAAATGTCCAGAGATTAAACTTGGTCCTAGAACAGTTTATTGGGCCCAGAACATCAGACATGATAGGTTTATTTTTTAAATCTAATCTACCTATAATTCGTATAGATCGGAATACAGCTTTTTACACCACTCGAAAAGCAATCTATTTATATTTGAATACTAAGAAATATTATAAAGCGAATTATCAAAAGTGATCGACTTACCGTGGCTTAGTTAGTTTTTTCATGTGTATATCCATATGGAGGATCTAATCGTTGCCGGTGCTGCAATAGTTGGGTGACTCATGGAAGGAAATCCTTCCGCCCTAAATGGGCGTTGAGTTAATCCAAGGCCTCTGGACTTCGTTGCAGGGAAAACTGTGTATCCTTGTTCCTGCCCCACTCGATACCCGACTCCTTGGGGTTCTTCTGTTGACTCTCCGTGTTGTGGGATGCTTAAGTTGCCGATGTTTTTTGGGCACCGCATTAGTTGTTGTTTTTGTTGTTTTATTTGTTGCTATTGGCAGGTTGCTAGCGTTGTTTAAATTTCAATTTTAACATTTAACAATTTACTGATTTATTATTGATAATATTGCTCGATTCGCTGTTTGTTGAGGTTGTTGTTGTTTTACATAGTTTTTAATCTTGTTTGGTTGTGTGGTGTTGTTGTATTTAATTAAGCACTTGGGGCGCATATATAAAATTTGTTATTCATTATTTAAACCTATGAATAATAGGATAATTTGATTTTAATATTGGAAATTTCTCATAATTTTCATTTGTATTAATATTTAGAATAATTTGTTGTAATTTGCACTTGCTTTTTTTTGCAATTTTTTTCAAAGTTCGTTTTTATTCTTATCTATTTACCGATAAAGTAATTTTCTTAAAGTAATTGCGTTGGTTGATTTTGAAGCTGTTTAAACTTTTGCGGATTGTAAAAATGGTTGTTTTATTTGATGGATGTAAGAAATATATATTTATATTTATACGGTATATGTTGGTGTAGCTGTAATATCGCTTGGCTACATTAAGATTTGATTGCACCGTTAGAGTATAACGCACTTTTTCCACGACTTCCTATCTTTCTTACGATTCCCGTTTGGTTTGTTAATTCCCTTCGACCGATGTATATATTTGTATGTTTTATGTGCTATGGCTATGTATATGCATATGTATATAATGCGTGTATATATAATAACTATTGGAAGGCGTACTTTTATAGGCTTGCTAAGTTCTGTTCAAAATTGTTATGCGTTTGTTAAAGCTAATGGCTACGAGTTTGTTAATGCAGTGTTTTAATAAGTTGTTTTTCTTTACTAAATGTTGAACTTTTTACTCTCCGGTTTTATATTTTATTTGTTATTGCTTGTATTTGAGGCGATTTTAATAATAAAGTTGGCTGCAAGTATCAAAGCGGGTTTTTAAAGTGCTTATAGTTATAGTTGAAAGAAATGTGTCAAACAGTTCGACATGTTGTACACCAACAAATTAGGCGTTTCCCACCCAATAAGCTTCAAAAACCCCCTTCTTTTGGAAAAGATCTTCCAGCTGCAACAACAAAATTTCCACAAAAGAAAACCACACGCAAGGACACACACACACACACACGTAGAGATATTCGCTCGTGCTCTCGCATCTCGCGCTCTCTTTCTTTTGCTCTCCCAGCAACAGCTGTTGATCGCAATTGCAGCAAACACACACACACCGATGCACTGATTACATACACGTTTATAAATGTTGATGAAAGAACAGCAGGTGTTAAATATAAAATCAAAAATGTAGCGTACATAGCGTCGTAAAGAGATGAACGAGAAAATTATCGCGATGTATCTGCTCTGTTGTTGTTTGTGTTGCTTCCCATTCATTCATTAGTTGTTGTGGTTGTTGTTATGGGAAGAGCAACAGCAAAGGGCAACGCACCGCTTCAAAAAAAATTTTTCCTTTCCTTTTTGGCGTTTCTTTTGCCTAACAACAACAAATAATAATAAGAAGAAGACGGCAGTTCCGTTAGCCAAAGCAAAGAGAGCGAGAGAGTGACCAAGCGATCGTGCGACAAAATGAGAGTGAGCGAGCGAGAGAGCATGAAATCACACGGTCCAGGTCCAAAAGTGCCGTTTGAAAAATTGACAATAAAAAATGCGCATTTCACTTTTTTCGCGCTCTCCTCTTTTTCAAGCCTCTTCTGTTCCGTTTTCGAGCTGGTTGTTGTTGTTTTTATTTGCGAAAGCGAATTTGTTGTATTTGATCTGTTGATTTCCATTCGATTTGCATTGGAAATTTCGCCAGCGAGCGAGCGAGACAGAGCGAGAAGGGGTAGAGGGGGGGCGGCACATGTGCTCCATTTTTTCATTTGCACTCTTCACTTTTTAAACTTACGTTTACGAAATTGAACTTTGCACAGGGAAAAAACATTGATTGCACACAAACACACACTTTTCTTATATGCAAAATAAACAGATTGCAAGCACTTTAGTTGGAATTTTATTGGAAATTTTCGGTTGGGCGGCGCGGTTTTTGATATTTTTTCTACACATTTCTTTGGCTTTTTTCGCTTACATTTTTTACACGCCGCGACGATTTTGTGTTCGACCGGCTGCGAAATCCAAAAAGTACTAGCTTTAGCTTTACCGTTACTCGACGTTTCTCTCTGGGTACGTTTTGCATGATTTCCCCTCTCCCTACTTGTTGGTTTTCCACAAGCGAACCAAATTGCTAGATCAAACACGCTGCACCGGAATGTTTGATACAACGTTTTGCAACAGTTAGGAAAACAGTGATTAAGCAAATGAAGCAATTAAAATAGGAAATTCTGAATGAATTTTTTCGATAATCGCGACATGGTGTCCTCCAGCTATTATCGCTTTCCCAATTGCAAAACTGTAAGATACGTACATAGTTCATTAAACAGCCGTTGAAGTCAAACATTTCCGTTGAAGGGGAACCAACAAGTTCGCTTCGACCCAAACGCAACTCGCACTTACGCTCTCAAAACTTAATGAAACCACTCTCTCAAATATCTCTCTCTGTCTCGCGTGTCGCTCTTTTTCACTGTAAACCAGCAGCAAACAATTCTGTTCCTTAACAGTGCTAAAGATCGTCTTTAGTTTGTTCATTGTTCATTGATGATTATGAAGATAAAAAATTAAAAACTTTTATTTAGTTAAATTCATTAATGTCATCTTTTAAGCGCATAAAAGTGGATCATAGAGTGCCGATTGTATAAATTTAAATTCCTATTCGGGACCGTGCGAATTACAAAAGAAAAAGAGCACACTCCTCTTGGTTTTTCCTCTTCTTTTCTTCAGCGATTTTCTTTTGTTCGAATTGTTTTGTAATTTTAATGACGTCGCACTTCATTTCAATAATAAAATCAAAAGAACTTCCCAGACAACAAATTAGCTTAGAAGGATCTTTAGATTAAACAGGAATGCACTTTTTTTTGGTTATTTTTTATGTGGGTTCAAAAATCCATTTAAAAGTACCCGGACGGCGGACGTGAATGAAGGCATGTTTTTCTTCGCTCCACAAGAGGAGTGAAGTTTTGTATCTTACATTCACACCTAATAGGTTCAGAAGTCTAAAAAATTCATTTCAGAAAATTTATTGTACAGTTTTTATTTAAAAAAATGTTTTAGAGTGACTATGCTTACTCTATAGATTTATGTACGCACAAAAGTCAACTAAGCTCTTTGACCATGCCTAATCACAAATTTAAATGGTGATTAAAAAGTGTTGCCAATTCACTTTCTTGAAATCGCAGTGCAAAATTTATTTATGGGATTGTTCTGACGTCGTATGACAGTCTTATTTCATCAGAAGTTAAAGAGGCTCAGAGTTTGCTCAAACCTAATAATATTAACAATTTTAGATTATTTGCAATGGCTGCAATGGCGAATGGACTATTGGAATGTCGGCTTTCAAACAATTAACAATTGTTCTTATCAGAATTTGTTTGAGGTGTGTGTGTGTGCGACTTTTGCTCTCTCGTTTTTGCTCTCTCCCCTTGTTATAGCATTCGCATTCTATTTTAAGCCATTTACTTGTCTTTCACTTTGTTTTGTAAAATCAACACGATTGATATATACATTTTATTAACTTTTTTCTGTTCCAGCTAATCTTTTTACGGAAAAACCCTTAAATAATAGATAAAAACAAAAAGCGAACAAACCCAAACACTCACACGCACACAACAGCGGAAGAGCACGCGAGAGAGAGGGAGAGCGAGTGGCGGCATTGTCCGTCTGGCATTTTGACGTTTATTACTTCGCCTTTATTGTTGTTGCTGCTGTCTTTGCCTCTTTTTTTACTGCCTTTGCGCGCGAATTCGCTGCGCATAGCAAATTAAAATTAAAAGTTTGCCGAGAGAGAGAGAGAGAGAGAGAGAGAGCAACAAAAGCTGGGGAAAATATCAAAATTAATTTCTTTTCGGCGTGGCGGGAGAGAGAGAGCGCCAGGACAGAGAGTGAGCAACATGACGAACTTTTGACACATTATGTTTATAACAATTGCGGCTGTCTCACTTTGCACTTACCTCTTTCGTTTTCGTTTGCTTCGATTGTTTCTCTCTGCAGGTGACTTCAACTCAAAATTGTTTTGTGTGTGCAAAATCAGAAATGTTTAAACATTATTTAACACAAATACGCTCAATTTCACACACATTAACAGTCGCCAATGGGCTATAGTAATTTGTTGTTGTTGTTGTTGCGTGGTGGTGGTAATAAAGCCTTGCCGTTGTTGTTGTCGTTTGCCGATTTCTGCTCTCCTCGCGATTAAATATGTTTAGTTTCCATCACTTTTGTTGTTGTTTTCGTGTGGTATTAATAAAAAACGTACGCGAACTGCAGTCAAAGTCACTCACACAAACACACACACACGGCATACGGCACACACAAACGCACGCACGCACACACACAGCAACTAGTAATTCTGCTGTGCGAAGGAGACAACATGAGAGCGCTTACGAAAAAAAATGTTTGTGTAAGTTTCCCCGAAAACGCGATTTCATCCGGAAAAATTACTGCGCTCGCTTTCGGCGCCGCCGCGTTTGGCCACTTGGTCACTTAATTGTTTCCGTTTGCATTGTTTTTAGTTGGGGCTTTTAAACGAAACTTAGTTGCGTGTTTTGTGTTGGTGCAGAGAGTGTGCCCCAGTATTTTTGTTGTTAAAATCTCGAGAACGCGATGTTTTCTTTTTTGGGGGGTTTGCAGGTATTTTTTGCTCTGGTCACTCTTAAGTGCGGGATTTTGCTTTGAGTGATGTTAGTTAACAGCACTTGTTTGGAGCAGGAAAGTCGTACCGTTATCTACAGCGGGGATACCGCTGGGAAAACTATCGCCCAGCTGATAGGCGTCGTAACAGCTGTGCGGCTGTTGGTCCTGTGTTGGGTAACTGCCATGACTGGAGTTAGAATCACAACACAGCACTGGTCATGTTTTTCAAATATGTACATATGTATCTACATTTATTTATATGATAAAACTTAAGAAAAATTTGTAACGTATCAAAATTAAAATAAGTATGTCATATCATTTCAATATTTGAGTGGAATACAAAGAAATGAAAATGATTTCGAAATGATATGTGTGTGCATCAAATCATATTCCCAAATAAAATACATTTTAACATTTATCGTTGATCCAATTTACTTTAATAGCTTGTCTGCTTTTTGATTTGTGTTTCTTTACATATAGGGATTTACTTATCAATACACTACAATATTCTTCTTTTGTAAACCCAATAGAGTGTTTCGCAGCCCTGAAAACCCACATAGTGTGGCCGTTAAAGCATTGCTGATAACGCCGCAAACCGCCAACAGCTGATAGGGATGCAGCATATAAGTGAGCGGTGGTAAATAATTGTTTTTAGTTTATAAGACGCCATTCCGTTCCGAGCGCCAACGCGTTGTGCTAGCTTTCTGTCCGTTCGGAAGTCGCGCCCATAGATTAGATCGACATTAGTGCGTTCCGCTCGGCGATCGCAGAATTAGTCGAAACCGAATTAAACGCTAGCGTATTTACATAATTAAGTAAAAAGTAGCGGCAACAACATGACGAACAACGACGTGCGAAAGAGAAAAGTAAGTCAAAGGTTAAAGGGGTAATAAAAGCGCACATTTTATGCCAATTTCATGGCGCTCACAAACACACACTCACGTTCCCGCCGAGATCTCACACACAGAGATTCTCGAATTTGTTGCTCTTTTGACGCGGAAGTAAAAAATCAAATGACTCGCAAAATAATTGTTTCAAGTTCTATTCGATTGTGCCAATTTTTATTTCAAATTGTGTTTTACATGCTGTTTAAATTTAGACACGCGCTGTCAAGCAGGTTTTTACAAACGTTATGCAAATTAATTTGATTGGGAAACAATGCTCATTTTTTCTGGTACGAAATCGTATATTAATTTATGCATGTGACTTTTAGTTTTTAATTTGTAGTATTCCAAGCCGGCCGGTTTATTTTGAAAAACCAGCTAGGGTGGCCAGGTTTTGCGAGCTCCTCATTCGCAAGGTCATTTAGTGGGCCGCAAAAGATAAAAAGAAAATGCCAACAATTGAGTTGGCACCCGTTGTCTTAAATCTCGCTAGACAACTTTTTCAATTGCTTTCTCGGAACCCAAAGATCACACACAGATACACACGCCGACTTTTCGGGGCGATCAGATCGTTAGGTGGTGCATCTTGTGTGGGTGGCGAACAGGATGGCCCAAAACCGGAACAGGTTGCAAGTGAGTGCAGGAGTGCTAACGTGGCCTTAACCCTCGTGCGTGACTACGTACTCTATACTTGGTATCCGACACATACGTAGATAGTCGTTAGATAGTGGCTAAGCAACAGCATTTATTTTTGTTGTTCCCCTAAGTAACTACCCGCTTTTACAATAGATAAAACCCAACCCTCCATACACTGTTTTCCATAAGGGTCTATAATTACTATAAATTATATAAATTACAAAGATGGGCTGCAACAACTATTCAGGTCTTTTTTCTGCAATACAGATGGCTTTGAATGAAACCAAGAAATATTTACAATGATCTTAAAATAAACATTCTCCAGCTGATGCTAAAAGCGGGTAGGCGGTGAAATAAAATTATCAGTTCAACAGCTATCTCCAAAACCCGAGCATTCCTCTATGTGAATATGCATTTTTGATAAGCCTGTAAAGCATTTCATGGCTAGCTTCTTACTCATTGTTGATCGGCACAAAAGTCGCCAACGTACCCAGTTATCAATTGATTTATTGATTAAAGTAGCGTGCGCCTCGCAACATATGCGATAAGTTCACACCCTGAATGTGTAATTAGTGTCCGCGTATTTCGAATTTTAAATGCCCCTCAATGTAATCGCTTTTAAATAGAATATTGATATTAGTATATAATCAAACTGTCAACTCCATTACTGCTAACCTAATACACTCATTCCTAGTTTGTTTGGCTTTAAAAAATAACATTTTCTACTCCAGAGTTATTTTTTGCGTCAGCCACTTACCAATAGCGGAACATTTGTTTAAACAATGGGAATTTCATCAGGTTTGTTTGCGGCCCCTACAATAATATTTATTCAAGCTAAAAGATCGCTTTGTGGCCCACTTATGATTGTTGCTAGTTAGTTGGCTTCCAGACATGCCTGTCGTAGCCGAAACTGATTGCGTCTTATCATTGTCATATCGCCAGAAGGTTAAGTGATAAGACCGCCCTCAAGATTCTAGCTGAATGGACACTGGTGTGCGGTCTCCGAAACAAAATGTGTAATTTAGCATGACTTTGAACTTTAAGAAGGCCCGATTTTTCCCAGTTAGCTAGAGGTGTTAATTAATTTGTGGGGCTAATGCATATTTGATGGATGCATATTCTCGAATAGGGTTCCATACGAGCTTCTAGTAATGCATATGAATAGGGTTCTCAGTATAAACAACACGAAACAAAATAAAAAAAATGTGCGATATCTTCGTTTTTTGTCACAATAACTTACTAAAAGTTAGTCTATAAAGATTACCCTCTTGTTTTTCTTAATATCTATGTAAAATGCGATATTCTTAAGTAAAAATGAGAGTACATTTGAAAAGTAACCGTTATAATTGGCAATACCGTTGCCAAAGGTAATTTGCATCCCTCGCCAACGTTATCGACGTTGCCTTTGCAGCCCTGGCACATGCGAACGATAAAACCCCACATAGACTGAAAAAAGAAAATGGAAACATAATCATTGACATTTCAAGAGATAGCAAATAGCCAGCGTGTTAATATTTGAGGAGCAAACAACTGAAATGTGTTCCAACCAAGAGACCGGCAATGCATAAACGTGGTGGCAGCAGAGGCAACGGAACGAGCCATGAAATACGAATATAAGCTGGTAGACCCAAATAGCCAAGCCGACAATATCTATTAAATAACCGATTTCTCAACCGAGACTAATGATTTTTCGAACTTTCAGCTGGCCACGGATGAGAAACCGCCGCGGAGGAAAAACAGCGGTTCGCCAAATGCCAGCAATACTGGAAACCGCGGTCCCAGCGGGCTCAAAATATCCTTCCTGTGCCTGGTCGTCTCCGTCATCCTGCTGCTCTTTGTGTTCGGTGTGTATCATTTGTATTATGTGAAGGAAGAAGTTGCCTCCAGACCCGTACTAACCAAACCCTCTGTTTTCCCCACCGTCACCGTTCGCTACTCTCATGTGGAACCTCATTTTGCGCCTCCTGTTGTGACTAAAAAACCGATTACCAAACAACCAAACTCCGCCGATGGCACTGCAGGCTTTGTCTCCGAAAATGCCAGTCCCTACCTGGCCCGCCTGGCCTCGAAGTTCGGCTACAGTAAGGTCCAATTTGCAGTCATCATCGATGCTGGATCCACGGGCAGCCGTGTATTGGCCTACAAGTTCAATCGCAGCTTCGTAGACAACAAATTGGTTCTCTACGAGGAGCTGTTCAAGGAGCGCAAGCCGGGTTTGAGCTCCTTTGCCGATAATCCAGCGGAGGGAGCCCACTCCATCAAACTGTTGCTGGATGAAGCGCGCGCCTTTATTCCCAAGGAGCACTGGTCATCCACGCCGCTGGTTTTGAAAGCCACAGCAGGCTTGAGACTTCTGCCGGCCAGCAAAGCTGAAAACATTCTAAACGCCGTCCGTGATCTCTTCGCCAAGTCCGAGTTCAGCGTAGACATGGACGCCGTGGAAATTATGGATGGCACGGACGAGGGCATCTTCAGTTGGTTCACCGTGAACTTCCTGCTGGGCCGTCTTTCGAAGACCAACCAGGCAGCTGCCTTGGACTTGGGCGGCGGCAGCACACAGGTCACCTTCTCGCCCACGGATCCCGAGCAGGTGCCCGTGTATGATAAGTACATGCACGAGGTGGTGACCTCCAGCAAGAAGATCAATGTGTTCACGCACAGCTATCTGGGACTCGGCTTGATGGCCGCCCGACATGCCGTCTTCACGCACGGCTACAAGAAGGAGGATTCGGTGCTGGAGAGCGTCTGTGTAAATCCGATCATAGCCAACCGTACGTGGACGTACGGCAACGTGCAGTACAAGGTCAGCGGCAAGGAGAACGGCAAGTCCAGTGCCGAGCAGCCCATTGTGGACTTTGACGTCTGTCTGGATTTGGTCAAGAGCAAGGTGATGCCGCTGGTCAAGCCAAAGCCTTTTACCCTTAAGCAGCATGCGGTGGCTGCGTTTAGCTACTACTTCGAGCGTGCCATCGAGTCGGGATTGGTCGATCCCCTGGCTGGAGGGGAGACCACAGTGGAGGCCTATCGCAAGAAAGCCCAGGAGATCTGCGCCATTCCCAACGACGAGCAGCCCTTCATGTGCTTCGACCTCACCTTTATCTCGACGCTGCTGCGCGAAGGATTTGGCCTTAACGATGGCAAGAAGATTAAGGTAGGATTTGGTCCAGTACCTTTGCGTTCATTGCCTTTAAATTTTCAATTCTTTACAGCTTTACAAGAAGATAGATGGCCACGAAATATCCTGGGCCCTGGGCTGTGCATACAACGTTCTGACTAGCGAAGAAAAATTCAATAATTCCTAATGCTCCTCCATTAGTCCGTAGTTGATGAATACATTTTAAAAGGATTGTTAGCTGAAATTGTTTATAGAGTGCCTTAGACGTGCATCGAGTATACTACAATCACAATTCACCACACACTCACGCCGACACCAACCCGAAAAAAACACTCGGACATTGCCTATATACGTGGTCGATTAATATTGTTTGTGCTCTGTAAAATTCCTTTCAATTGTCTCTAATTGAAGCTAACCCACACGGTGACTACACTTAGCGTTTAGTTCGTAATTCCAATTCTGTGTGATTCGCCATTTTCGTAAAGCAATTTTTTGCCAATTTCTTAACTATTTAGTGTTACACGGTTCTCCTCATGTACATAAATTTACACATCGATTTGTATTTACCTAATATGTATAACGTCCTAGACTATTAGCGCGAACATTTCAATTTGTTTTTCACATATGCAAATGTTAGTTTAATTATTTTTGCAAATAAATCAAATGTTAACGGATATTTTTAGTTTGGCGGGTTGATTTTTAATAGAAAATTAAAATAAAATACTAAGAACACATCTGCCTTGCTGTAATAAAATAAAATATTTCTTTATTGCTGATTCTAATTCGTTATACAAAATATATTAATAATAGCTTATCGAAGGGATACATTCTGTGTAAATTCACAACGAAGATAAAGAGCAAGGGGCGTCGAGTACGGATAACATATTCCTGCTGCGGAATTTTGGTCTTTTATACAAATAAAACTAAGAGGAGGTTGTGTGGGAATACAGTAAAGTTCTGATCTGATTATACGCTATTCATTGGCTATTACTGCTGTCTCAAAATCGCCTCATGGCCGCGGCAATCGTTGCGGTTCGATACCCAAACGTTCGATGATGTATTGCGGCATGCAGAGAGTGGGATTGATGGCTTTCAAGCCGGAATGTCCCAGAAGCGAAAGCCCACCGATGCCGAAGAGCGTGTGGAAAATGTCTGGCATGTTGCCTGTCCGATCGGAGAAACCACCAGTCTCCGTATCCTGGCAGGACAAAATGAACTGCTGCAACTTCTCGGAGCTAATCCAATGCAAACGACCCATAATGGTCAGCGAGGCAAGAACCCACCATGAGTAGCAGACATCGGGCAACTTCTCCGGTCTTCCGTTTAGTCCACCAGATGGCAACTGACGTTCGCAAAGCCACCAGCCCAGTTTGTCCACGTCGAGCAAGTGCAGGCGATGGGTTAGAGAAAAGAATCCCACGCAGCAGTATATCAAGCCTAAAAGAAAGTCAAATTCTTATTCTTTTATGAAAGAACTAAACGTTTTTGGCAGTGTTTTTGAATAAAAAACGATTAATACCAATAAAACGATTCAAATTGAAATGATATTGACTAGGAGAAATCATGACTCACCAGCATGCGATTCAGCGCCTGGTTTAGAACCGAATCCGCCGTCCGTTTGGTTGCAGCACGACAGCACAAACTTAACTGCCTTGTCCACATCGATGGTCTGCTCCATCCGGCCGAGGAGCGTCAGAGTGGCCACGGCACAGAAGCTGAACCTGGTGTCCACTTCGCCCCACTTGTCGCCAAAGAAGCTGCCATCGGGTTGCTGCAATCCCACCACGAAACGCACCACCGCCTCGCAATCGATCTCCGCGAGGGCGTCGTAGGTGCACAGGATTTGGATCGCCGACAGGGTGTACAGCAGATGGGGATCATGTCCCTCGCATGGAGCAAATCCTCCAGTCGTCGAGCACTGACAACGCTTCACAAATTCAATAATGGACTTGCGGTCCAGCCTGTCCAACTGACCCATTATGTCCAGGGCCGTGGTGCCCCAATAGATGCCTGACATGCGCAGGAATTCGGTCATGCAGTACTCGTAGTCGTCCTCCTGCTTTCCATGGTTTTCAATGTACTCCACATGCTTCCAGAACTGGAGTTTTTGGCCAACATTCGCATCGCCGCCACCGCCACTTTCGCCATTCGAGGGCTTTACGAAGGTCGTGAAGTCCATCGCTGATTGGATTCAATTGAATAGTGTGGCGTGAAATGGATCCTCAATGTTTCGCTTGATTAACTGAATTAATTGGCAGGAATAGTTCGTAGAACAAACAAATATCAAAGAGAATCAAGCCCAGCTGATTCATTTGCAAGAAACAGCTGATCGCTGGGGCGTCGATTATGGGGTGACCAAAAACACGGTATCACTATTTTAAAAGCTAATATTATAAATTAAATTTAAATATTTAAAGTTTAGAATTAATTGACTAAGCTTGTATCCACTTTACAAATCTTAATTATGTTCCCATAATCAAAAACCACTTAAAAATGTATCAGTTTTAAACTAAGAAAAGACAATTGAAAACCTTTACTTGTACAGCTTTATTGACACGAAATAATTTAGAGACAGGCTGATATCTATTGCACTAGAAGACTGGACTGCGGATCGGGTTCGTCGATGTTGAGGGATACGATGTGCTTGCCGGGAACCATAACGTTGCCCAAAAGTCGGGGTTCCTGGCCCTCTACCAAGTACTCGGCACACATGGACAGCACGATGTTAGCATCCCGATCCGTGCAGTTAAAGAATCCAACGAGGACTCGGCCGTCGGTGATTACGATACGAAGCACACGACCCAACCATTTCTGAAGCTTCTTTCTTCCGGGCGTTAAACTGGCATCATTCATCTGGTGCGGCGCATTTGTGGTGATCCTGAAGGGTTCCGGATTCGTGGGAGGCGTTTGTGGAAGCACTTGCTGGCCAGTGATGCTCAGCTCTGTCATGATATCTTCCTTTAAGGGGGATTGGCATAAACACGAGAAGCTGTTTGGTTTATATGTGTTTACTATTAACTGACTACTATGTTTTTGTTTTCTTGGTGTAAAGACCAGGGCTGCAATGTAATGGCAGTGATGTGGTTCACTGGTTCCGGCTTGTTTTAAAGGATTTATCAAAGTAATGAGTGTAAAACACTCATTGTTCAATTACTTATCATCTATTAATTAAAGTATAAATAGTTTTTGAGCCCCGAAACGCGAAAAATATTAAAATGTTAAAAAGCAACTCTGGACTTGAGCTTAAAGATTAAACGGTCACTCTAGAGCAATCAGCTGAGTTCAATTTTGCGGCAAATTTCGTTTCGCATTATCCAAAGCTCATCATTCCTTATTTTCTAAACCTTCTAATATGGCAGGAAAAGCATTAAACATTGGCGATCAATTTCCCAACTTTACGGCCGAAACGAATGTGGGAAAAATAGACTTTTACGACTGGATGGGCGATAGCTGGGCTATTCTCTTCTCCCACCCGGCGGATTATACGCCTGTATGCACAACGGAATTATCACGGGTTGCGGCTTTAGTTCCAGAATTCCTAAAACGTGGAGTCAAGCCAATTGCCTTGTCCTGTGACACCGTGGAATCGCACAAGGGTTGGATCGAGGACATCAAGAGTTTTGGCAGTGAGTTCTGTTCTACGTCGTATGAGGAACCCTTCTTATGAAGTTTCGGATTCCAGAGCTGGAGAGCTTCGATTATCCCATTATCGCGGATGACAAGCGGGAGCTGGCCCTTAAGTTTAACATGTTGGACAAGGACGAGATTAATGCCGAAGGCATTCCTTTAACCTGTCGCGCTGTTTTCGTTGTGGATGACAAAAAGAAGCTACGCTTATCCATCCTATATCCAGCCACCACAGGACGCAACTTCGAGTGGGTATTATAATATTCATTCATCTATCCCATAGTAACCATTTACCAATCATCTCTTTCGTGTTTACAAATCGTGCATGTAAATGTAGTAAGAGCTTTTAATAACAAAGTTAATGATGATTGCTTTGTAAATGATATTACTTTCCATGTAAAATGTATACTTAAAAAGCATTTACCCGATAAATTGTGTTATTATTTGTCGTATTATTTAATGTTGAACTACCTTTTTTTTATCCATTCCAGTGAAATTCTTCGAGTGATCGACTCTTTGCATTTAACCCAAACCAAGAGCGTGGCCACGCCTGCTGATTGGCAAAAGGGCGGCAAGTGCATGGTTTTGCCAACTGTTAAAGCCGAAGATGTTCCCAAGCTCTTTCCTAATGGCATAGAAACAATCCAAGTTCCCTCCGGAAAGAGTTACCTCCGCATAACTCCTCAGCCCTAAAGATAAACCCAGCATTCGTTCAAGTATGACTTTATTACAAAATTATAATTAATAACAAATTAATGCACAATAAAGTATACGCTTACAACCGTATTTTAGCAGGCCGGCGCTTTTAGGAAGCTAAAACTCGCCTCCTGCTAGACAAAAGTGCCAAAAACATTCGACTTAAAACTAAATCAGATGGGGGAATGTGACAAAAAAGGTCGCGATTTTTGTGTACAAAATAAATATACATTCAATATACATACAGACGTATAAAAAGAGGGTAAAGATATTGCAACTGGATAACCCTGGGGTTAGAAGAGTATAAATAAGGCCAACTCTGTACAATAACTGAAGCGCTTTCCAGGATAGAAGAAAGCTAAAGACCAAGCTCGTGCCCGTAACCAAAGTTAACTGAAAATGAGAAAGGAATTTGGATTAATTTTTTAAAAAGAGTATTTAATAAAAAAAAACTTTGTGATTGCCTAACCTTACTATTGAAATACAATTGTACATACTTAAATCGTAATTACTGATAAGAAGTATAAACATAAGACGCAATAGCACTTTCCCTTGCTCAAATGCTCAACGAAATTCAACAATCTCAGCTTGCTTACTGACCGTTTTCTTGAATATGTTAATGAAATGCAAATAAGTAGAAATATATGATGTAAAAGCTTTCGCTGGCAAACAGGTTCCCAGTGGTCTTGAATCTTTGCGGTGTTCCTCTTGAATTTAAACAAGAAAATGCGTGACATACTGTTTTGAAGTGGGAGTAATAATTATCAATGAAGATGCTATTAAGAAATTATTCTGCGCTTCTGATTATTTTAAACTGAATAAGTTGTGTATAGATCGTATTAACTGTACTCACAATTTAACTACCACATATTCCTCCCTCCGCCATCGTAGCTCCGCGTCGTCAGTGTCTGCGCTGCGGAGTGGACTGCAGAATCCTTGCAAAGCGTCGCACGAGGAAAGGCCACAGGACGAGGACGGCGAACCAGAGTGGGGAGATGTTCCTGAAGGGCCACCAGGCGGGCAGTGATCGCTGTTGTGCCGCTGCTCCCTTGGCAGCTTTCTGTCCAGCACGCAGTTCATTTACAGACTGCTCCAGGCTGCGAACCCTTTGCTGCACGGCACCCACATCGCTGTTCATCCGGGTGATGGCCGCCTGGATTTGTTGCAGCAGGTCCGTGTTTTGAGCAATCGCCTGGGTCAATTCGTGGCTAAGGTCGTAGGGGTCATCGTACTCGTCGTCAGAGGGCTCCACAATGGCCACGCTGCTGTTGCTTGTATAGTTGTGCGTTGGGTCGTGCTGTGAGTTGTAGTTCGAGGACTTGGGACCATAGCCGTTGGTCAGGGGAACTGCGGAACTGTGACCATTCTCCTTTATCGTTTCAGACGAAGCCAGCGGCGCTGCAGCAGCTACTTCCTCTTCCTCCTCACCATTGCAACTGGATCCGTGCTGCGGGCTGTTGGTACGCGAGTGGAAGGGCGAGTTAGGATGCGACTCGGCCAGTTCCCGCATGCCAGGGGAAACCAGCTCCAGCTCATCGAGGCTTATGTTTCCCAGACCGTCCAGGCTGCCCACGAAGTTCTGCACATTCTCCGTAAAGGACATGGTCTCTATAATCTCCTGCAGGCTCTCCACATAGCGCTGCATGGCCTGCTCCTTGCTCAAGTGCCGGTTGTCATTCCAGGCGTCCCACTTTGCTTTTCCCACGATGTCCCAGAAACCGGGCTTCTTTTGATCACAGCCTCCTTCGGTGGCCTGCTTAAAGAGCCCGTAGAACTTGAGCATCATGCTGGTGCTGGGTTGATAGGGTCCATTTTTGGGCAGACCCTTGATCACGTTGACCGCCGCCTGGAAACGCTCCTCGATCGCCGCCATGCCTGTAAGATTGGGAATCATAAGATTAGCCAAATCGCTCGATCGATAAGATATACACAAAATGTGAACTTAGCCCAGGTGAACGGCGCTTACAAATTACCTAATTATTGTGTGCAATCCGCGGTGTTGCAAACGGATTTTCGGGCCCCTTTTGTCGTCGTTCGCTATTGATTCCGCCTGATGGGCATTCATAAATTTTGGACGTCGTTTCGGATGCGCTGCTGGGTGACAAAGTTCGAGTTCTGAAGTCCAGTCTTCTGAGCTTCGAGTCGGCTAGAGCTTTTCCCTGTTTCTTATCGACCTCGGCCACTCGACTCGCAATTATATTGTTGAGCGCTGCGCCCGCCGCTGGCCTTTAATTCGAGTTGCAATCAAATAAAACCAAACAAAAACCCGAAAACTCTCTCTGGAAATCGTTGAGCGTGTACGTGTAGTGTGCGAGTGTGGGAGTGTGCAGGGCTGCAACAAAAATATCGATATGCATGCATATATAGATGAGCGGTTAGAAGTGGGCGGAAAGAGCGTGATTAACGACTATAGTTTAAAAACCTTGGATTTATTTATAAAGAGCTTACGAATAATTAAAAATTATGATTTAGCAATGATGTTGAGCAATGGCGACTTAGGCCTTCAGCTCGAATTGTACATAATATTATTTTTTAGGATTTTTTAAAGTATTTATTTCTATGGTTTAGAAAGAATAGACTTATATGCAGTGGTATAAATTTGTGTTTTTTAAGTGTTTGGCGTGTTTCTACTGGGTTGGTTTTTAAATATTTGTTGCCTTTGGATACGTGGTGAGATTGCATTGAAAAGTTTCACGGCCTAAATGGTATTACAAACACCTTCAGAATACATACTTTAAAAAAAAAACTTAAAATGCATATTTAAGCCTTTGTCTTGGTCCTCTTAAAAAACCTAATTTTTTTTAACAAAGAAGATAACTATGTTATCTATCGCTGAAGCGAAAGTCTTCCATCTCTAGGTGATTCACCGCCTTCATCTGTGGTATTTTTCGCTATTCCGACGGATGGTCACTCACTTTTTCATTTCGTAAAAATCAGCAATCGAAGTGCTTAATTATTTGCATTATTTTTAAACAAAACGCCCGCAGAGCTTTCCGAAAGCTGTCACCGCAAAGTCCGCGAAGCGCCATCGCTGGCCATATCGAACTACCAATATCTAAGGGGTTCCCACGACACAATAATACAGCATCGAAAGTCGGGGGAGCGAAGCGTATTTCACAAGAGCTGCTAACCGAGGGCGGAGTGGAGTGTCTGCCAGTTGAGGAGAAGTGACTTCATTGCAATTAAACATGAAATTTGGTGCAACGACGACCGGAGTACGACATTTTTGTATTATCGCCAAGCAGCAAAATCAGAATCAGCAGACTATATTTAAGATACGCGCGCAGCAATCGCGACTCGAGTTGAACAATTGCAGACGGCAAAGACAGTCGTGTAGAATTGCCAAAAATTGGAAACACCAAAGCTTTTGCATAGGTGCGTCCTGATCGGAAACGTTTCAAACTAAAAAAAAATAAAAGCAAGGCCCAGCTCCAGACAAACTTAAGAACCCAATTTTCTAACCTAAAGAAATCAATAAATCGGAGCAAACACGTGCGTTTTTGTTGCCGCCAAAGTGACGGGAGTGTAGACATTTTCGTGTAGACTTTGTCGCCTGTTCTCCATCTTTGGGTGAAAAAACAAGAAACCCAAAAGGACACTCGGCTACAGGGCATCTGTTCGTTTTTTTTGTTTGTTCTTTGTGTTTGAAGCAGCAGGCCAAACAATAGAAACCAAAACGTCGTCGTCGAGTTCAAACAAAATACGTAAAAACAACAGCAACATGCCGCGACGCAACAAGAAATCCGCAGCAGGCAAAGGTGAGTCACAAAGAGAAATGTGTGTGGGTTGTGCGCAGGAAAATCAAAGATCAAAATGATTCTTACATCTTCTTTCCTCTATGACTATATAAAATTAAATATTTGTTTAAAAAAGTTAGGTACTTTGACACTTTCAATTCAAAGACTGCATTGATAAAAATGGACTGGTATCAGTTTCACGAAATATGTAATATGTAGGCGAGTGCAGGGGAAATTTTCACAGCTGCTTTTGACTTGACCTTTGAGTTAGTCATGCACTGACTAATCAAATACCGTGCACTTGTTTCGTGTATTTCGTTGGCTTCCAAAACCAAGGAGCTTTTCTGAATACAACCTGTTTGGCAATACCCTCGAAATAATTATTTTCGTTTTGTTGCTGTGCTGGCACGAAAAGCTCTTCACGCGCTCAGCTGGCAACGCAACAACACAAGTAATCAGCGGAACAATGAATATACATATATGTACCAACAGCTGGTCACAAGATAATAGGCATAGAGATACGAAAATATTTAAGAAAAAATGTCAATATTGGTTTTACAAAAGGTTCATTTATGTACCTTCTGTATTTGTTTAACAATTGATTGGGATAAACAAAATGATTTTGATGCTATTATTTTGAGCACAGCTGTAACTATATATATATTCAATCTTACATATAGAGGTAGTCAAACGCATATGTATACATTCAATGCCAGCTTATCAAAATCACGCCAACAACAAACTAGCGGACTAGAATACCTCTGCAGGGTATTAGTAGGTTTGCTTTCGTAGGGAGTCGGTGTTCTTATCGAGAAATTAGGGTTTTGGTTTGTGTGTTTTCTTTGTAAAAGAGTGTACATCTCTGTAAGGCATTTCATTTACCCGTCGTTTTATCAGACTTCGCTTTAGCTGTCCCTGGAATGATATAAGTTAGCTCCATAGGTAAAAATACATATAGAAATTAAAAATTATGAAGCATAGATGACTTTTTTATAGTTCCATGTTTTCTAAGGGTATTTATTAGGGCGATCACATCTCTGAAAATCTTTCAATTCAAAAATAATAGCCCGGAAGTTTTCGCTCTTTGGGGAACTTTCCTGTTCTCTCAGTACTTATCAGTGACCTAAATATTATGCAACTCTGGGTTATGCATGCCTTTTCTTCAATACAGACGGTTTTCTTGCCCAAATCTAAACCAAACAACTTTCAAACAAACCAGCTGTTTTCCACAATTTTCTGGTTTCTGGCCCCATATTACAGCATGCTTTTGTAGTTCGCTTGAGCTTTTGTGAAAGGTAAAAAAACACGAGGCGGAAACTACCTTGCCCCAAATAGAAAACAGGCGCTGGAAAATCGCCATAATGAAAGTAGTGGCCGTCGTCGACGGGTTTTCTTCGACGCAGTTAGGCAGCAAACAAAGAGAAAGAAATAAAGAAAACTTGTTGCACAACATTGGCTCCCAAACTGTGTTGTCGTGAAGGTCATTGCTGTGTAGCAAGTATGTAATTGAATTTCTAATTTCTGTGCATATATGTGTATATGTTCACATCGGAATGAGTACACAGCCAAATGAAAACAGTTCAAAGTAGGAAATGTTAAGCATACGTAGCGTTGTCTCACTTTAAATGGTTTGACAATCACTGGGGCGAATGGAGGCACAGTTTGACATGCTTTAAAATAACGGGGTCCTAGAAGTGTACTCTTTTGAACAAAGAAATCGTTAGGTCTTAAAAATAGCTACAGCTTACAAGAAAATTACTTCTTAATTAGTATCCCCTGTTAATTTTTCTACACGAAGCAATCTGCATAAATGCGTCGTTTGCAAATTAATGACCTGATACGTACCAAAAAGTTTCGTATACAAACGGGGTCTTTGAATTGCGAAAAATTTGCACACAAGCAGAAACTGAATAGTTAAGATAGGGACTGGTTTTGTATATCAGCGTTGATTTGATTAAACCATCTTCGGTTTAAAAAAATGCGTAGTTTATTATACATCTTATAATTCGTATTTATTTTGAATCACGCCTGCAGGCCGCACCAATGACTCTAATTCTGAGGACGAGTCCTTTGACAACGTGAGCGTTTACTCACATGTCTCCGAAGTTGCCTCTTCGGAGGCCAACGACGAGCTGGCCAATGAGCGATTCGAGGAGAAGTTCGAGAAGGCCCTGGAGCAGGCCACCGAGAAGTCGGCCCAGACCCGTGTGCAGGCCCTCCAATCGATTTGCGAACTGCTCATGCACCGCTACATGCCGGACTTTGTCGACGACCGCAAGATGACCCTGATGGACTTCGTGGAGAAGAGCATCCGCCGCGGCAAGGGCCAGGAGCAGGTGTGGGGCGCTCGACTCGCCCCCCTTCTGGTGCTTCAAATGGGCGGCGACGAGGGCATCTCCAAGGCGATGAACCAGTTCCTGTTGAACACCGTCCAGGACAAGTCCGTGGGCTTCGATGCCCGGGCCAAGTGCTGCACGGCCCTTGGGCTGCTGAGCTTCCTCGGCTGCGAGGACGTCGGAGAGTTGGTGCAACTGATGCAGTGCTTCGAAGCCATCTTCGCCGGCAGCTATTTGCGCGGCGATGACAAGACACCGATATCGGTCACCGCTGAAGCCGGAAATCTTCATGCGGAGGCACTGAACGCCTGGGGACTGCTGCTCACGTTGATTCCATCGGGAGATTTTGTGTCCCTAATGACCACAGGACAGAACATGATTCCGTAAGTCAATAATCACTTCGACCAAAATACAAAAAGTAAAACAAATGGTTTTATTTGCAGATCGATCAAGAAGTTCTTGGGCCTTTTGCAATCCCCACATTTGGATGTTCGCATGGCCGCTGGCGAGACCATTGCTTTAATACTGGAGTCTGGACGTGCCCACGATGAGGACTTCCTCGAGGACGACATTGCCGAGTTGTCCGAGGCTGTGAAGCAGCTGGCCACAGACTCGCACAAGTACCGCGCCAAGAGGGATCGCAAAGCCCAGAGGGCCACCTTCCGCGATGTGCTGCGTTACCTAGAGGTGAGTTATGGAATTACAATAGCCTGCCCCAAAATCACTCGGTTCAACTTTTCGTGTTCACACAAATTTAATCGAATAGAGATGCACATAACCACAGACACTTCACACTTCACTTCATGTCGTTGCAAGTGAACTTTAGCTCGTGCTTGCAGTACTTGGCCAAGCACTTGGAATGGTCATGCAGCTTGTTGCGCATAATGACGCATCCGTTGCGACTGATCGAGTCCATGTACTCGCTGAAGGTCGGCATCTTGCGGTACGTGGTCGGGGCAGAGTTCCAGTGCGAGCTGCTGCCGGACTCGATGGTCTGCGAGGAGTCCGAGAAGCTGGTCTTGAAGGGCTTGTACGTCTTCTGGCACTCGGCGTTCGACACCTCGTAGGTGGTGGACGACTCCCGCTCCAGTTCGTTCATCACATTCGAACGGAACTCGTTGCAGGGTCCGCGCTCGCTCATCAGCTTGCTGGCGTTCTTCGACTCGTCCTCGGTCTTGAGGCTCTCGTAGATGCCCTCCGGATACTCGTTCATGTTGCAGTAGTCGATCTGGTAGGTGGTGAACATGCGGTCGGTCTCTAGCCGGCGGCTCAGCTCCTCCTTGGGCATCACCTTGAGGCGCTCGTACAGATCCGGATAGACGGTGCGCAGGATCTTGAGGAAGCGGTTCGGCTGCAGCTTGAAGCAGTCGGTCTCCGCCGAGAAGGCCATCTTGTCCACCTGATCCTGGGTCAGCTGTGTGGGAATGAGGCGGGGATCCACAAGCTTGCCCATTGGCGCGATGCCCGTCCACTCAACGCCGCCGCAGTCCTTGGAAGCACTCGGCGGCATCTGGATCTTGGACTCGTCGATGCACTGGCACTCGACGACCTTCGGCCCATCGTGGCCCTCGAAGCCCTTGGGTCGCGTGAGGAACTCGTACCGCTTGGCATTGGGCGGAACGTAGTCGTGCTGATAGGTGGAGAGCATCATCTTGGTGGCGGGTTCTATAAAAAGTTGCAAAAGAAAGGATGTGCCAAAAACTTATTTTTACGCTTTTTTTTTTATGGTTTTTATTTTAACTGGAAATTTCCCTTGGACACAGAATTTAGTCTGCTTTTTACGAAACTAAAACTAAAAATGATCCATTTCATTCGTTTATCGAATTAGATAAGGCTTAGCCAACCTTGATTGAACGTTTCGTTGTTTGTCTTATTGCAGGAGGACATTTCCCCGGAAATCAGCATTCGCTTCGGTAACGAGTCCCTGACTTTGGATGCCTGGTCCATTCACCATCAGTATTCGGCCCTGTGCACGGTCATGGGTCCCGGGATGACCTCGCAGCTGGCGGAGAACGAGTTCATTCGCGACATTTTCCAGCTGGGTCCGCGTCCCACCAACACCGGCATCAATGGCAACGCCAAAGTCAAGCAGTCCAAGTTGGAGCGGGTAAGTTGAACTAACGCCTTTCTTTAACATCCGAATTCTAACGTTTCCCTATTCTTTTTTAGCACCTTGTGAATGCCGCTGCGTTCAAGGCGCGCTCCATAACACGGGGAAAGAATCGCGACAAGCGATCGGCCGTCGTCACATAAACCGATACTCCACATCAACTGTGCCCATTCACCGACCCCAAAATCCTTCTCAAAACCCGATAGCCAACTCTGGACTAACTAGTTGAATTGTTTCTGATTTTAGCTTAAGCCAGGCAAAGCGTCGCCAAAGCTGAAAAACTAAGTCTAAATTTAGGATAATTCATCAGGATAATCTAACAAAATTTTCTTAGTTTTTAGCCACGTCATGGAGCCATTGTTTAAATATTATTAAATATTTATCGCTTGCACAGGAGTTGTGTTTTCACTGACTGTACTGCAGGCTCCGTCTAGGATTTTATACTTTGTGAATTTAGATTTGCACCGCAATTGTTACGACTAGCTTGTACACTTTTCGATTCGGCAAAACTCTTATGTTGTTGATCTTTTTCAAATTGCAAAAATACAAAAACATATTTCTGCTAATACGTTGCTAAAATAGTATAATGCAAAGTACATTAGCTTGACATGGCTTTTATTGTGCATATTAAGTAAGCTATATGATACATATATTTTGTAGTAAATACGTGTAAAATAAACTGGGTTTAAACAAAAACTAATTCAAATCCGTTGTTTCCTGGTGAATTGTCATAGATGGCACTTCAAAACTGTTAGTGTCACAACTTTTAGGACTGGAACTTCATTTTCCCCAAATTTAATCTCTGCAAGGGCATTTAAAACATTTCGGTTGAGTTTTATAAATTGTATTTTATTTGTTTGTTTTATCACAAAAATTGTATGGTAACTTAAATTATACGTTGGATTTTTCCTTCTTTTGTGGTTCTTGTATGTTTTTCTTTGCTTTGACAAATTTTGTGTAGCAACTACATAAAATGTAAATATATATATATATATTATATATGTACTTGTGTATGTATATGTGGGCGTAACATATTATATAAATTAGCTTCTTAACGGGAGAACTTATTCCAATCGAATACAAATTAAAAACTTATTTGCTTATTTTAATATTCGCCAAGTACTTGTGTTTGCTTGTTTCGCTTGCATCCATCCGAGGATGAAACAAAAATGAAATGGGGAAACCAAAATGCTTTCATAAATTAGTTGGTAATAAAAGAAAACTATAAACTACATGTCGGCACTCGCCGACTCACTGGCGCATCGAAGATCTATCTTTTCTGCTTCATCGTTCTTCAGGCTACTTGGCAACGCGTTGATAATCATAATCTCAAGATGTTCTTGTTTCTATCTGTTTCGGTTTCGGTTTTCGCAATCGATACACTGACCTACGCTTAGACTACATAATATTTGGCTTCTTTTAATACAATTCGCTTTTGGAAATCTGCATGATAATTTGAGAGACAGAATTGACTCGCTAATCGAAACGCTCCTCGCTACTGTTCCTGCTACTCACTAACGTGTAAGCCTATGTACAAAGTTGAGGGAAGGGGGCAGGTGTTTTGGGACAATCCAATCCACCCCCGCGTGTGATGTGTAAACTAATAATTGAGCATTGAGCAAAATCTGTGCAGAACGCATCCTAAACTAGGTAAGTAAGTTGTAATGTCTGTAAGTTCAGCTGATGTGTGTGGGTGATGTGTGTTTCCTTGAGCGAAGCTCCTCCTCCTCTTGCACCTTAGGAGGCCGCTCCCGTTCGAGCCGCTGCTGCCGAGGTGCTGGCGCTGACCTCCTCGCAAATGGTGTGCAGCTTCTCCATCTCCGAGCTGGTCACAATGTTGATCGAGCTGACTTTGGCCCGCTGGTAGGCCACCACGGTGTTCTCGCCCAGACACTTGACGCACACGTAGCCAATGAGCACGGCAATGCCGACGGTCAGAACGCGCACCAGCGGATCGACGTACATCTGGATAACCACCCAGGCAGTGGCTCCGGTCACGCACATCAGGGTGATCAGAATGACCGTCTTGGACCAGTGCTGGATGGTGAATCCCTTGTCCCACTCAAGCCTGCAAAGGAAATAGATTGATTTAGTTATATAGTTTTATAATTATGAAATGTTTTTTAAAAGTGTTAATTTTTCATTGAAGAATTTTTTGTGAGATTAGTTCATTGGATTTGTACGGAAACATAAATCGATTAACATCTTATCAGTAAAGCAATATAATTTGTCCGATAACAAGTCTTAAGTACGTTAATTTATTTGCAAATAACTCAATGAAAGGCTTTTAGTAGATTGTAAACATAATATCATGGTGACCCCAATTTTAATTTGCACTTACTTTTTGGACTTCTCGATCTCGTAGGGATGTCCGCACACCTTGCAGGACAGCTGGGCCTCCGAGTTGCTGCAGCTCTCCACCAGCCAGCGCTTGAGGCACTCGTGGTGGACGGAGCTCACGTCCCCAGTGCAGCGGCAGGGCTGGATCAAGGGCTCCGGCTTGTCGGAATCGTAGCAAATCCAGCAGTCCTTCTTGTTCAAGAACGACTGGCCCTCCTCGGGCGACAACTTGTTGGTCTCGGCATTTAGGGTGGGTATCGACGGATCGATTTGGCGGGAGAGTAATTTGCGGGGATTAAGGATCCAGAGCTGTTCGGGAGCCATCGAGTTCCACAGGCAGCAGGGAAACCACAGGGCCACTCCAATCTCGGCAATGCGGAAAATGATGTCATGCCAGTTGCGCGAGTTGACAGGAACCCTTAACGAAAAAGTTTTTAGTTGTAGCAGCTGCAATTCAAATGAAAAGCGCACACTCACTTGGCCTTCCAGAAGTCGCCCAATGTTTCGGAGGTGAGAAAGCCCACAATCACGATGAGCATTACGGCCTGGCTGAGCAGTCCGAATCGCGACTGGTGGAGCTGGGAGGCATTCACGATCGCCTCGCTGGGACCCAGGATCTTGCCCGTCTGATCGTAGACGAAGCCGCCGCGCAGCTTGAAGAACACCTCCACGCCGTAGATGAGAAAGAAGACGACCACGATCAGGAGTAATACTGCATAGCATCCGTTGAAGATGTGGGCGTAGTCGCGGCGGTCCGTGTTGATCAGCGAGTTGAACACTTCGATGCCGAACAGGCTGTACAGGAAGAAGTTGAAGGCCACGAAGCCGAGGAAGCTCTTCGACAGGAACTGCGACTTCTCCCAGCGGATGTCGCGCAGGTGAAAGATCTGCAACGGCGAACAGAACAAGTGCGAATGAATAATAGTGTCGATTAGGTTTCCCCCGAGAGTCGGCCAGCTTTCCCATTTCAGCTCGAGTGCCAATGCACCCGCCACTCGCCTCAAAACTTAATTAATTGTGCTGCCCGCCTATCGGGAGGCCCCAAGATACGTTCTAGCGCGAAAAACAATGAAATTGCCCGAGTTGCGGGTACAATAGCACTCGACGGCTCGTTATCGCATTCGTTAGATACGAAATATGGCAAGTACAAGTGGACGCACTTTGGTGCCATACTTTGCTCGATAATAGAACCCCATACGGAATTCAGCTGGTCACCTTTCGGTTCTCAGGGTTCTCGGGGTTCGGCTGCGATCGCATTCGACTACGTCAGTCTATTTATACGTTGTTCTGAAGCCGATTGCTTCTCAACTTAGTGGTGGACTCGTGACTAAAATTATTACCTGGCTTTCACTAATCAGAGAAATTTATTAAATTTGCTAGCAGCAAAGATACGTTATCTGCTTTGCAGAGCTTCCTTTTTCAGTAGCTTAAAAGCTTTTCTATTTCACTTTTAGCAGGGAAACACTAGTATTGTTTCTAGACTTTTGTCTTTTAAAAGGAATATCGAATCAAATAGTAATTAAAGACTATACATTCCAATCTTTCAATTGGTTGCTATCAAGATAATATTAATAGACACACTATTTAAGGAGATTGCATGGTTTTGTCTAATCTGAGCACTCAATTCTTGTTTACAAGGTAATTTTTCCATTGTTGTGATACGAAGACTGCTGTTCTGTTTTGATTAATGTTAAATTCCTTGTAACCCTTTCCCTTTTTTCTCCTTCAACTCACCTCGGCCCACATGCAGACGATCAGCGAGGCGCAGGTCATGAGCAAAGGATAGTAGGCGGACATCAGGGTGACGGCCCACTGGGGCTGCAGATCCAACTGCAAAGGAAACATTATAAATGTTAATATAAATCAGAGTTAAAGAAATAGAAAGAGTTACTCACAGGAGTGGTGAAGTAGGCGCCGCGCAAGGAGGCCGCCACAAAGACCATGAAGTAGAGCAGTTTCTGGGTGGTGATGCGACAGGCGCGCAGGATGGAGGGCTGCTTGAGCCTCTGGTACTCGGCCACGATGCAGATAAGCAGCTGGATCACCGAGACGAGCGCCACCACGTAGAAGACGGTGGAGATGCCGGCGTAGTAGGACAGATTGAAGATGTCGCACTCGTTGCCCGCGTACCGAATATCGCAGACGCAGGTGTTGTTGACGCAATCGCCGCGTCCGGAGCAGCTGACATCGGAGTCCGGCGTGAAGGGACCGTAGATCCCGCCGGCCGCCGACTTGCTGTGGCCATTCCGCATCTGGCTGGCCGCCGCCTCCATGGGCGATTGCAGAACTCGCTTCGAGCAACGCATTAAGGTATCCAGGCTGGGCAGCATCCTATATTAAATCAGCTGCAAGTAGACAGAGCGGAGCAAGTGAGTTAATTAATACATCAAGGCTGCGCAAATCGATTGTTTTGCTGGATAAAGCGACAAATAACAAAGCAAAAGCAAGCCACCTCCCCGTGGCGAGGAGCCAAAGGGTGTCATTTAAATAAACATTGAATTTGGTGTCTGGGCTGCTCGCTCTAAAAGCAAATGCAAATGTTTGCACAGCCGACCCGGGCCAACGGAGGTACTAGGGTTACTCTGCATTTAAACTGGGGCAGCAAAATGAAAACAGTTTGGCATTTTATTTGTGTTTCAAAAGCATGCAGAAATACGTAAATATATAATCAACAAAAGGATAAAACATAAGATGTTTGTGAATTGTGTAGAAATTTATTAATTTACTATTTAACATTTATTCAACATTTTATTTACAATTCAGTAGTGTTCAACCCTGCCAAGTGCAAACAAACAACTGACAAGCAGTCTGATGGAATACAGAAATTATTGCAGGAGGGTAAATGGAAAATGGAAAAACTGGGCCCATGGGCATTTGGCATTATTATGCCAGCAACGATTCTAAGCCATCAGAGCCGTCCATCAATCAAAAGGCACACATGGGCAACTCAGAATTGGCGAGAGACCGAAAGGCTGAGGCATCGATAATAATGCCTGCCAGCAACTTGACACCCGCAATATCAAAAGTATGGAAAAGGCAACCAATTCAACATTGCATTTCCATTGAGCTGTCGTTCTATATTAACCAATTGAAACGCTCCTGTTGATTTGAGGAGAATTCCTACCCACTTAATGGGATATTAATTACAGCGAAATGCACAACAGCCTTTTTGCGCTAATTGCTACATTTGTTTTTAACGATTATAGGGTCGTTGTTTCCGTCACAGCTATTAATTTTGCTATTTTGCTTGCTTGAACGGAGCGAATCGGTTTTTATCACTGATAAGAACTTTTTCTTCGAAAAAGCTTTTCTTTTTTAATTGCTACGAATTAGGTATTATATGGCTATTTAAAAGAGCAAACCCATAAACACTGGATTTTATATTGTTTACTAAAGCCATTAAATAAGTTTATTTTAAGAAATTCATGCAACCCAATGATTAATCTCTCCCTCAATAAAAACGTTAAATATTTTTTAAACATTTGCTGCACGCTTTTCAATGGTTTAACTCAAACCAAATTGTTGGCCTTTCCTATTTCCAACAACAGCGGATGTTCACCGCTGTTGACATTAATGTCATCCATAAATTTTGTTTTGCCATATTTGAAAATCCGTTTTTGGGCCTAACACAAACAATAACGTAAGCCGGTTCACAAACCATAAATAAGGTGTTAAGGTTATGCATTTGCACACACATATGAATGTTTTTCACTTCAGTCGAGTTAGTCGTATTAGTTTAGCTTTTGCTGACAACAAATTCGATGGCGACAAACTGGCGATAAGATATAGCCAGTCAAAAGTAAATGAGAGAGAAAATTTAAAGTAAAAGTTAAGCTTTTGCACAAATAAAATGGTTTATTCGGAAACTCCCCAAAATGACTTTCGGAACAGAAATGTTTAACCGACATACATTAGTTTGTTTAGTAATACAAATAATAAGTTCCACTTGTTTACCAAGTTATATTGGTTATGTAACCGTATTGACTTGATTGAATTACTTGATTTGATAACTCTCTAGTTAATGAACAAATTGTGCCAAGTATTTGTGTTCAGTTAACAAGTTAAAGTGATTTCCCGATAACGATCTTTATACGATATTATTATTGATTTTTTCCAATAGACTTTTTGTGTAACTACGAGTTACTGCGTTGTTTCACTTTTGCTGCTATTATTTATTTTAATACCCATCGTCAAAGATAAGAAAATGTCATGCCTGCAACGCCTGAATATTATTCGGCTCATTATTTCTGTGACTTTAATACCTTGGCTCCGGCCAAAGAGGAAGCTTAATAGAGCGGAAACATTGGAATGCACGTAATTTACAAAGTGCGGAGCACCCACCATTGTAATAAATTTAATTTTCTGCGTTTCACTTTCGGTTTCATTGGTGGCACAGATGATCATGGGAAACCAGAAGCTGCAACTGAGTGGCGGACATATCCATTAGGTTTTTGTTTTTTGTGGGGCAGCCAGTATCTTCCTTTTTCTCTCGTTCTGTGTTGTAACAAAAATAGCACAGAAATACACAAACGCGGTATGTGGCGATATATTTATGAGTTGTTTGAGTTTGACTGCCAGTGAACATATGTGATTAGCTGCTAGTGGAATGCTCCGAACGATCAGCGCCCGAGTCGCAGAGTTTTCAGACTGAAGTGAGTATATTTACAGCCGATCTTCCCCGGCAGCGAGTCCATATGTACGTGACTCAAAGAGTGTATCCCCGGGCTCTCCCACTCACTCAAAAATACGGCTGAGTGGCTATTGCCAAGCAGCGGAGCAGTTCTTCGAGTGCTGCGTACTCGTAATTTTTATTAACCCAACAGCAACTCGGCAATTAATTTCCATCACGAGTCCGTGGCCCGTCCGCTTTGGCTTAATAAATGTATCCATAAACAAACAGGCAAATTCTAGCAATTTTTTATCCCAAAAAATGTTTCTAGAAGTTTAAATAAATTTAATTTGCCTCATGGACAAACGGCCTATCGCGCACTCTCTTTTGGGTAATTAAGAATGCCTTGGCATCGAGTATATAAATTGCATAATAAATTATCAGTGTGTTTATAATGGGATGCAGGAAAACAATCATCATTTTTTTTTTAACGACTGCGATTATGGCTGCTGGTTGCGAAGGCAGTAAGAACGGAAGTGCAATATTGTAAACAAATATCTTACAGCATAAAGTACAAGTAAAGTTCCGCATACCTGATCCACCCAAAAAAAGCAGATATACATACTGAGTGTTTAATTTTAAACTGGGAAAGATCTTTTTTAATACTGATCAACCTCCCCGTGCTGTCTAATCAAAGTGTGACTCCCCTGGCTGCTCGGCAAGTTTTGATTTTACTAAAAAGGCGGTGAAAAAAACTCAAGCTTCGAAACTAGTTTTTTGTCGCCCGCAGCTGAGTCGTATTCAACTGGTTTATTGTATCTAGGTAGCTCAATTGCCAGAGAGCCTCGCCGAGATACTGAGCCCAAGCTCATGGCCCTTGGTTGAACGAACGCTTAACAGAGTTGTGGGTTCGCCTGCCTTCTATTTACACGTACTGACAACGCAAACATATAATGTTGATCACGTCACGACACCCGTAAGATACTCCCTCCTGCTTTCTTTGTCCCTGCTGATGTCGAGCCCACTTAGGAGTACGATTTTAGACTGCACGCCATTGTACTCGCTTCCATAATTGTGCCTCAAATAATGCATGGTAATTTTAATTTGATTACGCGCTCGACGTGCCCATTTGTATAAGTGATTCTCTCAACACAGAATATTAAATAAACAACTAATTGCTACGGCTACCACTAGCTGCGAGTATAAAGTACAAAAAGTATCTAGGTATATGTGGCGTGTCTGTTACGCCCATAAACGAATTTGTAGTAAGTGCTTGAAATTGTTAAAAAGAAAAATGATACTTATTAACAAAGGGAACTTTCCTTTCGGGGTGTAATTTAAAGGCAGGAACGGCCAATTTTCAAGATAGCAAAAACATTTATACATTTCATATACATTTCCCAAGGTTGGATGTACTGAAAAAAGGTAAACAAATGGAGATTGCACAACTACGACACCAGAATATTAGAATCTAAAATTTTGTTTTCGGCCTACGTGAGGTATTGGTGACTGAATTGATAGATAATAAATTGAACCAATAGGTAAGAAACAGGCAGCCCAACCCACTTGAATAGCAAACTCACGACCTTCAAATTAAAACTTAATTAACTGCTGTGTGTCGCGGTCTTCTGCTTTTAAAAGTTTAGCAGTTTGTCGTACAAGTCAATTAATTCCTATTTAGCTGTCATTAGAGTTTATTAAAAGAAGAACAGAAATAATCCAACAGAAAACTGTGCTCCCAAAGGCATTATCCCGGGAATCGTGAAACTTTCGAGTCGCTAATTGGGGCTATTAATGTTTGGCTTAATCCTCCTCTTCATGAGCAAAAAACATTTCGGGAAAGCTTGCCAGCACGAATGAAGTGACAAAATAAATACTCTTGATTAAATCTAATTTGGGGCTCTAAATAACATATGATAATTGTCCTGTCCACAGATCAGCTAATATAACTTTTTTCTGGTTTCACTCTTCTAGTGAAAACAGTCGATAAGCAACCGGTTTTGAGCCAGTTATGGATTGAGTTGAGCCAACCAATCAGCTTAGAAGCGGTGAAAATTCTGACTGGGTTGCACAAATACTTTTATTACTAAGAAGCATTTTCACCGTTATATCTTTGCTGAAATTATCGGTAAAATGGTTCTAGTACCTTCAAGAGCATGACTAACCGCACCATTTCTACTATGATAGGTGTGATTCACTTGTAAATTACATTGAAATTTGACGCGTTAAATAAACTAAAACTTAAATTCTGGCCACATATTCACGCCCCTGAGTGACTTGTTATCGCAAAAAATAATATTTTAGTACTTTAGTTTCTTATCGCTGAAGTAGCTCGCTTAGTAACTTAAGAATAAAAAAAAAAAACAAATATATTAAAAGCAAAAAAAGAGTTTGTAATCTATCTAAACAATGAACTTGTCATTTGGCGCAATATGACAACATTTGACGTTGGTAGTGAACTCCCCCAGTTATTTTTAGATAATTGCTTTGTTATTTCAGACTTAACTATCGGAAAATTGGTAATACCTGATGAAAAAAACACTCGAAACCTGAGTCTTTATTAAACAAAAATGTGAATATAGTAAAGTGCAATTAAGAGTTATAAGTAAAACGAAAACAAATTGGTACAATTATGTACAATACAATGGACTTCAGAGAATCGACCTGCCACGTTAGAACAGATCTAAAAAGTAAATTAACCAACAAACAACGTTTTCATGCAGGCTACGTATTTAACAAAAGAGGTCATGCGGTTGGAAAGATTCTAGAGGCACAATCACCTTTTGCTAAGTACTCACAAAGAATCCATTGGGGGGCTACGATTATTGGAAGCCTATTGAGGGACCGAATATGAGTGCAAACTCTGACCCACTAAGTTGTGCTAAGCGTAAGCTGAAAGAGAAGCGCTGATGTTAGCTATACATACATATATGCTGCATGGGTGACACAAATGAATATTTAAACCACAAGACCAGAAGCTGAGCCATCGCAAAAAAAAACAAGAGTAAGTCACCCACAAGGTCTAAAAAACTCAAAAGAAAAAGGAAACAGGCCAGAAAACAAGAGGGCGATGAAAAAATATTGCCATTTTCTTGGGCTGTGGCCAAAAGGTATAAAGCACAAATTTGAGTAAATATTATTTATTGCCTAAGAAGTCATATATTTTATTTACGAAAACTGTGTACATACAGGCAAAAATTGGTCCACACATTTTTATAACTTAAAATGCAATGTGGGGAATATTTATGGTCTCCAAAAATGTACATTTCAAAAAGGTTTTTCTTTTATTTCGATTTTACCAAGCCGCCATGCCAAAGGCGACGCGTGATTTTATATGGCATACAGAATTCTCTGACTACATTTGCATTCGGTATTCTGAGTCGTCTTGCCCACATATATTATATGTACCTCCCATCGACTTCAGTTGGTATCTTAGCGCGTGCCATCGGAACTTGGAAAGAAGGCAAGCCGTGTAATCAATGTAAACGAATTAAATGGATGCGGCGAAGAAGTGTGCAGGAATTGACCTTTTGCACTGACCTGCCCCCGGTGCCGTGTGCGGAAAAATTGCGAGCGTTGCAGACAACTCATATGTGTAAACAAAAAAAATTGATATCTGTATACTCCAGTATGCACAGTGGCAATCAATTAAACTGATTGAATCACTTTTAAGTGAAATGCTTCGGCATTGCGTGTGTCGCAAGAAAGCACAGTGGAGACCGGTAACATATGAAAGAATATTCCACCCACCTAAATGTATTATTTAAATTAATAACGCTGGCATATAATTGTTGGAGCATTTCAACACTATCTTTTTATTTCTTGTGGGCCCTAATCGACTTCCTCTTTCCTAAAACTTTCCCCATGCGCAATTTTATTCTGCTTTAATTCCTTTTAGATTAATCATCAACGTTTAATGTTGAGAATGTCATGCTTTAATTCGCACTCAAAAGTCGCCATCATCATTAAACGACCGTTTGTCATTGAAAACAAGGGTTCCCTGTACCCACCAATCAACCTTTTGGGTGCAAGCAAATAGACTCAGATACATATTTATTTACGGACACCTAGATAATTTCAGTATTTGTGGCTAAAAATGATAAAAAATCATATGGGAAGACAACAACAAACACGAAAACGCAAAAGCAAAAGCAAATTTAAGTGAATGGACGTGTGAGCTTGAGTGTGTGAGTGTATTTGTTTGTATGTTTGAACGTTGTTCGTTGGAACCCGTTACTAATGGCAAATGACGCGGCGAAGAAGAGAGGGGAGGGAAAGGCTCTCAGTGCGAATTGGGTGCATTTTAGGTGCATGTGCACTGGGCTGAAAGTGGGCGGCGCACAGTGGAACGAACGCGCAGGGAGGAGTGTCGAAAAGAAAAGCGCACCTTAAATGCCAAGGTTTTATTTATGGCCATTATACATTTTTATGTGAGGTAGATAGCTTTATAAAGCAAAATCTTGGCAAGAAGACGATTCATTAAGAAGACTATTTATTTAAATTCTTTTAATGCATCTTATTGTTTGTCTAAATCGTCTTATGATTTAATGCACTATAATTCGACAGTTAATTGTGTGTTATTACGAAGTTTATTTAAGCAAAATTTCACGCTCCTTTATTTACAAACAGGTATTGAATAACAATAGGATTTTTAATTAAAACGAGCATTTGAGGTTCTCAAGAGGGGAAAGCACTAAATAATAGCATCCCGCGTGTGTTTGTTTTCCATTTGATTGTGGGTACTAGGCTTTTATTGTTGATATCAGTGAGTCAGTTTGAAGACTGTGTACCTGAAATCGCTTGTTAATGAGTCAGAAATTTAGCACGCGACAATGCAAAAAATGAAAACATAGTAGCGTGAGGGATTATTATGCTTTTGTTTGACTGTATGTAACACTTGATAAGGAAAGAAGCCTCACTCACCATATACTTTTTGCGGAAATAGAAAAGTTGTTGAAATACTGTCCAAGTTGCTGTGGCTTCAATGTGGCACTAAAGCTCTTATTGCATTACATAAATATTTGTAATTCGGAACGTTTCTTCACAAAATGTATTTGCTTTGTTGTTCTTTTCTCATATTGCTTTTAAGGACGCGCAGTTACCGTTTTCAATTGGCTTCCTTTTTTGTTTTGCTACAACCCAACTGTTTGCTCCCTAAACTACTACAACTACAACAGCACTGTTTCTTGTGTCCCCAAGGATGGGTGAATGGTTTTAATGCTTTTCGTGATTAAATATATATATTTTTTTCGATTCGCGACGACGACGAAAATCACTTCAATTCCTCACTTGCAGTGTGACCGCGGTCACCAAACTAGAGATGGGCAAACAAGAATTGCACTATCGGTTATGTTGCTCTCTCTCGAAAATTCCGTCGAGCAGCAGCGGAATTCTTTGCCTTTCGCAAAACGGTCATACTGAGTTGCAATATTCAAAAAGTTGTTTGGTTTTCAAGCAATTATAAATATTATGTTTATAGTTAGTTGGCCGTTATTAATTTAAGCGCAAGGAGTCTGTTATTGATTTAATAATACAGTAGCCAAATCGTACTTGTAAACTACCTTTAAAGAGCTTTGGATTTCTGAAAAGCCACATATTTCCCCAATTGTGCTAAGTTTGGCTTAACGATTGAGGAGAGGCAGAAAAATATTGTAAATATTTTGGTTGTTAAATTCACTATGCTCCATACATTTAGTTTACTATAATTTGTCAGGTACTTCATCGAATCCGAGTTTCTTCAGACACCACAAATCAGATCCTTTAGATAATTGACTGACTTTTGAGATTCATTTGACAATAGAGATAAGAAACTAAAACTTCACCAATTCTTAACCACCTGAAAATGTCCACTTTCCATTGTTTATGTCAAAATGTAAACACAATTGCGAACGTTTAACGTTAAATTACATAGGGAATTCGCTTTATTACCAAATCAAGATCTAGTTGTGGGTTCGACACGCTTAGAAGTTCCTGCAAATTAATCAAGGATAAGAAAATGTCATACTGAACAGTTAGGTCTCAACTCACTTGGTAATGAGGCCGTCCTTCTTGGCCAGACGCACGATGCAGTCGTCGGACTCGCCCATACGACGGATCTCTCCGCAGATGGCGTAGGTCTTGGATCCGTCGGTCTGGCGACCGGTCTCGGGGTCCACATCCACGATGCTCAGCTGCACGGAGGCGTGGTCCTTGGCGTGGATGATCCTGTTCGATGCCGAGCTGCACAAAAAGGGTATCAGTAGTGCGATCACCGAAATGCGCCGGGGAACACGTGTTTTACACTTACCACTTGCGGGGCACGTACAGATCAACATTCTCACCGGCGTCGTTCTCCATTTTAGTGGGCTGTAAGGACAGAATAGTTTGTGTGTTATTTATAAGCATTACATGGGTGCCAACTCTGCCAAACTCACTTTTTTGTAGAAATTTACAAATCTAGCGACCGCAACTCGTCGGTGGAGGCGAAAAAGAGAAAGAAAGACGTGAAGTTGGCTGCGCTGGGCGCTGGAGCTGCGAAAAATCGGTCTCACAAACGATAGTATCGATTTTTTGAAATCAGTGTTTTGATTTTTTCACTGTCCCGGTTGGCGACCATGGTAGAAATGTCTTGGCGACCCCTGCCGGATGTTTTAGGTACTTTACCTTGGGTGACCGCTTCCTTAGGGTTTTGGTATTTCATATAAAAAATAAAATATCATAGATTACTGAAATTTAAGTGTAAAATTATCTGCTCAACCAGTTGATATTTTAATTTTTGGCATTAAAAAAAGACTTTGTTTATTTTCCATGCCAAGAATAAAATACCTAACTCTCATGCAAGCCAAAACGGAACAGATAGTTAGCTTTCTATCGACCGGTCACACTTCTTTAAGCCTTAATGTAGGCTGCAAATTTCGCGTCGGGAAAATTCTCTTGCATATTCTACGGTGCATCAAGTAAACGACACCCATTAGTGAGCCTTACTATAATATTTATAGGTCCCTTCGCCACCGATTTATTTTACCTAGCATGTAAGTATTGATTTTGCCAAAAGTCTGTGATTGTTTCTGTTGGGCTGGGTGCTCAGGGGCATTTCTTTTGACCTCGCTTGGTGTCAGCAGCGATTTTCGTCAATGGGAAGCGGATTCCGTTAGTCGAGGCATTTTTATTGCGATTTCGCGTGTGTGTGCGAGTGGGCGGAAGGGGAAATGGGTGATATTGTTTTCATTGCAAATTAATGCGCGCCATGTCTCGGAATTTACAGTCCACGTTGCCTATTTATAGGCGTCGTATACTCAATGAACTTTCAACGGCGGCGCCTGGGGTCAGGCTTAGTTGTTGGCACATTGCACTTGCCGCACTGCGATCTTTTTTCTCTCTCGATTAGGTTGGGCTCCAAATAAATCGACGTGATATTACCTCTGTTTCTAGAGAGAAAATAATATGCTCGCATATATTTCAAAGAAAAGATCACAGTGCTCTTAATATCAAGACAAAATCAATAAATGTAACCATCTTGCATGGAAATATCAGCCACACCTTTGTTGGCTCATAATTCCACTTTGATTTAAATATAAAGTCACATCATTTTGTGTAACTTGTTGAAGATTAATACCAATCCTTGGGTTGGTTACGAAAAAGTAGAACAAGAAATAAATTTGTAAATATTATTGGCCACAATTTCAATAGCCAATATACACAACGAGTACGGGGTAACATGAAATAAGCTACAGCTCTCCCATTTGGTTTTGGATTTAGCCTTCTCAGTTGCTCGCCAACTTTGAAAGAAATCGGTTCACTCCGCGTCGTTTGGTTTTTGAAATCAGAAGCGGCGTGACTTTTGGTTTGCTGTTGTTAGTTGGGCATCGAGTTTTATCGGGTCTAAATACTTCTAGAGGTGAGATTCACAAGTGGTTAAACAGCCTGTTGACCTTTTGTTTGTGCAAATTATGAAATTTTTGCATAATAGTTTAGCGGCGCGTTATTTTGAGGCGCGAGCAAAAAGATAAAATGAAATGAGATCATGATAACGTGAGATGCTATTTATAAGCTCAAACACAAAATAGCTGAAACCCCGCGACCCCTAATAAAGGGGCAAAATAATAAATGAATCGGACTGAAAGTGAAACTAATCACAGTGCTCGTAATAAAAAGTATAACAAATAGTAATTGGCTATAATGGAGTTCGAGATTTTGTAACAACATATACTTAGTAAATGGTCCAATCAATAAAGTTCGGTTGTTTTGAAAGCATTATTGATTATTTGGAAACCTTAGCGAAACCCCAAGTCCCTGTCGAAATAATCTTATCAGTTTGGCATTACACTGTTGCATAGAAGGTATCGTATTTGTAGCATTTATAACCGACATCATATCAGATTGTACACTTATCTAAACACAAACATGAGCATTTTGCAAGTAGGTTAAGCATTACCAAAAAAAGTAAATCTTACAACTCTCTGGCAAACTATTTTCCTTTATTCAAAATATTTAAAAATATATTTGGTCAATTTTAATTCGACTTCTAAGAGGAAACCGGTCATAAAATGTATTCTACTCCCAGAAGCTGCCTTTAACGGCATCTTCATTCAGACCATATTTGAGTTGTATAGTATTCCCAATGGAAACCAAATCCGAAAAAAACATTTCAAAAGGGCAATTAAGAATCTGAACAAACAAAGGAAAACTCATGATGTCAGCGGCACACATTGCGTGTCTGCTCAAGAAGATGATTATGAAGATGCGCCACATGAAGAAAACCCGAAACTAAAACACTTTCTAGGTCAAAAGTTTAGAGGCAAAAGGGAAACATGGTCATCCATCCCCACCACGATGGTTGATGATGGCTTATAAAAAGCAAGAAAAACTGAAAACTAGAAAAAGTGCGACTGCATGAATTGCAATTAATAAAGCAATGTAAAGTAAAAGCCCACAAAAAGAAAAGTAAAAGAAAACGCTTCACTTTGACTGGCTCGTTGCGTGATGATAGAGCCAAGTCAGGCTGATCTGAGGTGCCGCTTGTCAATTTCCAGGGGAGTTCCTATTAACAACACAAAAATTACAGCATGCAAAAAAAAATTAATTGTTTTGCTGTTGCAGCAGGGAAAATCGCATGATGAGCAAACAAAAAGAAAAGATAGAAAAAGTGTACTTTCTAGAAAAGGAAATTAATTAAAGGGGTAAAGATTTACATACATGAGAAAACCTTTTCCTTACAATTCTAAGGTTTAAATACAGAATCCCCAAAAAAACACTTATTTCTCATTATTCCTTATAGCTAAGCAGCACCTTTCACCAGAGCTTAGTTTTCAGGCCTTTTCCCAAGAACTCCTCCCATTCCGATTGCAACTTTTTCTTTTCCCCGTTTTGTGCATTATAATTCTAAGCTTTGGAGTACGAAAACCCGTTTATATTCGCGGCAACTTAATTTTAATGTGGCCCGTGCCTTTGCCTGTGCTCTTTTTCTCCACAATTTGCAGTGCTGACTTTCGGAAACTGGTCGCTTGGAATTAAACTTAGACTTGCACTTGGGACAATCATGCCGCATCCAGTGTTGCCCGTTGTTGTTGTTGTTGTTGGTGCGGCTGCTGTTTTTGTTGTGATTTGATTTGGTGCCACTTGCCTGCCTGCTGATCTTGCTGCTGTTGTTCAGCCAGAAGTTGTTGCCGTCGCTGGAGGGGCAGCGTTACAGTTCGGAAAATCGGTCAATGGAAACGGGCTTGTAAGCAGGTGCAATCGCTCGAGAGCCACAAAATAGACCCAGAGGCCAGGCAGCAGAGATTGGAGCCGCCGGCATGTCGCTTAAGGTGAGTAAATGCCCGACCATCGACCTATATAGCTCGTAATTGACTCATTCGAATCGAGTTTGATGGCTCCTAAATGGGAATCGCCAAATGGTCGAAAGGAGCTCGCTTGGCAACTAAAAATTCTTGGAGCAACTAAGCTGCTCATTCACCTTCATAAAATTAAAGACCAGCAGCGAAAAGTGAACTGTTATTGCTCTTCATTAAAATAAAAGAAAAAGGCAAACCTGAAAAGTTATTACCCTATAAAGTAAATAACATAATCCCTGTGAACTCAAGTGATTAGTGCAAACAATTATGAAGATAAATAAGAGTATATTAATTAATGGATTGCAATAAGATCGTTCATGTTCAATTTATGTCCGAAGCTTTAAAAGTGCTTCTCACCTGCTGATACCTGTACATATCCCAACCTTATGATCACGATGGCATCACCGTCTTATTGTCATTATGTCACTCCAACAGCATTTGCATTGTTTCCCCCAGCAACTTGAGTCACGTCATTTTCTTCTGAGGGTTTTCACTTGTCTTTGCCTTTCAACAGGTGCTTCAGCCCACTTCATCATGCCCCCTACCTACATACCTACCTGGCTAAAACACACACATGCACACACATGTGGGCCACTTAATTCGCTTCATTAACGCAATGTTGACATTTCTAGCTTGCGAAAATATTTATTGCATTTCCCTTTTTGCACGAATACGAATGGTCATGGGCTGCGACTTGGGCGGCCGTAGTTAGTGCATGTTTCTGGGGAGATTGGCATGCGATTTAACCCTTGAATGGTTCGCAGGGATTTCAAATACTTTGATTAACTCTTTAATTTTAAAAATATATATAATAATAGAAATAATTAATTTATAACAAATATTATTCGGTTATCCAAGAATTCGAATCGCAGAAACCCTGCCCAGCTAAGGGTTAAATCTAACTTTGAAATAAACTGCCTTCAATGTGGTCCGACATCCGTTATAAAATAGTAATGATGATCTGACCCTAATTACTGAAAACAGGAAAACTCATCTCCCCAAGTGGCGCCCCAGATTGGGGAGCTGTGTACACACATACATATGTATGTATGTATGTATAAATGGAGGGTTTTTGGCCATGGGGCTTGTCTGGGGGTGTCTGTATCATTTCCCAAATATATCTTCATTTTGACAGCTGCTGCAGGCCAAATGGGTAATTGATTTGATTCTCTTTTTGCTGCCCCACAGAAGGAGACGCCCTCGGATGTTCAGCTGCACATGGCGGCGATGAGGGGCGATGAAGTGGCCCTTCTTCGAGTGCTGGACAGCGGAAAGGTGCACGTGGACTGCAAAGATGAGGTAGGTTTAATTTTGAGTACTAAATATGCTACTGCAAATGTGCATTAAGAGAAGTCAAAGCGAGTTACACAAGACCATTTAAACTCCATGCACTTTAGTTATGTAGTCGAACATGCAATCGGTAAAGCGTGACACATGCGACTTCAAAATGCTGTCAGAGAAATATTACGAAATGTTTTGCCAAAATATTTTGTTTGAGACTTAACAGCGTAAAAATCAGTTAACACTTCGTTGCTGACTTAAGTACGCACCAATTGGCAAAGAAGACGAAAAATGCAGCCAACGAAGAGCCGCCAAAAGCAAAAGCTAAATACAATATTTTTAAGAAGTAGTGATGAAGTGCATATACCCTTTAATTTTGTATTATTTAATATTAAATTACAAAGTACTTTACCTCTAGTTAATCTCATCTGTTATTCCAATCAAAGAAGATAGTTAATCACTCCGTTTTAGTTGCTCACCTAAGGGATAATCAACTGAGTAAAGCAACAAGTGAATCTTCCACCTGTTAACTTCTTGGATTTAAGCCGTACTTTAGCACCCGCAGTCGGTGTATAAAAAATGAAATGAAATTTCCCTGGCGGATCAGCGGAGCGTAGACTCAAGACCAAAGGAAGGGAAAGGAAAGCCAAGGGAAAGCAAGGGAAAGTGGGCTGCGGGGGCAGTGTGCCATCGCTGGGGTATTATACTATATTATGCCAGCTGGTCTGCAGAGTCCACGAATGGGGAGCTACGTGACTCCCTCGTTTTTATTTATTCAGACCATTCCGAGTGCATCGCGAGCGATTTGCGATTTGTAGCGCGATTTTCGCTCTGGGATATACTCGTACAACTATTTTCATTTTGTTTTCCGTCTGCTTAGTTTTTGTTGAGTCCGAGCAGTGGACTTGCATGCAAATCCACACGAAACGATTTGGCGTTGAGGCGGTGAAACTAATCGCAATTTGCCATTCAAGCCGTTTGATGGTCAATTAAACAATTAAAGCAAATGGTTTTTCATTTATCGCATTGCATTTCAAATAAACATAAGCTGGGAATTTTCAAAGCAATGTCTATTTGTGCTTGCTAAATCAACTGGAATAAATGTTTTTATTATAAATCGGCTTAAAAATAAGTTCATAGGTTGTAATCTATTCAATCCTAAAATACAATTGTTTGCTTAATATTATAATATTCTACTTATAGGACGGAACAACCCCACTAATTTTGGCTGCTGCCGGAGGACACACGTACTGTGTGATGGAGCTGCTCGATCAGGGAGCGGATCCCAACTCGCGGCGCCTCACGGGCACCACGCCCCTTTTCTTTGCCGCCCAAGGCGGCCACCTGGACGTGGTGAAGATCCTGATGAAGGCGGGCGCCAGTGTGGACACGCCCTCTGCGGACGGAGGCACGCCCCTTTTTGTGGCGGCCCAAGGTGGTCATGTGAAGATCGTGCGCGAGCTGTTGGATTGCGGAGCGAATGTGAATGCCCACATGAAGGTGTGTGCCCTTAGGATTTCTGCTTGAAAGGATTACAGAATATAGTGTTTATTTTTCCCCAAAAGGATCGAGCTACCCCAGTGTTTATCTCCGCCCAGAATGGTCATCGCACCGTCTTATCGCTGCTCATTCAGGCCGGCGCCGAGATCGACATCAAGCGGATAGATGGAGCCACGCCCCTTTGGATCGCCGCCCAGATGGGCCAGGATCACATCTGCAAGGTGCTGCTGCAGAACGGCGCCAATGTGGACACGGTTCGGTGCGACGGCGCCACGCCCCTGTTTAAGGCCGCCCACAAGGGCCATGCGGCCGTGATCACCGTGCTGCTCAAGTATCGCCCCAATCTCGGCCAGCTGCCCAACGGGGAGTCCGCCCTGCACGCCGCCGCCATGTTCGGGCACATGACCGTCTGCAAGCAGCTGGTGGCCGCCGGCAGCGACGTCCTGCTGAAGAACCAGGACGGCCTGACCGCCCTCCAGCTGGCCCACCAGCAGAAGTACACCTCCATCTGTGATTACCTCCAGGAGCGGATCCGCACGATGGTGGCGCGCAGCACGAAGGCGATGGTCGCGTCTGGCGTCTCGTCCACGGTCCGGACGTAAGGGGCATGCACCTGCGAAGCCTCCGAAGTACCTTCATGCACAATCCCTTGGCCTTTCTGCTTGAGCCCACAGAAAAATAGAGGCAAGAGGAGCCAGAGGTGTAGATCCGACACTGGGCAAGCGAAAGTGGCGAATAACGATTTGTGCTGCGGTTTGAAAACCCCCAAAAAGAGTGTAATGTATCTCATATATATCCTGGGAACCTTTGAGTTTTTAGGAACCACTTCCCTTTGCCCAGTGTAGTGCTCACTTCCGCACAAACAGAAAAAAAAAAAACAGAAAAAGCAACAACCACTAGTAAAACACGTCCAAGCTAAACTTAATGGCCTACCCCGAGGAAACCAAACTATTTATCAGATAAGCCGTATCACTCATATTAAAAACCACTCGGAGCTTGTATTTTGAATTTAACACTAACCATAACAATAACGTTACTATAAAGATGTTAACATGAACCCATGAAAAGAGAATGTTACAACGCCCCCTGTACATAACCATATATATTAACTTATATTTAAACTATACTTAAACCTACTTATAGACCCACTCGACCCTAAGCAATTGTTGACAAGTGCTTTATGTTTGAACGCCTTTTTGTCCTTAAATTAGCAATTAGTTACACGCGATGGTTTTCTGCTTGTTTCCCTGTAAGGTAGATACGGTAATTAATTAATTTCTTACTTTATTACATTTTAAGTATAGTCCACATTTTTGCAAGTTTAATAAATTGACACACGATAAGTGATTGGTTTTATTTTGAATAAATATGATGGGAGGACTACTACCTATAAAAAGTTTGGAGATTTTGTTGGCATGTGTTATTTAAAGTTAACAGCTTTACCTTAAGCTTACCTGTTAGTTTGAGCCTTGGCTAAAAGCTTTCTACAAACGGTTACAGGTTAATTCGAAAACAGTTACCTAAAAACTTCGTAATACTTTTGTTGATTGATGAAGAAGAATTGCCATAGAAATGTTTCAAAACTTTTAAGATATATATACAGGGTGCGCCATCTCGAGCTTCGGTATGAAAATATTGAATAACTTTGGAAAAAAACAAAAATTCATGGAAAATGTTTTATGTTTATTTAGATTGATCCTTTACAATTCATTTGAGTTAGTTTTTGAAGGGTCTAGAAAATTTCTGGTTACAGCAGGACGGGGTCCCATGTCACACAGCAAACGAAACCATGCAGTTTTTGCAGCAAAATTCCTGGATGCGTTGTGTCAAAAAGAGGCGATATCGACTGGCCGGACTTGACCCCGCCGGATTTCTTTTTGTGGGGTATACATAAGCAAGCCCTAGACCATCACAGAGCTCAAGGAGAGTATTCGCACCGAAATGGCCAATATATCGGCTGATTTCTCAATAAAGTAATGGAAAATGCTCGAAAAAGGACACTTTTTGCCATCAAGAACAAAGGAAGTCACTTAGTCGATATTGTGTTCAAAAACTAACTCAAATGAATTGTAAAGGATCAATCTAAATAAATGTAAAACATTTTCCATGAATTTTTGTTTTTTTCCAAAGTTATTTAATATTTTCATACCGAAGCTCGAGATGGCGCACCCTGTAGATGTTTTTTTATTTTTTTTATTACTTAGTTACTTTTCAGTACAAAGTCATATGTACCCTTTCGCTGTGGTTACCTCACAAGTTATGTTTAATCAACTGTTTTTCAAAAACTATATCTGAAGCCATCTGATCAGATCCAGACCCAGACTGAGCTTATGTTGCTCAGTCGATTGACAAACGCATTCGGGTTCAGTTCTAGTTCAGAATAGAGTCTACAAGTCTTGACGTATTTGTAAATGGACACATAGCCAACATTTTGTTTGCACAACTGAAATACTTTCATTTGGTTCCCGGTAGAAAGGGAAATTTCAAGTGACCTAAAAAAGTTTTAAGATTAATTTGCAAAAATGACAAGTGCAAGTTTATTGTCGCGTTCTTTGATAACAGAAGGTGATTATACAGTTTTATGTCTTTTAAAAGAGACATTTCGTATTTCCTTAATGGCTTTTCTTTATGAATAAGCAATCTTTTCAACCCTCTTCCTCTTTTAAATTTGGGAATTTCCAAGTACTAATAATTTAAATACGGCTGGGAAAATTTTCCCAGAAGTGGCAAAAACCCGAAATTTCTAACAGTTGAAAATAGTTAATGTTTAAATAATCGTTTTCTTTACAGCTCCCCGCTCCAAGAACCGCTCGGTTTTTACCCTGATTGTGGGCCTTGTGGTGGGGTACTGCCTGGCGCAGCTCTTCTCGAGCATTTCGCCCCATGAGAGTCTCTATCCGTACCTCAGCCGGCGGATGAGCCTGATCGGGAATCCCCAGGCAACGAACCAGGTTCAAGTGGCGCCGGCGGGCGATCCCTTCCGGCACGATCACTCCAACGACAACACCACCGTGGCCGAGCAGCTGAAGAGGGAGGTGCGCATCCTCTGCTGGGTGATGACCAACCCCACCAACCACAAGAAGAAGGCGCGCCACGTGAAGCGGACGTGGGGCAAGCGCTGCAACATCCTGCTCTTCATGAGCTCCGGCGAGGACGAGGAGTTGCCCACGGTGCGGCTGAATGTGGGCGAGGGCCGGGAGAACCTGTGGGCCAAGGTGAAGGCGGCGTTCACGTACGTCTACCACCACCACTACAACGACGCGGACTTCTTCTACAAGGCGGACGACGACACCTACGCGGTGATCGAGAACATGCGCTACATGCTCTACCCCTACAGTCCCGAGACCCCCGTCCACTTCGGCTTCAAGTTCAAGCCCTTCGTCAAGCAGGGCTACATGTCCGGCGGGGCAGGCTACGTCCTCAGTCGGGAGGCCCTGCGCCGGTTCGTGGTCGAGGGCATTCCGAACCCCAAGATGTGCCTGCCCGGCACGGTGGTCAACGAGGACATCGAGATCGGGCGCTGCATGGAGAACCTGAACGTGACGGCCGGAGATTCTAGGGACGGATCGGGACGGGGTCGCATGTTCCCCTTCGTCCCGGAGCACCACCTAATCCCTGCCAAGTGGGACAAGAACTATTGGTACTGGAACTACCTGTACTACAAAACGGATGATGTAAGTCTGGATTGTATATATTTTAAGGTGGAGTTAGAGTGAATTCTGTTTGCCAGGTATTCAAAATCTAACAGTTCAAATCGGAACTTGTATCTCAGTTTTAAAGTTATCTTGCTGAAACTTCACCAAAAATTGTTTAGTTATAAGGTTGCTAATATAATTGCCATAGTTGTTATAAGGTTGCTTTATTTATTCTATTGTTTAGGGTCTCGATTGCTGCTCTGACTTGGCCATCTCCTTCCACTACGTGGCACCGAATCTGATGTACGTGCTGGACTACCTCATCTACCACCTGAAGCCCTATGGCCTCACGCGATCCCTGGAACCTCTGCCGGCCAAACTTAAGGTGGGAGAGCTGCTCCCTGCTCCCATCGAACGTCCGGCGGCCAGTAACGAGGACTCGGTGGACGACTACGACAGGATATACACGACCACGACGGAGAAGCCGAAGGAACCCGATGCCCGGGAAATGGACTCCAAGGAGGTGGAGAAAGAGGAGACCAAGTACAGGGAGAAACTATCGAAGGAGGCCAAGGACGAGGAGTCGGAGTACACCGAAGAGGAGACGGACAAGCCGTCCAAGTCCAAGGAGACCTCAAAGGGAAACTAACATGGCCAACAAACTAGTACAAATGATGTGTGAAGACTTTTCTCGACGGAAAATCTGTCTAATAAAAAGTTTTACAACTATCTTTAACCTGATTTGGTTATTCAGTAGGCGTAGTCAGCTGGCACCTCCTTCTCAGCGGTGTTTTGCTGGGCTCCTTCAATGGTTTCCCTTTTGGAAATGCTATACTTCTTTGGAAGGATCTCGACCGGCAGCTTTCGGCCAAAAACCCGCAATCTATAGATCATATACTCGAAACAGTGCATATAGCGATGCTGAACGTAGTGAAAAGAGACCGCATACTTGGACCAAGCGAAGATACCCTGGAATATAAGCTTATGATATATATATATATGTATAGATAATATATAGAAAATAGATACGAACATCTTGGGTTTTGTAGGCGAGGAACTTCCAGAACCAGAAGTTCGAGTCATAGCGGAGGTACAGGTTGGACCTCGCCTGGGGATCGATGAGGTACATCCGCCGTCTGCCCTCCGAATCGTGCGAGTTTCCCGCCACCACGTTCGCATTTTCCAGGCACTCCCTCAGCTTTCCCGCCGTTGGTCCCGCGTCCTTCTGCTCGCACTTGGAGGGATTGGGCAGGGAGACCTCCACGAACCGGCGGAGGGCAGCGCGACTCATCACGGCGCCCGGGGAGCCGAAGTAGATGGCCATCTCCGGACTGTACGGGTAGACCATGTAGCGCAGGTTCTCCATCACCACGTAGGTCTCGTCGTCCGCCTCGAGGAACCAATCGGCATCGGCCAAGTGGTGCTCGTGGAGGTACTTCAAGGCCGCCTTGGTTTTCCGCCACGATTCCCGCTCTCTGTGATCGACCGGCAAGGCCACGGATCCCGGCAGACTGGGATCCACGCGGCTGGTGAAGAAGAGGAGCCTGTTGCACCTCCTTCCCCACGTTCGGAGCACCGCCCTCGCCTGGTTCCTGTGGTTGCTCGGCTTCGTGTGGACGAAGCACAGCACCCTCACCTCGTCCGTCAGGTCGACGTCCAGGGGATCCGATCCGCCCGTGCGGTTCGCATGCGACTTGAGGTCTATGATCGGCCAGAGGACCGCCTGGGTGACCAGGTAGCCGATCCCGATGCCCATCAGCAGGAAGAGCACCGGTCGGCAGGGGGATGGAGCAGCCGAGTGCTGCTGGTTCTGATAGCACTGATCCACGAAAACACACTCCTTTCGCTCCATTCTCCAAAGCGACTGGCTTGTTCCGGATTTGAGCCACCTGGTTATATTGTTGTTACACCTATCAGCTACGCTTGAGCTTGTAAGAATTCTCTTGTTCATGGTTCTCTTAAAATACAAACGCAATCTGATAACTAATGGAATCGCTGATTTTTCGGGATTTCCGAATGTTAATTTTTAAAGCAATCAAATATATGTCTTCGGGCTTCTTATCATTTTGGAGCATATCACTTTCATAGCGCTCTATAAAATCTCGTACGCTGTAGTATGCTGTATTAGTCGTTTGCAAACCTTCAATCGAGCGGACAATGTGGCGCAACTGGTCGTTGGCAGTCCTTCTTCTAGGCAGCATCCTTGGTGGCGATGCATGTCCACCTCCCCACAAATGTGTTCCTAGGGGCGAGTGTATGTTTGGTATAGCCCCTAAGAGCTCGTCATGCTCGGACAACGAAACCTGTTGCATGATAACAACGGTAAGTTCTTGTCGAATCAGCGAGTCCGAGTGACAAGTGACACATATGTTTGCCGCAAAAAAACAGGGCTTTAACGCAGATGAAACTGAAGTCGGAGTGAAAGTGACGGTTTCTCAGGAGTACGCCCGAGAAGGACAATTTCCCTGGACGGTCGTCCTCTTCAAGAACGGCCGGTTTTTGGGCGGCGGCTCCCTGATTTCGGAGAGGGTCGTGCTGACCGCTGCCCACCTGCTGGTTGATATCTCCAAGGAAGCGCTCTCAGTTCGGGCTGGCGAGTGGGACCTGGCTTCCGCAAGCGAGACTGTGGACCCCGAGGAGCGCAATGTGTCGTCGATCGAGTTGCACGAGGGCTTTCGATACTCCAACGGGGTCAACAACATTGCGCTCCTGTACCTCGACCGACCTTTTGAGCTGAACGACTTCATCAGGCCCATCTGCTTGGCCAACAGGGAGTGGCCGAGTCGGCCGAATCGTCCGAATCATCCGAGTCGGCCGGACCGGTGCCAGGTCGCCGGATGGGGAAAGCGCTCCTTCTCGGACCCGCACCACTCCAACATAAAGCGGCAGGTGAAGCTGCCCCTGGTAGACAGGGAGAGCTGCCAGTGCCTATTGAGGCGGACCCCCCAGTTGGGCCAAAGTTTCGAGCTGCCCGAGAACATGATTTGCGCTGGCGGAGAATACGAGAAGGATGCCTGCGTGGGGGACGGAGGATCTAGCCTCTTCTGCTCCCTGGACGGGGAGTTCCAGCGCTACGAGCAGATCGGCATCGTCGGCTGGGGCGTCAAGTGCGGCCAACAGGACGTTCCGGCCCCCTACACGGATGTGTCCAAGTTCCGGGACTGGATCGACCGCAGCCTCGCGAGGCACTGTCACGAACCCCTCATCGATTGCCAGTATATGGTTCCCAGGAAACTCTAATTGTAACTCAAAGTTTTCGGGATTATAAAAGCGAATAAATAAAGCTCTAGGCTTTTTCTCTAGCCTTGAATATTGAGAACCTCAATTGTATGTTCATAATTAGTTCTAAAACTACACTAGACAAGATCTTCGAAAACGTGTCTTTGTATATTTTAATTTAATATTTTTCTCATAAAACCTAGAAAAAAAAACTAATTCTGGGGAGTGCGCAGGGCGTTCATATTTATCAAAAATGGTGATAACACAATCTAGAATTATTTTTATTTTTCCAAGAAGTAAATAAATTTCATTCCTAAATTTCAAATATTATGGTTTTTAGTCGGAAATTGGTTTTAAAAATAGTGGAGTCATAAGTAGAGAGCTTCTGATTAGTCGTTTTCAGTAATCTTCTCGTATTGTTGATAATTCATTTTTATAGGTTTTTTCTTATCTCTGGCGCAAACTCGGTTTTTTTTCTGACTCGAGCCGAGTTTAAAAATTCTGTCGAAGAGGAAACAATGCAAAAAATCTGCCCACTTTTCTGTGCCTTTGCAGCAAGCCTCCTTTTCTCCGCAGTGGTAAGTTTTTGTTGACTGTGACCTTTAGTTCGTTGTTCAGCGATAGTTTCTCCGATTCCGTACTTGCAGATTGGCGTTCGCAGTGATAAAGGCATCCTGTGTGGCACCATCAACCAGAACGGCCTGGGGAAGATTCCGTGGGCGATGGCGCTGTACCACAAGGGCCAGTACTTCGGAGGCGGCTCCTTGGTTACCCCGGGACTCGTCCTCACGGCTGCCCACATTGTGTTGGGCAAGTCAGCTGGCGACATAAAGGCGAGAGCTGGAGTTCGGGACTTGTTGTCCGGGGAGAGGGGCTTCCTCGTCGAGGACCGCCAGGTGGTGAAGATCATATCGCACGAGGCCTTCGACTATATTTCCGGAGGGAACAACCTGGCCCTCCTCTTCCTGGACTCTCCGTTCGAGCTGAAGGCCCACATCGCCACCATCTGCTTGCCCAGAAGTTCGGAGCAGAAGTTCGCGGGAAGGAGCTGTGCGGTCTTCGGTTGGGGAAAGAGAGCCTTCCCCGATGACCAGCCAATGCTCACCCCCCAGAAGATCGACCTGCCCATCGTGGAGGACGCTCAGTGCCAGGAGCAGTTGAGGCGCACCACGCTGGGTCCGAACTTCCTGCTGCCCGCCAATGTCCTGTGCGCCGGCGACAGGGATGCCTGCAGCCTCTTCGGGGGATCGCCTCTCTTCTGCTCCCTCGAACAGGATCCCCTCCGATTCGAGCAGGTCGGCATCGCCTCCTGGGGCATGGGTTGTGGCCAGGAGAACGTTCCGGCCGTCTACACCAACGTGGCCAAGTTGAGCGACTGGATCGCCCCGCATCTGCAGCAGGTGCTGAGTATTCCGGGCGACTTGGTCAACTCCATGCTGAGCGAACCGAGAACATAAGCCTAGACTTATGACTCATTTTCTCCTATGTACAAAACCCAAAAATTCCCATAATCATAACATTTTGAGCAGATAACCTTGTCAATAATAATAAATGCCACTTCTAAATACAAAAAAGTGGATGCCTGCGTTGAAATTCCGAGAAAATTAATAAAATACAAGGCTGTGTTAAAGGTCGTTATAGCTTTCGTTAAAAAACCTAGCTTATCTTCAAAGCTCTTAAATCTGAGCCAAAGCTAAAGATTCGCAAAGAGTGGAACATATTTAAATCTTCTTAAAAGATTCTGTAAAAAATAAAATGAATATAATTTTTTAACTCAACTGATGCCACACTTATATATAAATAAGTATATATGTATGTAGGAATGTATTAATGTCATCACATTCACCACTTGCTGATAACAAGGGGAAGATTTTTTCTGCGAATTTATACATATTCCTCATAAAAATGCTATAACTGCTCGGCGGAATTCTTTTCAGTCGTTGAATGAGCGATGTTGCGAATAGTTGTTGTTTGCAGCTGCCTTTTTTGGGTGCTGGCCGATGCGGGTGTCCCGTGTGGCCCTCAAATGGAGTGTGTGCCCCAAGGGCTGTGCCAACCCAGCCTCAACTATCAACAATTCGGGTTTCAGCAAAGGGAATGCGGGCTAGCGGAAGTCTGCTGTTCCAGTTCGCAAATAGTGAGTAGAATGATATACATATATACATATATATATATAATAAATACATATGTTTACTCTCCGATTCTCAGATGGCTGTTGGGCCACCGCTGAACTGCGGTGAGAGTAACCCCGGTGGACTGGACCCGCGGTTTCCGGCGGCAATGGATGGCCTGTCGAGACCGAACGAGTTTCCCTGGATCGTGGCGCTGATGGAGCGAAAGAATATCTTTGGAGCGGGCACTCTGGTGACCGAAAACGTGGTGGTGACCGCAGCGCACCTGCTGGTGGGCAGGACACCGAATAGCTTCACAGTGGCCGCTGGCGTTTGGGACTTGGGCCAACTGTTCGGGGATGCAGTTGCGACTCGGGCACCGGCCAATATCATAACGCATCCGGAGTTCAACGTGACCGCCAACAACATTGCTCTGATCATCCTGGCCGACTCGTTTGAGCTGAAGCCCCACATCCGCACCGTCTGCTGGCCGCCTCCAGGGGCGGCCTTCGAGGGGCATCGCTGCACAGTCGCCGGCTGGGGCAGCCCTAACATCATGGTGCCGCACAACTCGCAGCGCCAGAAGAAGGTCGATGTGCCCATCGTGAACAGTGGCTTGTGCAAGAGACAATTGGTGGAGTTCGGCCTGGATGAGGCCTTCGAGATCCAGCCCTCGGTGATGTGCGCCGGCGGGGAAAGGGGGAAGGACGCCTGCGTGGGCGACGGGGGATCCCCGCTCTTGTGCCCCGTTCCCGGTCACCCCACCTTCTACCAGTTCGTCGGCATCGTCACCGCCGGCGTGTCCTGCGGCGAGGAGAACGTGCCGGCCTTCTACACAAGCATCGCCAGCATGAAGCCCTGGATCGACTCGCACCTGGAGCAGGAGATCAACAAGCCCTACAAGACCTTCCCCATATACAGCGTAGACGACTTTGAGTGAGGGAACTCAGCGAAGGCAGACCACTTCGAGCAGAATTCTTAGCTCATTTTGGTGCTGGTGAAAAAAAAATATTAAATTAAACGCAACTCAATAAGTCGCATAAGATATATACCATTTAAAACCTATTATTTCAAAGGTTAAAAATTTATATGATTTATATGATACGAAAAACTAATTTCCATCCATTTATAATCAATAATTTATTCGAGTTGCCTTTTCTAAGTGTGCCAAATATATCAGAAACCTTTCGTTTAATACCAAAAATGCGCTTCCTTGGCTTGTTCAGAGTTTTGATCCTGTCAACCTTGTTTTGGCTTTTGGCGATCGAGTTGCTGATATACTTCCACAGCACTGGCTTTGCAGATCTGGTCGAGTTAGTTCTCAAGCCTTATAGAGAGAAGGTAAGCACCTATGAAGTTGGCTTGAGAAGTCAGCGGTGGAACGATGATCGCATAGCAAAGCTTCTTCAAAAGCAAGTGCGCATTCACTGCTTGGTTTATATGGATCCTTCGGACTCTGAGTTGGGTCCTCAGAAGGCTGTTCATGTTAGAAACACTTGGGGTCGTCGCTGCAATCACCTGACCATTGTAAACCAAAGAGACACTTCTCTGCTGAAGGCATATCTCCGGATTTACGAGCAGTTCCACGGTCGGTTCGACTGGCTTCTGGTGGTTTACCTGGACTCCTATGTCGTCGTGGAGAATCTGCGCCGCCTGTTGGCTCATCATTCGCCAGCCGAAGAGATCTACTTCGAGGCCCAGCATGACTTCTACATCTATGCCCACGTGGGCCAGGTTCCCACCACCGATTACATATTCAGTCGCGAGGCATTGGAGCAACTGGCCACCAGGAACTGCCTCCAGGATGAGATCTTCCTCAGGGAGTGCCTGAAAAGGATGAAAAGGGTTGCCAGCGAAGGACTTCAGTCGTTCAAGGTATCGGAAATGGTGATTCCCTTCACTTTGCGACTTAACTTCTGGCTTTGGCCCTGCGCATTCCAAGCTGTCTATAAAAACCAGGTGAGTTCCTAAGGGAAAGTATTACATATATGATAATAGATATTTCTTTAGAGCTGGGAAAGCTGTTTCGGTGGAGCAATCCTGTATCCATATTGCCGTGACGTGCAAATGCATGTGCTGGAGTTCCTACTCTATCACCTCCGACCCTTTGGCCATGTGAATCCTTTCCCAGAACTCAGATCTCCCACTCTTCCCACGACAATAACCCACCGACCATTAAACGATCGCCTGGCCAGGTTTATGTTCCGATCGGTGAGGATAATCTGCTTGGTGTTAACCTGGCCCAAAAACTACATGAGTGGCGTGGTGGCAATTAGCCAAACGTGGGGAACCCACTGCAATCGAGTGGTGTTCTACGGCAGCTCCTCCCTAACCACTCCATCTGGGGTGGAGATTGTGGGCCTGAACATCAGCGACTCTCGCAGCAATCTTTGGGGCAAGACCAAGGCCGCTTTTGGCCATGCCTACAGGAATTATGGCCACGAGGCGGAGTGGTTCTTTAAGGCAGATGACGATACCTACGCTGTGATGGAGAATATGCGGCAGTTGCTTCATTCCCATTCCCCTGAAACTCCGATTTACTTTGGATCGGCATTCAAGTTGGCTTCCCAGGTTTACATGTCCGGTGGAGCTGGCTATGTGCTCAGCAAAAAGGCGGTGGAGCTGTTGGCCAAAGGAGCAGCTAAGAAGTGTCAACCAGGCAATCGAGGAACCGAAGACTTCGAGATGGGCAAGTGCCTACGCATACTGAAGGTCAAAGCCGGCGACTCCCGAGATCTTTACGGTCGACATCGGTTTTTTTCGCTTTCCCTGGAACACTTTTTAATTCCAAGTCGTGACGAAGAGGACTTTTGGCTGGGCAAATATCTCTTCCACTCGGCTGGAACGGTATTAACTTTGGTTGCTGTTGAGTAATTAAAAAATATTAAATCATCTTTACTTTCAGGGAATGGAGTGCTGCTCCACCTATTTGATTTCAATGCACAACGTATCGCCCTACGAAATGTACTTTCTGGAAACTATTTTGTATAAATCCCGACCCTTCGGAATAATCGCTGATCATCCTCCCTTAAAAGTTTCAAGAAAAAAAAGATTACTGAGAGAGCAGTTTGGTTTATAGATCGATTTTAACAATTGTGTTTTATAATATATGTACATGATTTAAATGATAACGTTTCTAAGAAAAATGGCATTACTCTTTGGCATTTTATATTGCAGTCAATAGAACCTTAATAATTGATTAAAGCAAGATTACGTCTTGAACTTCGGCTTAGTTTCCACATTCGAGCTTGTGACATTTTCCTCCGACCAAATTTCATTGAGGGCCGTTTTTCCAAGCTCTGTTTTTTTGTTGTGAAAAGTGGTCCACGACTGCTTGCTGGAATAAATGTAGTTCATTGCTGGCAATTTATCCTGGCTTTTGCTGATACCAAAGATTTTTAGCTCATAGCCAAAACATATAAAAAAGGAACATAATGGTTAAGATTTTTGGAAAACAAAAGGTTTTTGTTGTATTTTTTGATATTAAACAAGAAAGGAATCTAGCTTCGGCTTATATTACCTTGCAGTCATCAAATTTGTCGGTCAAAATTAAAAAAAGTTGAATAGTAGTTAACTTTAAAACTGCTCAAAAGTAATCAATAAAAGGGGTTTTCAAGAAACCGTATTCGAATTGAATAAACCTATTTTTATTTAAAGTTACTATTGAGTTGAAAACTTCATATGAACCAAGTAGATAGATCTTGATTTTTCGGCATCCAAACAATCGAGTTGCATCTCGAACAAAATCAGAGTCTATCGTTTTGTGAGCATACAATCCGAGCACTCTGATTAGCGGACAGCCTTCGAGGATCGTCAGCAGTTGGTGGTTGGTAATTTCAGGCGTATTCAGATTCAGAATTTCCAAGTTCCTTAGTTTAAGCAGGCCACTCAAGGGAACACTCGGGCAGCCCAAGTAAAGTTCCCTTAGCGAGGAAATCTCGCAGATATGCTCCACCTGTTCGGCACGCAAGGCGTCTCCCAACAAAATGAGGCTTTCCAGCGGAGTTCCCGTTTTGTGGATCAGTCCCTCGATGAAAGCTGCCCTCAGCTTTGAGGGCCAAATTTGCAAGTGCTTCAATTTGGGCAACTGACACACGATTTCGTAGGGCTCATTTTCATCCATCAGTTTGTCTAAAAGTAAAGTCTCCAGATTGCGACAGTTTCTCACAATTGCCCTAAAGTCGTCCGCGGTGGATGTTCCTATGAAAGTATCAATGTCTAGGTGGCGGAGCTGTTTCATTTTCAGGCAGGCCTTGAAAAAATACTCGGCATTAATTCCTGCACGAATCACGAGTGTTTCTAAATTCTCCAGCACATGCAGCCCATCTCCATTGTAGTTTGGTGCATCTAAGTTCAGTTTCCGGAGGCAGGGTACGACTTTGCCTTCGAGAAATGAAGATGGACGTGCAGGGATGTAAGGCTCTTCAACTGTAACAGATCACTCCAACTCTGCCGTGTAATACTCATTTCCAAGTGCTGCAATCGTGGACAAAAGGTCCGCAAAAGCCTCAAGGTCCGCTCTCCATAGAGTTTAGGTGACTGAAAGCTGAACACATCGAAAAGGGGTGACTCATAGCTGATCACATTCTCATTAACGACTTCCAGCAATTGAGAGAGCTCGTTTTCTCTTAATTGCCATGTGACGCTTTCTGTGATTTGCTTGTATTTCAGCCTTAAGGCTTCGAAAAGTGATTTAAGATGCGGACTTGATGCAGCCAGTCTCAGTTGGTCACCCACGCTCAAATATGATAAAACGCCTTTCCAACAGCAGGTGTTCAGTAAAAAGATTTCGGGTATTTTCGGAGCCAAAGATGCAGCTGGGTTTTTCTCTTCATTTCCCTGGGAAATTGGTACTGAAGCCGAAGAGTTTTTGACTGTGATTTTGCGTCGCTTTATTCCCGGAACATCTTCACAATCTTCTGACTCAATTTTTCTTGTCTCTGGCAAAGCCTTTTCCCCATCACTCGTTTGCTCCTTCTGTCCACCACTTTCTGAAGCTTCGCCGATTCTTCCGCTCATTTTTGATAACCACGCGCCTCGGGATTCGCGGACGACTGACCAGATCGGCCCATGGTACAATTCATGGTTCTCGTCGGCAAAAAGCACCCCGTTAATCAACAAGTGCGAGTGAGAGGAGTCTGCGCAGTAAGTGCGGTCGAAACGAGAATAGAGATTTTGTGCATGGGGGTTGGAAAACGTTATATTCCAACAAGAAAGGAAGCTAGCTTCGCCAAGCCGAAGCTTATATACCCTTGCAGTTATATTTGATGAATGCTCATCAAATGCATAAGGGCTAAACAACATCGAAACTATGACAATTTTTCTATTCATTTCCCTATTTTCGACTATTGTTCATATGGCAGCTATATGTTTAGTTGTCCGATTTTTAAGAAATTTAATACGTAATTCAAGAGTAGTTAGAAAACTCTATACTCCAAAAATTATTATTATTTCTGATGAAAAACAACGATGTTATAATTTTATTTCCCGTATTTCTATATAGATTTTTCGATCTTTCCTATGGCCGCTATATGATAACGTTGTCGGATTTTGATGAAATTTTTTTCTCGATTCAAGGGTTAATAAAAAACTCCATGTTTTGAAAATCATGCTCGTGGGATTAAAAACAACGACGCTAAAATTTTTTTCCCTATTATTTATATATATATTTTTCGATCTTTTGTATGGCAGCTATATGATAGAGTTATATGATTTTGATCAAATTTTATCCGAAATTCAATAGTGGTTAGAAAACACCATCTAGAAGAAATCAAGTCAATCTGATCAAAAACAACGGCGTAAGAATTTTTTATTTCATTCTCTCGTATGGAAGCTATCCGATATAGTCGGCCGATCCGGCCCGTTCCGACTTATATACTGCGGCAATAACTACACAACTTTTGGGAAAGTTTCAGCAAGATAGCTTTAAAACTGAGAGACTAGTTTGGGCAGAAACGGACAGACGGACAGACGTACAGACGTATTTCGATTCAGAACGTGATGCTGATCAAGAATATATATACTTTATGGGGTCTGAGGTGTCTCCTTCACTGCCTTGCAAGCTTCTGGCCAAAATTATAATACCCTTTGCTCTGCAAGGGTATAAAAATTATGCTTGTCTGATAAAAAACAACGTCGTTGATAATTTTTTTTCGAGTATTTATATATATATATTTTTTTTTGGTCTTTTCTATGGCAGCTATATGATAAAGTTATCCGATTTTGATAAATTTTTATACGAAATTCAATAGTGGTTAGAAAACGCCTTTGCTCTGCAAGGGTATTAAAAAGTAGATGCCTGCGTTGAAATTCCCACAAAATTATTACAAATACATGGCTGCGATATATGTTGTTAAATCTTTAGTTTTTAAACCTCGCTTATCTGCAAAGCTCTAAAATCTAAGCGAAAGCTATAACGTCGTAGTCCTCAGAAAGGGAACATTTGCAAACTTTCTTAAAAGTTTCTGTTAAAAAATAAAATTAAAATAATTTTTTTTAGCTCAACTAATGACATACTTATATATAAATAAGTTTGTGTGTAGGAATGTATTAATGTCGTCACATTCACAACTTGCTGATAACGACGGATAGATTTGTTCTGCGAATTTATACATATTACTCATAAAAATGCTATGACTGCTCGGTGGAATTCTTTTCAGTTGTCGATTGAGCGATGCTGCGCATAGTTGTTGTTTGCAGCTGCCTTTTTTGGGTGCTGGCCGAGGCGGGTGTTCCGTGTGGCCCCCAAATGGAGTGTGTGCCCCAAGGGCTGTGCCAACCCAGCCTCAACTATCAACAATTCGGGTTTCAGCAAAGGGAATGCGGGCGAGCGGAAGTCTGCTGTTCCAGTTCGCAAATAGTGAGTAGAATGCTATATATATATATAATCTACATCTATACATATAAAAGGAAGTCGTCTTAGTTACACCACTTACATATAACTCAAGAACGGCTGAACAGATTTGGCTAAAAATTGGAGGTAGCTTAGGGCCAGGAAAAGGACATAGGATAATTTTTATCCCGTTCGACATACCAAAAATCGCATATATGTAAAGTGAGTTACTTCCTCATCACACTGACGAACACAGGCTCCCATAGCATTTTAACTCAATTTTTGTGATTTTGGTGAATTGAAGTGAAGTGAAGTTTTTTGTGGTTTTGGTGATGGCTTTGTTTTATGTGACATTTCGACAGCGTTCCCGGGTGACGGGAAATCTTCTGTAAAAACTACTGTACGTGTGTTAGTCATTAAACTCCTCCTAAACGGCTGGACCGATTTTGATAACATTTTTTGTGTGTATTCCAGGAGGCTTAAGGATGGTTTAGATTCACAATATGTTAAAAAAAAATTTATTATTTTTGAGGTTTTTAATGTTTTAATAATTTTATTTTTCCGCTTATACATTGCAAACTCAGAGGAACCAAAGACTTCGAGATGGGCAAGTGCCTACGCATACTGAAGGTCAAAGCCGGCGACTCGCGAGATCTTTACGGTCGACATCGCTTTTTTTTGCTTTCCCTGGAACACTTTTTAGTACCAAGTCGTGACGGAGATGACTTTTGGCTGGGCAAATGCCTCTATCACTCGGCTGGAACGGTATTAACTTTGGTTGCTCTTGAGTAATTAAAAAATTTGAAATCTACTTTACTTTCAGGGAATCGAATGCTGCTCCACATATTCGATTTCAATGCACAACGTATCGCCCTACGAAATGTACTTTCTGGAAACTATTTTGTATAAATCCCGACCCTTCGGAATAATCGCTGATCATCCTCCCTTAAAAGCTTCAAGAAAAAAGAGATTATGGAGAGGGCAGTTTGGTTTATAGATCGATTTTAACAATTATGTTTTATATTATACATGATTTAATTGATAACGTTTATAAGAAAAATGGCATTACTCTTTGGCATTTTATATTGCAGTCAATAGAATCTTTAAAATAAATCAAAGCAGGATTACATCTTGAGCTTTGACTTAATTTCCACATTTGAGCTTGTGGCATTTTCCTCCGACCAAATTTTATTGAGGGCCGTTTTTCCAAGCTCTGTTTTTTTGTTGTGAAAAGTGGTCCAAGAAATGGGTGTCATTGCTGGCAAATTATCCTGGCTCTTGCTGACACCAAAGATTTTTAGCTTATAGATTATGTATTCCAGCACGTAGAACTCCTTGGCGATGTTGTAGTGAAAGGATATGGCAGAACTTGAGCAGCAATCGTTGGTGACCTACGGGAAATGGAGATAGTTTATGATTCTGTAGAAAACTTGAATTCTTACGTTTGGAGTTGTATAATATAGCAGTGGCTTGTACCACTGCGGAGGATCTGGATACCACTGAAGTGGAGAGAAAGGCACAAATCGCGCCAATCCGAGTTCGTCCCTGGAATCTCCGCCCACCACGCCCACCGCCGCCAGACATCTTCCGAGTTCCACGTCCTCGTAGCCGTAGGTCTTACTGCTGCAAATGCTGCCGTTGCCAAATCCGAACTTCATAAATCGGTGCAGGGCCATTTTGCTCAGAACGTAGCCCGCTCCGCCCGACATATATCCCTGAAATTAATTCAATCCATTACTTGGTTTACAGTGTCTATAGCCAAAATTGCAGTACACTTTTTGGCATTAACCTTTAATGCTTCAGGCAGCAATCATTTTTATATAAATAAAAATGTAGATTGATTTGCGATCAAGCATCAACAGCATAAAATAAAAAATATTACCTCTTTGACATGAGTTCGAAACTTCTGTCCAAAATAAACTGGGCTCTTCGGATTGTTTACATATAAAAAGGATCGTAAGTTCTCCATTATCACATAGCTAAAACATATAAAAAAGGATCATAATGGTTAAGATTGTTGGAAAACGAAAGATTTTTGCTGTATTTTTTGATATTAAACAAGAAAGGAAGTTAGCTTCGTCCCATATACCATATTTGATGACGGGATTCATCAAATTCATCAAAAATCGAACAAAATACATAAAAACTAAACAACATCAAAGCTATGATGATTTTTCTATTAATTTAACATATTTTCGACTATTGTTCGTATGGCAGCTATATGATATAGTTGTCCGATTTTAATTCAATTTAATCCAAAGTACAGTAGTAGTTAGAAAACGCCATCTGAAAGAAATCAAATCGATCTGATCAAAAACAACGGCGTTATCACAACACAACTTTTGGGAAAGTTTCAGCAGGATAGCTTTAAAACTGAGAGACTAGTTTACATAGAAACAGACAGACGGATAGATGAACAGACAGACAGAGGGGAAGACGTATTTCAGTTCAGATCGTGATGCTGATCAAGAATAAATATACTTTATGGGGTCTGAGGTGTCTCCTTCACTGCGTTGCAAACTTCCGACTGAAATTCTAATACCCTTTTATCTTTAGCGGCTTAACTAGGAGTAGCGATTCGCAAGGAATGCGGTTATTCCCAAATTGAAGTTCTAGTGAAACACTGCTCGATATATAGAATTAAAGCTTACACGATGTTAACGAGTCTGTTAGATGGCTTGATTTTCGTTAGGGGAGGATAAGGTTTAAAAAAATTAATTTTTGCTTTTTTTTATATTTTTTTTCTAAAAGACCAATATATTGAGAACATTGTGTAAAAATGTTGAGTCAATTAGAGTCAAACTAACGAAGTTACAGCGTTTTAAACGACCGAATTTTGACGTATTTTGACGTATAAAAATACTTTAAATCGAATTTCCCGACAACGTTATTTTGAAAGTCTGTGAACATCAGAACTCAAAGTGTAATGCACCGATCCTTTTCAAATTTTTAAAACAAATTCTCCACATAAATACGCAGGTAATCAGGAAGAGTTTTTTAATTTTTAATTTTTTTCTATTTAAAAAAAAATAAGTGAACATCGATTTTTAAAGTTAAAATCGCACTTTTGACTTTCAAGTACACGAAAACCTCTTCTTGATTACCTCGGGAAATTCATTATCTTTACTGCGTATATCACTTTTTTTTTAAAGATACTTCGTTAACGAGTTATGATGTTCACCGCAAAACAAGTTTTCTTTTAGGCGCTTCGGCAGATTAACGGCCATAAGCTTATTTCTAAATATTTTTTAATCATTTTTTCTTCACAAAGTTGAACAATAAAATGTAATTAAGCTTAATAAAATAAAATTACTCATCTCGCCGCAAAAAAACATATATAGCCCTTTTTTTGACCTTTAATACCTTACCTTTTTGGCTTTTTCGCTGATTTCTTAGAAATAACTTTAAAACTGCTCAATAAATAATGTGCTTTTAAGTCCAGTGCTCAATTAATTGTTAATCAGTAAAGGCTTTTTCAAAAAACCGTGTTCGAATTGAATAAACCTATTTCCATTTAAAGTTCCTATAAAATTCCGATTAACAGATGGACCACGTAGATAGATCTTGATTTTTCGGCATCCAAACAATCGATTTGCATCTCGAACAAAATCTGAGTTGATCAATATTCGAGCATACAGACCGAGCACTCTGATAAGAGGACAGTCTTCGAGGATCGTCAACAGTTGGTGATTGGTAATTTCACTCGTAGTCAGGTTCAGAATTTCCAAGTTCCTTAGTTTAAGCAGGCCACTCAAGGGAATACTCTCGCACCCCAAGAAAAGTTCCCTTAGCGAGGAAATCTCGCAGAGATGCTCCAACTGTTCGGCACGCAAGACGTCTCCCAACAAAATGAGGCTTTCCAGCGGAGTGTCTGTTTTGTGGATCAGTCCCTCGATGAAACCCGCCCTCAGAAAGCCACAGTGACAAATTTGCAAGTGCTTCAGCTTGGGCAACTGACACACGATTTCATATGGCACATTTTCTTTTATCATTTCTCTGCTGAAGGATAGACTCTCCAGATTACAACAGTTTTTACCAATTACCCTAAAGTGTTCCGCGGTGGGTGGTTCATCGAATTTTTCAATGTCTAGATGGCGGAGCTGTTTCATTTTCAGGCAGGCCATGTCAAAACTCTCAGGATTTATTCCTAGAAAACCCCGAATCACCAGTGATTCTAAATTCTCCAGCACATGCAGATCATCTCCACTGTAGTCATATGCCTCTAAGTTCAGTTTCCGGAGGCAGGGCAGGTCCACTAGGCTAAGAACAAAATTCCTGCACATCTCTGCCCTCGAGAATTGAAGATAGACGTGCAGGGATGTAAGACTCTTCAACTGTAAGAGATCATTCCATCTGGGTCGAGAAAAAGCCATTTTTAAGTGCTGCAATCGTGGACAAAAGGTCCGCAAACGCCACAAATTCCGATCTCCATCGTAATAAGGTGACTCATAGCTGATCACATTCTCATGATTTCCAGCAATTGAGAGAGCTCCTTTTCGCTTAAATCTGCTGTGACGCTTCTTGTGATTTGCTTGTATTTCAGACTTATAGTTTCGAAAAGTGATTTAAGATGCGGACTTGATGCAGCCAGTCTCAGTTGGTCACCCAAGCTCAAATATGATAAAACGCCTTTCCAACAGTAGGTGTTCAGTAAAAAGATTTCGGGTGTTTTCGGAGCCAAAGATCCAGCTGGGTTTTTCTCCTCATTTCCCTGGGAGATTAGTTCTAAAACCGAAGAGTTTTCGACTGTAATTTTGCGACGTTTTGTTCCCCAAACATCTTCACAATCTTCTGTCTCAATTCTTCTTCTTTTTGATAAAGCTTTTTCCCCATCACTCGTTTGCTCCTTATCTCCACCACTTTCAGAAGCTTCCCCAATTCTTCCGCTCATTTTCGATAACCACACGCCTCGGGATTCGCGAACGACTGACCAGATCGACCCATGGTACAATTCATGCTACAACAAGGTTGTCTGGTTGGCAAAAAGCATCCGTTAATCATACTCACAACAAGTGCGAGGGAGAGTAAGTAAGAGTTAGTAAGTGCGATTAAAACGAGAATAGAGCTTTTGTGCATGGGGCTTAGAAAAGTCCATATTCCAAAAATTAAGCTTGCCTGATTAAAAACAACGACGGTATAATTTGTTTTCCATTATTTATATATATTTTTTTATTTTTCCTATTAAAATTGAATCGAAATTCAATAGTAGTTAAAAAACGCCATCTGGAAGAAATCAAGTCGATCTGATCAAAAACAAAGGCATTCTCTCGTATGAGAGCTATCCGATATAATCGGCCGATCCAGCCCGTTCCGACTCATATACTGCGTGCAATCACAACACAACTTTTGGGAAAGTTTCAGCAAGATAACTTCTAGTTTAGAGAACTAGTGACTAGTTTAAAGAGAAACGGTCAGACGTATTTCAATTCAGATCGTGATGCTGATCAAGATATATGTACTTTATGGAGTCTAAGGTGACTCCTTCACTGTGTTGCAAACTTCTGACTGAAATTGTAATACCCTTTTATCTTTAGCGGCTTAATTAACTATAAGCAATTCGCAAGGAATGCAGTCGTTTCCAAATTTAAGTCCCATAAAAGCTTACACGATGTTAGTGATCCTGTTAGTTGGCTTGCTTTTCGTTAATCAAAATGTCATTTGCTTAATTAAAAATTTCTCTCTCGGGCATTTTGCAACTACAAAAACGATTTCTTTGTGGGTCTAGGCGTTCAAATTAAAAGTCGTAATGATTGTGTCGTTTAATTGGCTTTTTATTGATTTCTTAGAAAGAATTTTAAATCTCCTTCATAGGTACGGTGCTTTTAAGCCCAGTGCTCAATTAATTGTAAATCAAGAAAGACTTTTTCAATAAGCCCCATTCGAATTGAATACACCTATTTCCATTTAAAGTTTCTATAAAGTTAAAACGAAATGGATCCCCTAGATAGATCTTGATAGACCTTTTTCTCCGTCTTAGCAATGGAGTTGCATCTCGAACAAAATCAGAGTTGATCAATATTCGACCGAACAGACCGACCACTCTGATTAGCGGGCAGCCTTCGAGGATCGTCAACAGTTGGTGGTTGGTAATTTCACTCGTTGGTAATTTCAGGTTCAGAATTTCCAAGTTCCTTAGTTTAAGCAGGCCACTCAAGGGAACACTCTCGCAGTGGATGGAAAGTTCTCTTAGCGAGGAAATCTCGCAGATATGCTCCACGTGTTCGGCACGCAAGACGTCTCCCAACAAAATGAGGCTTTCCAGCGGAGTGTCTGTTTTGTGGATCAGTCCCTCGATGAAACCTGCCCTCAGAAACTCAGAGTGACACATTTGAAAGTGCTTCAATTTGGGCAACTGACACACGATTTCGTAGGGCGCATTTTCATCCATCAGTTTGTCTAAGAGTAAACTCTCCAGATTGCGACAGTTTCTCACAATTGCCCAAAAGTCGTCCGCGGTGGGTGTTCCAATGAAACTATCAATGTCTAGGTGGCGGAGCTGTTTCATTTTCAGGCAGGCCTTGAAAAAATACTCGGCATTTATTACTGGAAAAGCACGAATCACGAGTGATTCTAAATTCTCCAGCACATGCAGCCCATCTCCACTATAGCCTGGTGCCTTTAAGTTCAGTTTCCGGAGGCAGGGCAGTTCCACTAGGCTAAGAACAAAGTTCCTGTACGTCTCTGCCCTCGAGAATCGAAGATAGACTTCCAGGGATGTAAGACTCTTCAACTGTAACAGATCATTCCATCTCGGCTGTTCAATAGTCATTTTCAAGTGTTCCAATCGTGGACAGAAGATCCGCAAAAGCCACAAATTCCCCTCTCCATATGACTCATAGCTGATCACATTCTCATTAACGATTTCCAGCAATTGAGAGAGCTTGTTTTCGCTTATTTCCGCTGTGACACTTTCTGTAATTCGTTTGTATTTCAGACATAAAGTTTCGAAAAGTGATTTAAGATGCGGACTTGATGCAGCCAGTCTCAGTTGGTCACCCACGCTCAAATATGATAAAACGCCTTTCCAACAGCAGGTGTTCAGTAAAAAGATTTCGGGTATTTTCGGAGCCAAAGATGCAGCTGGGTTTTTCTCTTCATTTCCCTGGGAAATTGGTACTGAAGCCGAACAATTTTCGACTGCGACTTTGCTAAGCTTTGTTCCCGGAACACCTTCACAAGCTTCTGAATCATTTTTTCTCGATGTGCCAGCACATCGATTATCTTCCGATCTGCCTGGTAGAGGTTTTTCCCCATCACTGGATTGTTCCTTCTCTCCACCACTTTTAGAAGCTTCCCCAATTCTTCCGCTCATTTTTAGATAACCACACGCCTCGGGACTCTCGAACGACTGACCAGATCGGTCAGATTTATCAATTGTCATTAGAAGGTTATAGCAAAAAACACAAAAAAGTATTTAACTCAACTTCTAGATACCTCTTGATTCAAATTGAAAAATATTAACTTTTGGTAGGAAACAAATGGATCAAACAAATTAAATGAATAAGTGTAAAATGATTATTTAATTGAACAATTATATAAAATAAAAATTCTTTGGTCTACCATGCTTCTCAAATACCTCTTAAACAAATGAGCTTTTCACTAGAAAAGCTTGTTAATTTTCCATCTAGCTTATAGTATGAAATACAGCTTATTTTCAAATTCATCTAGTATATTCCAGCTTTAAATGTAATTTGCGACATCAACGGTTCGTTTTGAAAATATCGAAGCTTCATTATTTGCCGATGGTTGTGTGTATTTCATATGATCGTGAATTTATTTTAAATCGATATGTTGTCTGAAGTGTAACCACCCATCTTTTGGAGTTGTGAAATTAAATAAAGCGTTTGCTGAGATGCCGAAAGTGATTTATAAACAAAAAATACATCGTGATGATCAAGATGACGAAATCGTTGAGTTATCAACATATTTAATTTAATTGCAAACTTTAAGAATATATTTACAAGTAAACCTTTAATAATAAGATCATCATCATAATAATAAGGTTCACACGATGTTAATGATGCTGCTAGTTGGCTTGCTTTTCGTTAATCAAAATGCCATTTGCCTAATTAAAAATTCCAGTTTCGGGCATTTTGCAAATATTAAAAAGAAAGGAAGCTAGCTTCGAAGCCGAAGCTGCGTTGCAAACAAATTATAATACCCTTTTGCTCTGGAAGGGTATAAGAAGCTTTACAGAAAATGTAATTGTTTTACAATTATATTTAATGTTTTCATGGCAAAAGAGAAAAAGAATGTTTTTATGATATATGTTTTTGGATTCGTTTGTTAAATGGTTAGTTCCACTCACGTGTCATCGTCAGCCTTTAGAAACCAGTCGTAGTTCTGGAAGTGGTGCTTGTAGACGTACTGCAGCGATGCTCTGATCTTGGGCCACAGATTCGAGTAGCCCTCCCTGACTTTCAAGGCCACGGCTCCCAGCTGCTTGTCCGCCTTGGTGCTCATGAAGATCAGCTTGTTGCAGCGCGCTCCCCAGGTTCTCTGGATGTGGATGGCGCGACTTTGGTGGGTCTTCGGGCTGGTTAGCACCATGCAAAGGACCCGTGTCTCATTGAAGAGATTGGGGACCTTCCCGACATCCGGAGGAGGAGGTGTGGTGGTGGTGGTGGTTGGAATGATGGAAGGATCCGTGGGACTCGAACTGCTCCTTCGACTGGTCGGAAGGGAGCTCCTTGGACTGCTGTCCACCTGTCGATCCTCATGATCCTGCCATCGATCCCTTTGCATCAATTGAGACAGCAAAATGCCCCAGGACAATCCGATGAGCAACATCAGGAGCAGCTCCAAGCGCTTTCGATGTGGCCGCATTGTCATCATTTGTATTTCTTTTAAGGATCACAGATCAAAACGGTCATAAGTCAATATTTTTGATTATAAAGTTTTTTAACTGAAGCAATTAAAGGAGAAAATAAATGACACTCCTTTTTATGTTTTTTTGTGTCACTTGTTTTCACTTACTCTACTTGGTTAAAATTTTGTTATCACTTTTTAAATATTCTATTATATATAACATTATAATCTATTATATTATTCCATTTTGCTCGCTGCTACTGTGATCGTAATGTTTTCACTATCTTCACATGTTTAAAATTTTGCTATCACTTTTTAATTATTCAATTATATTTAATATTATATCATATTATTCCATTTTCCTTGTTGTTACTGTGATCGTAAAACTAATATGTTAAAAATCATTTACATTTGATTCGTCGTTTTGTTTTTATCATGGCAGGTGGGTTGATTTGTTTTTGTTTTGGTTTCTCCCCCACCACTTTGTTTTCTTATTTTAAGCCGAGTTTGTTTACTTTTTTATGCAAATCTTATGTCGTCAGGCGGCAAACCGATCCGCTTTATAGGCATTCGCGGTTGTTGTTGTTAATGTTGTTGTTGAATCACCGAATTAACACATTCTTGGGAGAGTGACGCAGAGTCGAAGGCCTGTAAAGATGCGGTCGACCTTCGGCACAGGTTCGATGGAGCAGATGGAGTAGATGGAGCAGATGAAGCAGGTGTGTTTCTCCCCTTGCGAGTGCCACAATTTGTTCGGTCAATTCGATCCGCAATTGCTGAATTGCAAATGGCAATTGCCCGGTCTCTTTGACGCGATTTCAAAGCGTTTCAATCTCATTTGGGCCGCTTCGAATCGCTGCCCCCAATTAGGTGACTGTTTTTCAACTTCCTCGATCGTTTTCACTTGCTTGTAGTAAACGAAACTCCGGCACTTGGGAGGAATTTCAATTGCAGGCCCTCAAACGAGTGGCGATAAAAATAAACGCAAACGCGACTTGAAGTCCAAAACGAAAATAAACACTTGGCTGACTGACTGACGAAAAAGAAGCTCGAAAACGAGCTGGGAACGACGTCTTCGCGCTTTGCCGCCAGTTGACAGACTCGGCTTAAATGGGCGCGTCGGAAATGTTGCCAAAGAAATACCTTAACGCCTGTTCGGCCACAATGTTGCCAGATATTAAGCGGCTATTGCCTCTATCCACAAGGTCGGTTTTCGAATAAAAACAATAATTACAAATACAATCCAATGTTTTTTTTTTAGCCGCACTTGCAATTGAAAACCGGTTAATTCATAAATGTGACACAATTATTGGAAAACAAAAGGCGAAACAAAATTATTTCGTTAAGAATGGAGAGTACAAAATGAAATATGAAATCATGTAATCAAATGTTTGAAATAAAAATTATTCAGGTACATATAATGTAATGTATCGTTTAGTATAAATTTATTAAATAAAAACCTCAAAAGAAAAAGATTTTAATAGGTGTTTGGTATTAAGAAATTGTAATTTCTGTACGTTAATAAGAAACTTCAATATCTTTCTTATGGCTTTTCATTTTGTAAGCCTTTATATATTTTTTGTTAACAAAACCCATACGTTTCGAATGATGGCTTTGCATGCTTTGACCTTTTCAGCTTTTTTCTTCACTCCTTAACATATGGCACTTGCACCTTAATTACTTACCTTGTTCCCCAAAGCAAGACTTACCTTTAATGGCATCGTGGAAATGCCAAGGAAAAGCTTTAGCAAAGCTTGAACTTAGCCTCAAGATATGCAACACCTTTCTTGTCTTTTAATCATTTATGTTTTTATTTTGTATTTGCAACTTAGAAAACTAGTAGTAGATGGAGCACGATGAAGGAATATACAAGCAGTGCGTAGCAGATGAGCAGGACTCAGGCGTAGGGACCGCCGGAGGAGTCCAGTCCCCGTGGGGCGTTGGCGTAGCTATCCTCGGCGAAGGAGTTGCTCACTCCGGAACCGGAAGAGATGCCGGAAGAAATGCCGGAAGAGCTGCCGGAGGATGATCCAGAAGACAAGCCGGAAGTCAAGCCAGATCCCGAACCAAGTTCAGCCGAAGATCGGGTAACCTCCGACTTGGAGCGCTCGTCGAGAGCCACAAAGGGACTGGGTTTGGCGGCCACTGGAACCACCACAGTTTTGAGGGCATAGGGAACTCGGTTGACCACCGCGTTAAAGCCATGGACATCGTCCGCCGTGTAGGTCACCGTTCGCTTGTAGCCATCGGGATCGATCAAGCTATAGAAGCCGCGCACCACGTAGCCATCGCGGGTTTCACTGTGCTCCTTGATGTCCCCGGTGCTCTCGTCGTTCACCGCGTAGTTAAAACTGTAGCTGGCGGGTGGGAAGACCTCCGGTTCCTGACTTTGCCGCAAAATGGTTGGGACCACCTGCACCACATCCTTTTCCTTCTGCTGTCCACTGCTGGCCACCGCCTCGGAGCTCTGCTCCTGGCGAAGGATTGGCAGCGGCGAGGGCAGCAAAGCGGATGCGGCATTTGCCGCACTTGCCGCATTCTGCAGCAGATTCGAGGCCTGAACACTGGCGGTTCGACTGCCGGCGGAAAACTGATTCCTGTTGGGAGCCACGTAGTCATAGCCATCCGGAGTCGCCTGGGAGTTCAAGGCATTGTTGCTGGGCGTGTGGTAGTCGCTCAGGAAATCCTCGCCAGAACTGGAGCCACTGCGCTCCAAGGAATTGACCGCCGTCGCCGACTTTTCGTTGTAGTTGAACTCCGCTTGGCCGGCGGTGAAAAGTGCCAGAGACAGCAGGGCAATAAACTGAATAAATAGATAATATAAAGGGTAAATAAATATCCATTTGTATCCTTTTTGGTTCAGTCAACTTACCTTAGCTGCCATCTCGATTCGTTTGGATCTTCCTTCCGTGTGTCTGCCTCCACAAATTGTCAGCTAACTGATGTCATAATTGAAGCAACTCGGACTTTTTATACTTCATCTCAATTGCAGTTTATTGCCCAACGGTAGTCGTTATACAATGTCATGCGCCACAATTGATCGATTTACCATTGTCCAATTTATTGGTAACACTTTCGTTTTCATTTTTTTACCGCTTTTATGCTGCGTAAGCGACGACTCTATTGAAAGATGATACAGCTCTGTTTGATGATGGACAAAGAAGAACTGGGCCAAAAGTGTGGGACAATTAAAATATTAAGAAAAACTTCTAGTTTACCTATATATGTATTTCTGACTCCTGATCTTACTTAGAACTTGAATAATCCATATTTTTAACGTAACTAGGGTAATAATGGCCAGAATATAGTAATATCATACCTCTTTGGACTCGTTATCAAACTGTTTATCAAACTGTATTTAAAGAAAAAAATTTTTTTTTTACGATTTTTGCCAAAAATTGTGATGGATAAAAAATACAAAAATTGGACAAAAATTCAAACTGTCGTAATCTGAAGAAAAGTGATGGGAATATTGTATTGGAGTTCTCAGATGGAGTTCTTTAGCTGTAGGTCAATTTGTGGAATTTTTACAGCCTAAAGAATAACTGGAAAAATTCGTATTTTGGCCTAAACATTTGAATGAATAAAAAAAAATTTTTTGTCATTTTTTTCCCTTACAAAAAATGGTAAAATTGACCAAAAAATCAATTTTTCGAAATCAGACCGAAAATTATAAGAATCGTTAATTGGGATTGCCAGATGTCTAAAACGGTGTTTTTAGTTAGTTTTTGCTCACATTTTGGCCAAGTTAAACCCAAAACACAACTTGTAAAATGCGTATTTTATCCAGAATCTCCATATTATACATCCATCCCCGATCTGACCGAATCGCAGAAGTTTTATGTCTCTGATAAGAAAACAAAACAAACCGGTTGCTGACCAACTGATGCCGATGCTGATGGCGAGCTGCCTGCCAGATTTTGGCTGATTGCCGTCCGGCCAAAACAAACGGCCAGCTGTCGGCAATCGGGAACCGAGCGTCGCAGAGAACACAACGCTGGCGCAGAATGACGGCCAAGATGAAGATGCGGTCGCAGCTGCATTTGCTGACGGGCTTCACGGCGGGATTCGTCCTGGCCTTCGTGCTCCTCCTGTACGTCTACGATGTGAACCGCGTGACGCCCTGCTGGAGCAGCTCCACCTCAACGATATCCGCGGAAACCTCATTCAGAATGCAGGATGCTTCTTCCTCTCCCTCACGGATTCTATGCATGGTGCTCACCTGTCCCGAGAACGTGGCCACCTTGGCCCGGACTGTCCACGACACTTGGGGCCAGCGCTGCAGCCACCTGATCTTCGCCAGCAGCGAGGACTACGAGCAACTGGGCGTGGTTCAGGTGGTGGAGCCAGGAGGCGGTGGCTACGAGGATCTGTGGAACAAGACGCGCGAGGGATTCCGTCATGTGTGGCAGCACTTTGGCCGGGACTTCGACTGGTTCCTCAAGGCGGACGACGACACGTGAGTGTGGCTTCTTTGCAATCGTATTCCCTGAATTCCCTATCTAAACCACCTTCGCAGGTATGTTGTCATGGAGAACCTGCAGCACCTGCTCAGCGGTTTCGATCCGGATACACCCGTCTACTTCGGCTACAAAATGTCACGATATAATGTGGTGAGTGATAAACTTTTAACATGGTGTTTCTCATGAACTTCCGCTTTGGTGCTTATGTTTCGGTAATCGATTATATCTTTTGTGCACACAGAAAAAAAATAATAATTGGCTTACAAAAAAAAATCCTAATGAATGTTAAATTCCCTTCCTAATAAAAGCAGGAATTACATGAACTATGAGCTGAAATCTTTATGAAACTTTAAATATCATAATTTTTCTCTGTGCATATGATTAATTTGGTAAGTGATCCAGTTGATAGCTAGCATTAGCTTCTAATTAACTGCTCAACTTCCATGTTGTTGTCACCCGCTTGTTAGGCTAATTTGAATTTCTAATTTTTATTCGGAAATGGCAGTTTAGCTTAAATTTTCGGTGCTTGTTCCCGGCGAAAATAGTTGGAATATGTCAATAAATCAGTTAAACAAATGTTAGGGGAAACCATATTTAAAATATATTGTATTAAATGACCTTTAACTAAAAAATATATTTTAATCTAAACGAAAATCGGTAATCAGGCAGTAAAATGATTTTGAATGTTCCCCTAAATTGTTTTAATTATTGTTTCGGTGAAATGCGCTAATCATTAGGTTCTCTTTGTTAGAACAACCGGTCCTCTTTTGTGTAATAGCGATTTATTGTGCACTGTCTGCGGGTAAACAAACATTAAATCTATTATTGGCAGGATGATATCATGCTGGATATCTTGACTGGCCAAAAGCTTCTTGTCTTGCCGCTTTCCGTGTGCATAGATCAATCGACCCCGGCGACAATGAGAAATTAAATTCGCATTAACAATCGCAGATGCCTGCAGTCTGCAGATACAAATGGAGGTGCTTCACCTGAGGTCATCGCGATTACCCGTCACGCACCTTCAACTTCAGCAGCCGCGCCTTTTGGCGGTAGCCGGAGATTTATTTGGCCATTTGACATTTCCAAGAGTTGAGCAAGCTCTTCTCTTGCGCCGCAAAGTACATTTCGTCTGCATACATTTGCTCGCACATAAATAAACCAATGAGTTATGGAGGGCCAGCCTCCGGCCAGCCAAAACTGAGACGTTAAAATATTTCCCCTTTGTATCGGCTATAGCTTCTCACACAGAGCTTATCGCACGTTGATAATTCCTAATGCATCATAAAATGGATAAACGTTATAATCATTTTTGATTGATTATTGTGATTAGTTTTCCTGCCAATCTTCGGTATCACCTGTATTTTTTTTGTTTGAACTCTGAGATCTTTGGTATTCGGCCAATTAACATATTTTTATGCTTCCATGAATTATGCATTTTTTTTTATGTGGTGTGATATGCACGCAGAAAAATACTTTTGATTTGAAGGCAAATGTTTGGTTAACTTGAATGCTAAATGATATTAACTTATATTAAACCTCGCTTCAAAGAAAAATGCTTAGTGTATTTTATGATCTGCCATAATCCTAAGTCAAATGTGACAATTCACTAAATTCAATCACTTCAATTAGTTTGCGAGCTGTACAAGATTACATGTGAGTTAGATGCGTATTTTGACACATCATTCCCTGCTGGGCGGCCTTCAAAAGAGGATTAAAACATTTGGCGGCTATGTTAAAAACCGTAGACCGTTACTAAAGTTCGGAATAACTTGGATACAGCGCGGTTTTTCGGGTCTTTGAAGTATATTCATAGTTCGGCATTAACATTTCCCTATGTTGTGGGACAGGTTTGGGAAGTTAACACGGGCGTGTGCTATTTAAATCTTGAAGCTTATGGAACATAATTTGAGATCATTGCAAATAATAATCGTGATGAAATATAATAATTTCTTCCCTAGAGCTATATGTCGGGAGGAGCTTCGTACATCCTGAGTCGTGAGGCCCTCCATCGATTTATGACCCAAGCCTACGAATCGGAGTTGATTTGTCCGCAGCCGAAGAAGATGGGCATCGAGGACTTTTACATGGGGATATGTCTGCAGAATGTGGGAGTTCACTTCGTCGATTCGGCACAGACTTTGGATGGGGACACCAGGCCAAAGTTCATGCCTCTGGACCTGGAAAACTATATGCAAGATGGCAATTCAACTTTGCCGGATTGGTTGCGTCTCATGAGTGTGTCTCGAGTTGAAAGTGTAAGCCTTTGAATTACATTTATTCCGATCTATAAATAATAAATTTAATTAAATATTTTTCAGGGCTTGAGATGCTGCTCCAATTATTCTGCGGCCTTTCATTATGCCAGTCGCGAACGCATGTTGCTCTACGAGTTTCTAATCTATCATCTGAAAGTGTTCAGTCCCAACCAGAATTCGGAAAGCAATCGGGGGAATCTATTAACCTTATCTGATTTGATGAGGCGATTTCCTCTGGAAGACAATTCCAATGTTAAAGACTTGCTGCAAATGTCGGAGAAGCCTGACAATTTTTAGATATTTATTAGTATTCTTACTATAGCTATTAAGATTTTATACATGTGATATAAGCTAATGAATACAAAATGTTATCGAATAAACTATAAGGCACGCCACCGGTTTTTATCGTCAATAAAACATTTCAATTGCGTCATTAAATAAAATGATGTTTTTTACGACGAGTTCCATTGTTTTAAATAGGTTCCATTGCAAGTAAAATATGAATTAAAACAAGCGGTTTAACCATTTTTAGTATGTTGAAAGTAGTAGCTTAAATAAATAAAATATGTGTGCGTGATTTGCCTTACACCAAATTTTACACTACTACGAAAAATCTTTAGCATAGTTATGGGCTTTTTAAAAAAAAGACTATTGTGATAAAAAATTACCCAACTGGAGAAAACGGCGCCTTAAAATACCATTTTATCTGGGTGGCAAAATAATCTGAACCTTCCCCTGCTATTAAGAGTAATTGCCAATCAAGTCATTTTACGACACAGTTATTATTTTTTTATCTTACTGTTGAAATAGTTCTTTTATGTCTTTTATATCTTTAAGAAGTTTAAATCTGGTGATTTCATATATATAATATATGTAGTTTATTTTATTAAATATATTTTAATTACAACTATTTCGCAAGAGCAGTACCTTATAAGTACATCCGTAAGACTCTATTCATCACACGTCACAGCACGAGTTCTCATTAAATGCCACTTTACGGATTAATCATTATTTTCCAAAGCAGTGTTTGAATACTCTGTCTTTAAGAGCAGACACAAATATTCAACTTTTGACTTCTTAAAAAACACAATATTTTCCTCTAATAAATTCAGTAAATTTCTTTTAAAATATTTGATAAAAAATTCCTATTCATGTTTTGTTGTAAACCCTTGAGGGTATTCCGAAATCGTCGCACAAAAAGCAAGAGCGTTTAATTCGACGCCGCTGTAATATTCCGCAAATGGTATTAAGTGGATGGCACTTGGACGCAATGTATTTTTTAAATTTATTGCACAGACCTTGCGAATTCTACAGGTATTTAATTAACACCTGGGAGCCACCAGTGTGCGAAGTTGCAGCTTTGGCAGTGTTGGGGTGGCAAGATAATTTGCTAGATGGTCCTTCGGTGGGGGGCATTCTTGCATGAAGGGCTGACCGACTGAACTGCACTGGACTAGGCTGCTTTTCATTACCAAAGTCAATGCCTCGGTCTCACCTTAATGCCGCCTCACCTGCCTCAGTTTGCCAGCTTTTCAGTTTGCCCGGCAGACAACAAAAACATTGCCAGCGGTTGTCAGGCCAAAGTTAATTAAATCCAAAATCACGTACGCATGCGCGGTGTGTGTCAGTTGGCATTTCGACGCTTTCCTCCCCGAGATCCGGCGAACCGGCGATCGGAATGCCTTTGGAGATTGAGATGTTTTTTAGAAGCCGGCTCTGCGAAACTGTTTATGGTAAAATTGCATTAGAAACATCATCGATTGCACTCACGAAAGATCGCTCGTTAGTACGTATATCAGATGCAAGTGAAAGGGAACTTGTTTAACTTTTTGCCGCCGCCTGCCTACATTGTATGATTGCCCGGCTTGGGTTATAGTTAGGCATGAGCTCAGTGTGTTAATGGGTTAATACAAGCAATTGAACATAAATGCTCAAGATCTATTGAGGAAACGATTTCTCCAGCACTTGTGCAAACAGGGCGCTTAATCTCTGGTGGGAGTGGGCCACAAGTCCACCTTGGAATCGCACTTCAGTGCAGTGCCATGGATATGGGATGGGTTCGGACTTGGACTCAAATCTTCGGGCTCATTTGGGGCTTAATCGTTTATAGTACTTGATTAAAATGACTGTGGGAAGTTCATAGTGTGGTATGGAACTATTGCTTTAAACTGCATTTCAAAAGTAAACAAAAATGTTTTATAGCAACTAGAACACCATTTACCCCATGTTTGATTCAGTCAAGTCTGATCAAAGAATCCAATTAGTGCGAAATCCACTTAATTTACGATACCTACCAACTCCAGCAACTATTTGCTAACAAGCTAAGCCAACACGGCTACTAGTTGCAAGCTACCTACTAGTTAATTCAGTTTACTTATTTGCCCAAGCTCAATGCTTCTCCGTTCCAAAACGGCCGTCACACAGTGCGTATGCTTAATGCGTTTTGCCTTAACTTTGGCTTACTTCAGCGAATCTGAGTTGTGGCTGCTTGGTTGTTTCAATGGCGCGTGTTCCATTTTGTGGGCAAAGACAAGCCTCACAAGGGGTTCAGTTTGGTTGTTGTTGTTGCTGCTCTTGTTATTGTCACCTGTCCGATTATTATTATTACTATTTTTATTTGGCCGCATTGTGCGTTGTCGCTGTCGAGTCGCTTGGCCTGACCTTCGATCACTCGCTCTCGATTTGCAAGCCATTAAAATTTATATATTTCCAAGCTGAAACTGAAATTGTATCGAAATCTAAGCTGTAAGAAATCAATTACTTGGCAATGCGTAGCCGTGTCTTACTCATAAAATGTTTGCCACTTGAGTGTTTTTTTTTTGTACTTTTTTTGTGCCGTGAAAGTTGTTGAGCCATTTAACAATATTGTTGTTATTTTGATTTTGCTGAGCAAGATAAATTAATTATTAATGTGGCTCGAATATTTGCAGGCTATTTCACATACTGAACTGAAATTATTGCCCATTTTTTTACCCTTCACTTTTTGTGGCCAAGATACAAAGCCCAGGAATGCGATATCATTTTTGATTTCTTCCACTTTTTGTGTTCTGTGTGCGTAAATTGTTGTTGAGCTGTTCGATGGCTTGTTTAGAACTCGTAATTGCTGTTGAGGCCAAGAGTATGTTGGGCTTGGTAGTACCATTAAATCATCAGGTCGGTGCTCGAAAGATCGTTCTGGAAGCAAATTGATTTTGGTATCCAAGACTCACGTCTATATTTGGGAACCGCAATATAAGAGTTTACAACGTACTTATTTTATTTTTAACCATTTTCCTTTCTTGCCAACAACAAAACAATCAACTTGAGTTTAGGAACCTCCTCTATTAATCCAAAATATTTCACGTTAAATGGGCAATTGTCAATTTTGAATCAATAAACAGGCCACAGCTGCAGATACTAATCGAGTTAGCTTAGTCAACTTCAAATTGTTCGTTGGGAAGGCCTCGCCGCTTAAAATCATTTACAAGTTGCCTCACTGCACGCACAGATAAATCAACACTCAACGACAATCGGCAGCACATAAAAATTAATTAATTTAATTACTTATCTAGCAGAAATGCATTGCAGTTTCTAGCTTTCAACTTATGCTTGTGATTTTCCAATACATTTTTTTTTGTACTTTTTAATGACGATTGTACATGAAATGTTCGATTCATTTTTTGTTCTTCTGTGCGATTCATTTAAAGTGCACTTAAAAGTCTGAAAAACGTATTTTTTGCTTTTCCATGCGTGTTAAATCTAAGCTTCGATCGTTCTCTTGCAGTAATAAATATTTATAGATGCGCCCGTTCTGCTAAATGCCTGACTGCACTTGTTAAGCCCGGCTCGAATCGAAGATAAATAAGAATCTTAATTGATTTTAATGTGCACAGCTGCATTTGACGACTTCTGACTATTGACTGACATCCGAACAAAGATCGAAGAGGCCAGTATGGAGCCACAAAGGTAAGTGATCTGTCGACATACTCAAAGGAAACTTGACATTAAATATTGTCTCTAGGCAATGGCTAAATCTTTCGTACTTGTAGTGTTTAATGATTACAAGATTTGGAAAATAGAAAACATTTTTAAGCCATTTTTTAGAACAATAAATAACAACCAATGAGAGTTACGAAACCACGTGTCCACGAACTCAGGTTCCACCTAATAAAAAGCTAATACCCATCAGATAAATTTTATACCACTCCAATTAGTATGCAAATTTCGTGTAATCAAACGAAGTTGGGTAATACTAACACTCGGCTGGCCATTCACACGACTCCAAGAACCAACCGTTAGCATCTCTCAGGGGGGAAACAGGAACTCTTCTCCGCATGGGTGCCGGTTTTTACCACTCAATTAACCGCAAGAGCGGACGTGGTAACCGATTGAAGATGGCCTCTCTCCCACCTCTCCCACCTGATCTCTCTCGCTCTCTTCCACCCGGTTGCAGTGCATCCGCCAGGCTGGGAAATTCCCGCTATGCGGCGAGAGAAAGGGCGAGAACGGGACGGGAGTGATTAATTCGACACGTCGTCATGTCAAATATGACGGAACTCATTTGAAGGCGGACATGGAATGGGATCCAATCCCAGTCCCGAGATCCCGAAAGCCAAGCCGAAGTGGAGCAGCTATTCGGGAGCTCTCCCAAGAGTGGTAGAGAATACACTTAGAAAAACTTTACCTATTTGTGAATAAGCTCAAAAAGAAAGTACTTCGTAAAGTTGATAAAAAAATAACATTTTTATAAAGCCATTTAAGGATTTCTTCTGCCCAAGATTTTGGGCTTGTTGCGTGCCAGCGTCCATACGTAAACCAATATTAAAATAAATTTTCTAAATTTAGATTTATTTCCATATGTTGATCTCAGTGCATAACCGGTTCCATTCCGAACCGATTCGGGCCCCAATGTAGAGGTCCCCTGCACAGCTGTGCTTAGTTTCGAACGAACTCTTGGCCGCTGCGGACGTGTGTTGGAGCCCACGCCGCCCGTTTCGATCCGTGTGTGCTGGTGAGCGAGCGCCGACGAGAGTGAATGTGAAACGCTGAAACGTGTCGCGCATGCGCCGCGTCCACTTCGTCTTCTTCACCGTTATCGTGGCTGTGTGTGCGGGTCTTTGTGGTTGTCGCCATGCGAAATTGCTCAAATTGTTTGGAAAATAGTGCAAAAACCCGATAAACATAAAACACCCACCACTGGACATCATTGGATATTTTTTGTGGATCTTTTTTTTGAGCTTGCCGTCTCTTTTGCTCGCCCACAAACAAACGATTCACCCTCTCTGTCACTTGCTCAGTATGTGTGTGTTGGTGCGTTTTTTTTCTTTTTAATTTTTGGGTCCCCTTTTGGAGTTCCGAGTCTTCTTTGTCCGTTGCTTCGTTGCTGTCTCGGCTTTGCTTACGTTTTCGTTCATGAATTTAATTTATTTTGTGTTTAATTTTTGCTGCTGCTTCTTCTAGTCGTTCACAGCCTCTCATGCAACAAAAGATCAGTGTTTTGCGCAATTTTGGCGACTGCAGAAATATTAAAGGAAAACAAGAAAAAAAGGGCTTTCAACCAATTAAGGTCCAAACGGACGTCTCTGGAAAACAGCAAAAATATGTCTTGTTCTGTTACAATATTTTAGAAGTGCTGGTCATAATACCAAGGGTATATATATATATTTTGTTTGATCTCGTCAAAACTTTGTCCAAAAATTTCTAAAATTAGCCACAAAAATGTTTATTAATTAATATGATTTAGCCGGAGGTCTCGGCTAATGTTCAGAAAGCTGGGGCTTTTCGCTTCTACCACAATACAATTTTTTGTATTGTACCGTAATTTCAAAGTGATTATTGCCGTTCAGTCTTCCACGCTTTCTGGACTTTCTCCCTCTCGCTCGCTCCTCGGAGCTCTTTTTGGCCAGCGGATCGCCCACAATTTTCTGACCACTTTGACTTGGCTTTTACCCCGTAAAGTTTTCTCTGCTCTGCTCGGGCATTTAATAATAATTTCTAAACAAACTCCAAATTGCATTAGGCGGAAAAATGTTTGGCGATAGGAGGGAAGGGGTTTGTCTTTATGACTTTTTTAGCTTTAGCGCTCTGCAGTTGCTGTAATGTTAATTGTTTGCAGTTGTGCAATGGCATTTTATATATTTGTTACTTCTCTTTATCTTCGCTTACTGCTTTGCACATACATTATTTGTTGGTTTTTTTTTTATTTTTTGGCTTCCTTCTCGACTGTTGTCGATTATGACTAATGGAATCTGTTTGTCGTTTGTTGGCTTGTAAGCCCGCAGAAGGTCAATTGCTTTGTGGGTAATTCCGTTTTCATCCGCCTCTTCGCCCTTTATTTGTTTTGCCATTTATTTGGCCACACACCACATTGCATTCAATAAGTGCGATTTTATTTGTTCGGCTTGCTTTGTGCAATGTAATTAATTGGTTAACATTAACGAACCATTTCGCCTTTTTGCGGTCGAGTCAATTTTGCGTTTTAAAATCACAAAAATAAATTAGCGAACTGTCGGTGCGTTTCATTAACTTAAAATTGTGTAATCTAAAGGTAGATTTAAAAGCAATAATCCGTTAATGCTTTTAAAAGTAAAAAACTATGGCCAAACCAGTTGAATGTGTTTTGTTATGGTTATTTTGGTTATGGTTACTTATTGAAAGCTTTTAGTAAGTTCGGGCCTTAGCTGTTATGAAGCTGAAAGAACCAAATATTTTCTAGAAAAAACTCCGATAGGACAGCATTCTTTTGCCGTTTAAAAACAAAGAGCATGTGTGTATCAAAACAAAATCCATTAATAGATAACTTCATCGGGTCTTATGCTAATTTAATCGATAAAACCGCGAACACAAATATTTTAAACGAAAATTGGAGTGAATCGGAGAACGCAAAGAACCCCGCATGAATCACAGCATAAACTAAAATTAATTTGTTTCGCCTCGCAGTGCAATAATTGGAAACCATGGGATCTCAACTGAGTGAAAATCAAAGTGTGAACCAAATGTGATGAAACTCAAAGTAATGCAAATTAAGCCCATGCCCTCAACGTCAATCCTCGCCCCAAGTGATAGTTTGCTTAATTAATTTAACAATACAAACGCGTCGTAATCGACCGATATTCGAGCAGCACAATAGCGAAAAAACGAATAAAATACATAGTACATAAAAATTGTTTGCAATCAATATGAGTGTTCCAAGTGCGCCCCCTCAGAGGGCAGCAAGCGAAAAGCGAAACCCATGTCCCGGCCGAAAACACAAGCTCCGGCACCAATTGCCCGGGGCAACTTGTGGAGGAGCCCTGCTGCTGCTGCTACTGATTAGCCTCGGTCTGGATCTGGGCTCCGTGCATTGTTATGGTGAGTACCAACGACCTGCCCGCCCGCTCCACCTCCCCGCATCGCATGGTTATTCAATTCAATTAGGTCTATTTGCATAGACATGGATCGTGGTGATCGGGAGATCCGTTCAGCTAGGGAATGCAAAAAGTTTGCTTGGTTTCAGTTCAATAAATTAAAATTTGTTCTAAATTCGAACCGCCTTCAAAACAACACACTCGTAAATATTTTACTTGCCCCAACTTAACTGCAGTCACTGCAATTTATCTTTAGTGTTGTTAACTGAATAACGACTTCTGAGGCAAATAAACCCATCATGTTGAACTGAGTAAATACTGCCTGGTCAAAACTGACGTCATCCACTAGACGCCTTGCATTGCGATCGCCAGACGTGCCGAGATCTCGTGGCTTCAAAATGACCGATTAGATCCCGCCACAGACAATTTATTATTCATATAGAAGTGTAAGTGTATATTCATACACAGACAAAAATGATATAAATGTTTTGTCTATTTAGGTAATTTAGGTACTCATTACTAGCCGAGGGATTAAAACATTATCTTTGCTATGATTTTGGCAAACAATCTAATGTTAATTTATAGAAAGAATGGAAAAACTGTTAGGACTATGTTTTAACAAGTGTTTTCCTCAGTATAAATATTTCTAGTCAGAAGTTAAAGCTTATAGGAGAAGGGGCAGAGGGCAGCAAAGCTATGGATTCGCCATGTCTGACGATACTGGTCACGTACGACATGTGCAGTGGCGAGGGGCGTGGCTCATCGCTATCCGAGTCAAATGTCAACGCACGATCAAATGGCTTTCCCCCTTCACCCCCTTCAATTGATTAGTTAGCTTCCCCACAGGTTTGCATTTTAATTTAATTTCCCCCTCCCCTCGATTTACATTGTTTCGGCTTCGCTGTTTTGCCTATCATTTGATTTATGACCAGAAACCCAATTGTGGGTTTTATTTTGCAATATTTAGCGTAATAAAATTACTGCAAACAAACGTGAAATGTATCCCATTGTGTTGGCCAACCCCGCCCCCCGCGGAGTGACTGTCTTCGTGCCCTCTTCCTGATTAAAAGATTAGCGATCTCCGATCCCCGATCCCCGATCTCAGCAGGTGACTTGGGGAAGTCGAACATTGAATTCGACTCGGCTGTTGGCAGCAAATAATTTGTTTCGTTTTGTCTTCTTTTCATCAATTTCATTAGCATTCGCGAAGGTCTGCTGGTGTTCCAGTGTTAGGTGATTTATTAAATTTTCTGTCTCGAATCGAAGGGGAGATAAAGAAAAAGTAGTGTAAAGTTATAATTTAATTTTTGATTGGGTTTATTATACTAACTTAGTCACGTTTTAAAAAAGATAAGAAGAAAGCTCAAATAATGCTATGAGTAGCATTGATAAGCTTAACGTTATCTTATTTGTTTACATTTGTTTGAGGGGTATTCGAAAACTGTATAGGACTTAAAAATTTTCACTATTACTTAATTCTGTATAAAATTTATATTTATTTTAAATAATATATAAAATGTGATCGAAACATTCGGATTATACCAAAAATAGAAGGTTTTCAATTTGTATCAAGAGGTATCTTGAAGTTGAGTTGAATTATTTTTTTTTTTTTTTTTTTTCGCTATATAGTACTAATGGCAATTGCTAAATCGGGGAACAACCGACATAATCGTGCTTTTTGCGAAATATTGACGAACTTAGGCCGATCTGGGTAGTCGTTCGCGAAGCCCAAGGTGTGTGGTTATCAAAAATGAGCGGAAGAATTTGCGAAGCTTCTGAATATGGTGGACAGAAGGATGGGGAAAAAGCTTTACCAGAAACAAGAAAAAATGAGTCAGAAGGTTGTGAAGATGTTCCGGGAACAAAGCGTCGCAAAATCACAGTCGAAAACTCTTTGGTTTTAGAACCAATCTCCCAGGGAAATGAAGAGAAAAACCGAGCTGCATCTTTGGCTCCGAAAACACCCGAAATCTTTTTACTGAACACCTACTGCTGGGAAAGAGTTTTATCATATTTGAGCGTGGGTGACCAACTAAGTCTAGCTGCATCAAGTCCGCATCTTAAATCACTTTTCGAAACTTTAAGTCTGAAATACAAACGAATTACAGAAAGCGTCACAGCGAAAATAAGCGAAAACGAGCTCTCTCAATTGCTGGAAATTGTTAATGAGAATGTTATCAGCTATGAGTCAGAGCTGGGTTCATTTTCCAATGGAGATCGGAATTTGTGGCTTTTGCGGACCTTCTGTCCACGATTGCAGCACTTGAAAATGACTTTTTCTCGAAGTTGGAATGATCTGTTACAGTTTAAGTGTCTTACATCCCTGCACGTCTATCTTAAATTCTCGAGCGCAAAGACGAGCAGGAATTTTGTTCTTAGCCTAGTGAAACTGCCCTGCCTCCGCAAACTGAACTTGCAGGCAGAAAACTATAGTGGAGACGGTCTGCATGTGCTGGAGAATTTAGAATCTCTGGCGATTAGTGCTTATCCAGGAATAAATGCCGAGTGTTTGGCCACGGCCTGCCTGAAAATGAAAAAACTCCGCCACCTAGGCATTGGAAAATTCTTTGAAAAACTCACCGAGGACAACGTTAGGGTAATAGTAAAAAACTGTGGCAATCTGGAGAGTCTATCCTTCGGCAGGGAAATGATAAAAGAAAATGTACCCTATGAAATCGTGTGTCAGTTGCCCAAATTGAAGCACTTGCGAGTTTCTGTCTCTGGCTTTCTGAGGGCAGGTTTCATCGAGGGACTGATCCACAAAACGGGCACTCCGCTGGAAAGCCTCATTTTGTGGGGAGTCGACTTGAATGTCGAACAGGTGGAGCATCTCTGTGAGATTTCCTCGCTAAGAGAACTTTCCATCCAGTGCGATAGTGTTCCCTTGAGTGGCCTGCTTAAACTAAGGAACTTGGAAATTCTGGAACTGAGAACGAGTGAAATTACCAACCACCAACTGTTGACGATGCTCGAAGGCTGTCCGCTAATCAGAGTGCTCGGTCTGGAAGATGGACTATCGATCACCTCAGATTTTGTTCGAGATGCAACTCGATTGTTTGGATGCCGAAAAATCAAGATCTATCTACAAGGACCATTGGCATCTTGGAATTATATAAAGGGAAATAGGGTTATTCAGTTTGAACACGGTTCTTTGGGAAAGCCTTTCCTATTTAACTATTAATTGAGCACTGGACTTAAGAGCACATTACTTATTGAGCAGTTTTGAAGTTATTTCTAAGAAATCAGCAAAACGCCGAATAAATCCCCATTATTAAACTACAACACCATTACGACTTTCAATTTGAACGCCTAGACCCACTCATAAATCGTTTTGTATTTGCAAAATGCCCGAAACTGGAATTTTTAATTAGGCAAATGGCATTTTGATTAACGAAAAGCAAGCCAACTAACAGCATCATTAACATCGTGTAAGCTTAAATTCTATATATCGAGCAAGTGTTTCAGCAGAACTTAAACTTGGGAAGAACTGCATTCCTCGCGAATCGCTACTCTTAATTAAGCCGCTAAAGATAAAATACATTCTTTAGGATTCGTTAGTCTTGAAGTTTAGGAGCAGAGAGAACTCGTACGGTATTGTAAAATTAAATTAAGTCATGTGCGCATTTTTTATACTGTCAAATTTGGCAACCAATTAACAGCTAACAAATAGATGTCACTGTCTACGTTCATTATTTTTTTCGTCCGCCGTAATTAGTGTTAACATTTAAAAAGTTGTTCAAACCAGAAAGCGAAAGTTTTCTTATTATTTGTTTTTAACTTCGAAAAATTTGTAAAAATATGAACAGTTGCATTTTCGCTTAACATAAAAAGTAGACGTGGCAAATAACATACTTTTTAAGTGAATAAGTAAATAAAATTACAAATGTGGACAAAGCGGATTCCCAATTGATTCTTAAATATTTTTCAACTGGTTATTCTGTGCTGCTTTATAAGTATTTATGCTCTTCGTTTATCGGAGGACAGAAGAAAGCATAGAAAAGGACCCTTGATTTCAATCAGTAAAGATGGATGTACTTTTTATTTCTAAAGCGATCCCCGATCCCCGATATCAGCTGGTGGTTTGGGGAAGTCGAACATAGAATTCGACTCGGCTGTTGGCAGCAAATAATTTGTTTCGTTTTGTCTTTTTTCATCCGTTTTAGTAGCATTCGCGAAGGTCTGCTGGTGTTCCAGTGTTAGGAGATTTATTAAAATTTCTGTCTCGAATCTATGGAGATAAAGAAAAAGTAGAGTAAAGTTATAATTTAATTAGCTCTTCTTTCTTGGCAGCCTAATAACTTGATAGGGTTCATTATACTGACTTATTCACGTTTTAAAAAAGATAAGAAAAGCTCAACAAATGAGAAGCATTGATAAGCTTTCGCGATGAGAATAGAAAATTGTCATTTATAGACATTCGCTATATTCAACGATTAATAATAAACATCAATAAAAATTTTTATTATACATCTGTTTTTCGTATTTATCCTAGAATTTATAAATGTTATATATAAGCTCTTAAAATATTATATATATGTATGTACATTTTTTCCTTGCCTAAAAAAAGCTTTACGTTATCTTATTTGTTTGCATTTGTTTGAGGGGTATTCGAAAAGTGTACAAGTCTGAAAACTTATCACTTTGAATTAATTGTGTATATATAAAATTAATATTTATTTATTTAATTGTCTCGAAACATTCGATTTTATACCAAAAATAAAAGGTTTTTAATTTGTATCAAGAGGTATCTTGAAGTTGAGTTGAATTATCTTTTTGTTTTTTCGCAATATAGTATTAATAGCAAATGCTAAATCGGGGAACACCCGACATAATCGTGCTTTTTGCGAAATATTGACGAACTCAGCCCGATCTGGTCAGTCGTTCGCGAAGCCCAAGGCGTGTGGTTATCAAAAATGAGCGGAAGAATCGGCGAAGCTTCTGAAAGTGGTGGACAGAAGGAGCAAACGAGTGACAGGGAAAAAGCTTTACCAGAAACAAGAAAGAATGAGTCAGAACATTGTGAAGATGTTCCGGGAACAAAGCGTCGCAAAATTACAGTCGAAAACTCTTCGGTTTTAGAACCAATCTCCCAGGGAAATGAAGAGAAAAACCCAGCTGCATCTTTGGCTCCAAAAACACCCAAAATCTTTTTGCTGAACACCTACTGCTGGGAAAAAATTTTGTCACATTTGAGCTTGGGTGACCAATTAAGTCTAGCTGCATCAAGTCCGCATCTTAAATCACTTTTCGAAACTTTAAGTCTAAAATACAAACGAATTACAGAAAGCGTCACATCGGAAATAAGCGAAAACGAGCTCTCTCAATTGCTGGAAATTGTTAATGAGAATGTGATCAGCTATGAGTCACCGCTGGGTCCTCATTTCGATGGAGAACGGAATTTGTGGCTATTGCGGACCTTCTGCCCACAATTGCAGCACTTGAAAATGACTTTTTTTCAACCCAGATGGAATGATTTGACACAGTTGAAGAGTCTTACATCCCTGCACGTCTATCTTAAATTACGGAGTGCAGAGACGTACAGGAATTTTGTTCTTAACCTGATGGAACTCCCCTGCCTCCGGAAATTGAACTTAGAGGCACCAGGCTACAGTGGAGATGGGCTGCATGTGCTGGAGAATTTAGAATCACTGGCGATTGGTGCGTATCCAGGAATAAATGCCGAGTGTTTGGCCAAGGCCTGCCTGAAAATGAAAAAACTTCGCCACCTAGACTTTGGAAAATTCGTTGAAAAACTCACCGAGGACAACTTTAGGGTAATAGTAAAAAACTGTGGCAATCTGGAGAGTCTATCCTTCGGCAAAGGACTGATTAAAGAAAATGTGCCCTACGAAATTGTGTGTCAGTTGCCCAAACTAAAGTACTTGCATATTTTGCACTCTGGGTTTCTGAGGGCAAGGTTCATCGAGGGACTGATCCACAAAACGGGCACTCCGCTGGAAAGCCTCTTTTTGTGGGGAGGCGTCTTGTATGCCGAACAGGTGGAGCATCTCTGTGAGATTTCCTCGCTAAGAGAACTTTCCATCCACTGCGATAGTGTTCCCTTGAGCGGCCTGCTTAAACTAAGGAACTTGGAAATTCTAAATCTGATGACACCTGAAATCACCAACCACCAACTGTTGACGATCCTCGAAGGCTGTCCGCTGATCAGAGTGCTCGGTCTGTGTGCTCGAATATTGATTAACTCAGATTTCGTTAAAGATGCAACTCGTTTGTTTAGATGCAGAAAAATCAAGATCTATCTACATCCATCTGTTCCTTTGAACTTAATAGAAACTTTAAATGGAAATAGGTTTATTCAATTCGAACACGGTTTTTTGAAAAAGTCTTTCTTGGTAAACAATTAATTGAGCACTATCCTAAAAAGCACATTATTTATTGAGTAGTTTGAAGTTATTTCTAAGAAATCAGCAAAAAGCCAAATAAATCCACATTATTAAACTACAACACCATTACGACTTTTAATTTGAACGCCTAGACCCACAAAGAAATCGTTTTTGTATTTGCAAAATGCCCGAAACTGAAATTTTTTATTAGGCAAATGGAATTTTGATTAATGTGATCGAAACATTCGGTTTATACCAAAAATAAAAGGTTTTCAATTTGTATCAAGAGGTATCTTGAAGTTGAGTTGAATTATTTTTTTTTTTTTTTTTTCGCTATATAGTACTAATGGCAATTGCTAAATCTGGGAACACCCGACATAATCGTGCTTTTTGCGAAATTTTGACAAACTCAGGCCGATCTGGGCAGTCGTTCGCGAAGCCCAAGGCGTGTGGTTATCAAAAATGAGCGGAAGAATTTGCGAAGCTTCTGAATATGGTGGACAGAAGGAGCAAACGAGTGATGGGGAAAAAGCTTTACCAGAAACAAGAAAAAATGAGTCAGAAGGTTGTGAAGATGTTCCGGGAACAAAGCGTCGCAAAATCACAGTCGAAAACTCTTTGGTTTTAGAACCAATCTCCCAGGGAAATGAAGAGAAAAACCGAGCTGCATCTTTGGCTCCGAAAACACCCGAAATCTTTTTACTGAACACCTACTGCTGGGAAAAAGTTATCTCATATTTGAGCGTGGGGGACCAATTGAGACTGGCTGCATCAAGTCCGCATCTTAAATCACTTTTCGAAACTTTAAGTCTGAAATACAAACGAATTACAGAAAGCGTCACATCGGAAATAAGCGAAAACGAGCTCTCTCAATTGCTGGAAATCGTTAATGAGAATGTGATCAGCTATGAGTCACGGCGGGGTCCTCGTATCGATGGAGAGCGGATTTTGTGGCTTTTGCGGACCTTTTGTCCACGATTGCAGCACTTGAAAATGACTATTAAATGGCAGAGATGGAATGATCTGTTACAGTTGAAGAGTCTTACATCTCTGCACGTCTATCTTAAATTCTCGAGGGCAGAGATGTGCAGGAATTTTGTTCTTAGCCTAGTGGAACTCCCCTGCCTCCGGAAACTGAACTTAGAGGCACCAGGCTACAGTGGAGATGGGCTGCATGTGCTGGAGAATTTAGAATCACTGGCGATTGGTGCGTATCCAGGAATAAATGCCGAGTGTTTGGCCACGTCCTGCCTGAAAATGAAACAACTCCGCAACCTAGACATTGGAAAATGCATTGAAAATCTCACCGGGGACAACTTTAGGGTAATTGTGAGAAACTGTCGCAATCTGGAAAGTTTACTCTTAAACAAACGGATGGATAGAAATGTGCCCTATGAAATCGTGTGCCAGTTGCCCAAACTGAAGCATTTGCTAATTTGGCATTCTGGCTTTCTGGAGGCAGGTTTCATCGAGGGACTGATCCACAAAACAGACACTCCGCTGGAAAGCCTCATTTTGTTGGGAGACGTCTTGCTTGCCGAACAGGTGGAGCAACTCTGCGAGATTTCCTCGTTAAGAAAACTTTTCTTGGGCTGCCAGAGTGTTCCCTTGAGTGCCCTGCTTAAACTAAGGAACTTGGAAATTCTGAACCTGACTACGAGTGAAATTACCAACCACCAACTGTTGACGATCCTCGAAGGCTGTCCGCTAATCAGAGTGCTCGGTCTGTATGGTCGAATATTGATAAACTCTGATTTTGTTCGAGATGCAACTCGATTGTTTGGATGCAGAAAAATTAAGATCTATCTAGAAGGTTCATCTGTTGATTGGAATTTTGTACGAACTTTAGATAGAAATAGGCTCATTCAGTACGTAAAGGGTTCTTTAAATAAAAATATCTTGATTAACAATTAATTGAGCACCGGACCAACAAGCAATGTACTTATGAAGGAGGTTTAAAATATTTTCTTAGAAATCAATAAAAAGCCAAATAAATCCCCATTATTAAACGACACAACCCATTCGACTTTTAATTTAAACGCCTAGACCCACATAGAAATCTTTTTTGTATTTGCAAAATGCCCGAAGCTGGAATTTTTAATTAGGCAAATGGCATTTTGATTAACGAAAAGCAAGCCAACTAACAGCATCATTAACATCGTGTAAGCTTAAATTCTATATATCGAGCAAGTGTTTCAATAGAACTTAAACTTGGGAAGAACTGCATTCCTCGCGAATCGCTACTCCTAATTAAGCCGCAAAAGATAAAATACATTCTTTGGGATTCGTTAGTATTGAAGTTTAGGAGCAGAGAAAACTCGTACGGTATTGTAAAATTAAATTAAGTCATGTGCGCATTTTTTATACTGTCAAATTTGGCAACCAATTAACAGCTAGCAAATAGATGTCACTGTCTACGTTCATTATTTTTTTCGTCCGCCGTAATTAGTGTTAATATTTAAAAAGTTGTTCAAAACAGAAAGCGAAAGTTTTCTTATTATCTGTTTTTAACTTCGAAAAATTTGTAAAAATATGAACAGTTGCATTTTCGCTTAACATAAAAAGTAGGCGTGGCAAATTACATAATTTTAAAGTGTATAAGTAAATAACCGAAAAATAACAAATGTGGATAAAGCGGATTTCCAATCGATTCTTAAACGTTTTTCAATTGGTGATTCTGTGCTGCTTTATATTTGTGTTCGCCTTTTATCGGAGGACAGAAGAAAGCATAGAAAAGGAACCCCTGATTTCGATCGGTGAAGATGGTTTCTTTGTCAATACCTCGGGATGTCGAATAAGTTCGATGAAGCCGCTTTCGGATTTTGCTCTGTCCTTCATGGAACCCTTTGAACCCATTATTTGCCCAATGGTGCAGCTGATGATCGCCGAGACCATTGAGGGCCGAAATTACCTGGTGCGAAATATTTCAAAGTCTGGACTTCTGTCGTGCTGTCGTGTTCGGCTCTTGAGGCAAGTCACCTGCATTTATCGGGAGTTCTTCAGGGTTGACGACTCAAATAATAAGTACATCTCCTTGGAGTATTTCCTGCTAGACAGCCGATCAAGATACCTTGAGGTGGGAACGGGTCAGCAAAATATCCGTATCTGGTGCTGGGTGGACTTTGCCAGGATAATTTTCCATGATGTCCTGTATTTTCTACCGCCTCCCAAAAATGCTTCTAAGGCATCTTCGCTGCAGGAACGACTTTCGGTGATGATCCTTGGAGTCGATTCCATTTCCCACATGCATTATCTGCGATACTTTCACCGGGTGGCCGACTTCATTGAGCACTTACCCCACACCGAGTTCTGGGGCTATAATCGAATTGGGCTGAACACCTATCCCAATCTAATGCCGCTGCTAAGTGGCCTTTCGGTTTCGGAGATAGAGCAATCCTGCTACGACGGCAGACCCAATTTCGACGACTGTCACTTTTTGTGGGACGACTTCAAGAAAGCGGGATACACCACGGTCTACGGAGAGGACACCGATATATTCGGATTATTTATCTACCGGAAGAGGGGTTTTAGCAAGCAGCCCACCGACATCTACATGCGTCCAGTGATGCCGGAGATCGAATCACATACTATGTACCGCACAAAGTTGGATCTCAAGTGCACCGGCAACCGTCTCTACGGAGAAGTGTTCTACCAATTCATCTTGAATCTGATTCCGTACATGCAGCACGTTCCGCTTTTCTCATTCTTTTGGAATATGCACGGCGTCCACGACTACTTTCCCTTTGCCAAGCTGGTGGACAAGGACTACTTGAATATATTGAGGGAGTTGTACGAAAAGGGAGTGATGGAGCACACTCTGATACTGTTCATGGGAGATCACGGCTTGCGGTTCGATAAGTTTGCCCGCAGTGCACCAGGACGAAGGGAGATGTCACAGCCACTCTTGATCGCCATATATCCGGAATGGTTGAAAAGGAGATTTCCCCTGGCCATGTCGAATTTCCAGGAGAACGCTCGAAGTCTGATCACGACATTCGATCTGCACGAAACGCTCAAAGATGTAATCCATCTAGATCGGTTAGGTGATGACAATGTGGAGATCAGAACTCGGTGTTTGAACAACAGTCGTGGCATCAGCCTGTTTCTACCCATTCCCGATCGCAGAACTTGTCAGAGTGCTGAAATACCGAGTCATTACTGCCTCTGCAACGAACTGACCGCCGTTTCCACTTACAACAGTGCCGTTCAAGAAGCTGCCCGCTTCGCAGTGGCCAGGATTAATGAGCTGATCGAGCCCTATCCTCAGTGCCAAAAACTGCAACTAAAGAAAGTTCGGACTGCTTATGGATCCAGAGATGAATCTAAAGGTCGACACGAACTTTCGCAGATTATGGTCCGCCTGATGACGGTTCCTGGAAGTGGTAACTTCGATGCCACCATTCTTGTAACGGAGATCGGCGAGAAGGGGACTCTGAAACTGGGAGGTCCAATCACCAGGACAGACAAGTATGGCCATCAGTCCTACTGCGTTCAAAACTACCGCATAGAAATGTATTGTTATTGCTTGTAATTTTTTTTAATGATTTACTCTACTTGAATCCCTTTGGTGAGAAATCCTATTTTTTTCCCATTTTACCACTGCTTGTTTTTCAGAGTGTACCTAATTACAATGATTTATGATACCATGAATGTTTTCTCCGAAATATAATTATGCAATGCCACGTGAAAAAATCAGCTTTTGTTTTACTGCAAGAGTCACGCACGAGCCGAGATGAAAGTGAATTTAGCGACGTATCGGACTCGTATAAATCAAAAGACTTAGAAAACGAACGCGAAACAGCTGACGAAATAAAGAGAGAGACTCGCAGAAGTTACAATGCGACAATTGGACACAAAAAACCAGCAGTACAAATGTATAGTATGTGTGTGAATGTTTTGTTGTTTTTTAGGGGAATCCGCAATCCGTGATGTCGTGCATGTTTTCCGAAAATTAAAAAAAAAATACAGCTTATAGCAAAAGCGCTTGGAGTGAAGCTTCTTTGGCGTGCAGGTGTTGGTTAGTGTTTTTTATTTTGCCAACATTCCGTAGTCCGCCAACGCAGAGTGTTTTGTATACATAGTATAGGCTATATATAGTTGATCGGAGTCAGCTGAGGCTTCCTCGCTCAGTTGGCTACGATTTTGGCTAACCGGATCTGATTCTGTTTGCCATCTGAGACTCAGACCTGGAAATTAACGCTGTTTGTTGCTTTTTCTGACTGCTTTTGCTTTTTCTGTTGCTATTGCTGTTACTGTTGCTAGCCATCCATCCATCCATCATTCACTCACAGTCGAGCAATGCTCTCGAAAATGGTACGAAATATAGTCATGACTTGTAGCTGCGGCTGCCCCTTCAGCTGTCAACGTCATGGTTTTGGGATTGGTTTGATTTACCCGTGGTGGCCAAGAACAAAGCCATCTTATTCTGGCCAGAACGGATTTCTGGTCGAATTCGACGGGGATGCCGTAACAAAAGCCATATTAAAAGAAGAACAAATAAACGGGTTTAATGTCTGCGTTGTGTATTCCATCTAAGCACTTTTAGAATGTTGGGCATGTTTTCTTTTTTGGGCTGCGGGCATTGGCTTGTTAATTTGAGAACTGGTTTCTCTCGTAAGCCCTCCGTCTCGTCTCCCCAGCGCAATTATACGCAAATAAACCATAATTATAACGTTTAGCGTCAGAGCAATTACGCCTTGCAGATTTTTATCACTTAAAGGTGTCTTCTGTTCAACAAATATTTATATTCACAACTCGTGTTTTTTTTGGCGTGAATCATGCATGTAGTCGTCTCAGAAAATAATAAACTGGGCTTGTCCGTAAAAATGTTCTCAAAATGGTGTTTCTCATTTAACAATCTCAATTTGTTTTAGTTATTAAACACCAAGAGGTAAACTATTTAAAAGAGAATTAAATCCTGTTTAATTGCAATCTGGTCATTACCTAATCCTATTAGTCAATCACAGATTAAAATTCCTTATTAACGTCCAGGTGTGGCGATTATTCAAATTCAATTAGAATTCAGCCGAGATTGTTCTGTAATTAGTTTTTATGATGACAAGTCGAATGGAGATAATTTCCCAAAATTGCTAAGCCACTTGTTAGAATGATAAAATAGTTGAAAAATATGTAAATTCCATCAGTCCAACCATTAGTGCCATTGGGTATGATTCAATATCCACCGCAAGTCAATCAATTTTCCAGTCAATTAAAACCAAACTAAGTCAACCGAAAACATTTTCTAATATCACAAACTACAATGTATCGGAGCGGTTGGGTTTGCTGAAAACCGGCTACTGTCCACAGACAAGTTTGTGCGTAAATTATGGATCTAATTCGAAGTAAACATTTAAGGCATTCTCTGATCTTAACTATCGCCAATTTATGCGTCATTTGCACGCACAAAGCTGAATGAAGTTAGGCAAATAAATGCAAATTAATTGGAAAACGCCAACGCCTTGGTTCTAATACTTCGGAATGTTTTATGTAGATACTAGTTCTTTTGATGAATGGAATAAGTTCTTTAGGTGAAGGTCTTTTGCAATTAGAATATTTCTATTTAAATATTCGTTCCAAATTCCCAATCAGTAATTGAGTTAGAATGGCTACAAGTTAAGAGTTTTATTTAATGTCAACTCTTTGGTACTTTTCAGAGAAAATGTACAGCCAGACGGAGAAGCAGCGCTACGATGGCTGGTACAATAACTTGGCCCATCCCGACTGGGGATCCGTGGGTAAGTGGCGAACTGGAATGCTGACAACTTTCGAAATGGTCAGAACTGAGCCGATTACGCCTCCAATTAGAATAAGTGTGAGGTGTGATTGGCCTGGATTTGCATATATCGATCGGTTCTTATATAATGCCCGTATGCCAGGTGTTTGCTCAAGCCAACCTTTGCTCCCGACTTTCCAGATAGCCACCTGGTGCGCAAGGCACCGCCCTCCTATTCCGACGGGGTCTACGCGATGGCCGGGGCCAACCGGCCCTCGACCCGACGACTCAGCCGGCTCTTCATGCGGGGAAAGGACGGACTGGGATCGAAGTTCAACCGGACGGCGCTGCTGGCCTTCTTCGGCCAGCTGGTGGCCAACGAGATCGTGATGGCCTCCGAGTCCGGCTGCCCCATCGAGATGCACCGCATCGAGATCGAGAAGTGCGACGAGATGTATGACCGGGAGTGCCGCGGCGACAAGTACATCCCCTTCCACAGGGCGGCCTACGATCGGGACACCGGGCAGAGCCCCAATGCGCCAAGGGAACAGGTGGGTGCGGTCGCCGGAAGGGCCTTACCTCCACTACTGACCCCGTTACTCCGCAGATAAACCAAATGACTGCTTGGATTGACGGCAGTTTCATTTACAGCACCTCCGAGGCCTGGCTGAACGCCATGCGCTCCTTCCACAACGGCACCCTGCTCACCCAGAAGGACGGCAAGCTCCCAGTGCGGAACACCATGCGCGTCCCGCTCTTCAACAACCCGGTGCCGAGTGTCATGAAGATGCTCAGTCCCGAGCGGCTCTTTCGTGAGTGAATCCTCTGAAAAACAGCAATTACTAGAATCAAATTTAAAAGCTAAGCAACTTACTTAAGAACTGGAGTGGAAACTTACGTTTAATTTTATTTTTCTTAGTCCTTGGCGATCCGCGCACCAACCAGAATCCCGCCATCCTCTCCTTCGCCATCCTCTTCCTGCGCTGGCACAACACTCTGGCCCAAAGAATCAAGCGAACGCATCCGGATTGGAGTGACGAGGACATCTACCAGCGGGCTCGTCACACGGTGATTGCCAGTCTGCAGAACGTGATTGTCTACGAGTACCTGCCCGCCTTCCTGGGAACCTCTCTTCCGCCTTACGAAGGCTACAAGCAGGACATACATCCTGGCATTGGACACATCTTCCAGGCGGCGGCCTTCCGCTTTGGCCACACAATGATTCCGCCGGGAATTTACAGGCGAGATGGCCAGTGCAACTTCAAGGAAACCCCAATGGGATATCCGGCAGTCAGACTGTGCTCCACTTGGTGGGATTCCAGCGTAAGTAGTGGATTAATAATAAGAATATCATTTACTAAATCTGTATATTTTTTAGGGGTTCTTTGCGGACACCAGCGTGGAGGAGGTTCTCATGGGTCTCGCTTCGCAAATTTCCGAACGTGAGGATCCTGTTCTTTGCTCAGATGTGAGGGACAAGCTGTTCGGACCCATGGAGTTTACGCGCCGTGATCTGGGAGCACTTAATATAATGCGGGGAAGGGATAATGGCTTGCCCGATTACAATACCGCCAGAGAGTCTTACGGTTTGAAGAGACACAAAACCTGGACGGATATCAATCCTCCGCTTTTTGAAACGCAACCAGAGCTTTTGGAGTAAGCAAGAAAAACTATAAAAAACATTTTATAAAATAATATTAAACTTATCATCTTTTCCAGTATGCTAAAGGAAGCCTACAACAACCAGTTGGATGATGTGGATGTCTACGTGGGTGGAATGTTGGAGTCCTACGGTCAGCCTGGGGAATTCTTCACGGCGGTGATAAAGGAGCAATTTATGCGCCTGCGCGACGCCGATCGCTTTTGGTTCGAGAACGAGCGCAATGGGATATTCACGCCCGAGGAGATAGTGGAGCTGCGCAAGATCACGCTGTGGGACATCATCGTGAACAGCACGGACATCAACGAGGACGAGATCCAGAAGGACGTGTTCATGTGGCGCACCGGAGATCCCTGTCCGCAGCCCATGCAGCTGAATGCCACGGAACTGGAGCCCTGCACTTATCTGGAGGGCTACGACTACTTCTCCGGCTCGGAGCTGATGTTCATCTACGTGTGCGTCTTCCTGGGATTCGTTCCCATTTTGTGTGCCGGAGCTGGTTACTGTGTGGTCAAGTTGCAGAACAGCAAGCGGCGGCGGCTGAAGATCCGCCAGGAGGCACTTAGGGCTCCGCAGCACAAGGGATCCGTGGACAAGATGCTCGCCAGGGAGTGGCTCCACGCCAATCACAAGCGATTGGTCACGGTGAAGTTTGGCCCGGAGGCAGCTATCTACACGGTGGATCGAAAGGGCGAAAAGCTAAGAACCTTCAGCCTGAAGCACGTGGACGTGGTCAGTGTGGAGGAGTCTGCCACCAATCACATCAAGAAGAAGCCGTACATCCTGCTGCGAGTGCCCAGCGATCACGACTTGGTTCTGGAGCTGGAATCCTATGGAGCGCGGAGGAAGTTCGTGAAGAAGCTGGAGGACTTCCTGCTGCTGCACAAGAAGGAGATGACCCTGGTGGAGGTCAACAGGGACATCATGTTGGCGCGGGCGGAGACGCGGGAGCGGCGGCAGAAGCGCCTGGAGTACTTCTTCCGGGAGGCGTACGCTTTGACCTTTGGCCTGCGACCAGGAGAACGGAGGAGGCGGTCGGATGCCTCCAGCGATGGCGAGGTGATGACCGTCATGCGGACCAGCCTCTCCAAGGCGGAGTTCGCCGCGGCACTGGGAATGAAGCCGAACGACATGTTCGTGCGCAAGATGTTCAACATCGTGGACAAGGACCAGGACGGCAGGATCAGCTTCCAGGAATTCCTCGAGACCGTGGTGCTCTTCTCGCGCGGCAAGACCGACGACAAGCTGCGCATCATCTTCGACATGTGCGACAATGATCGAAATGGTGTGATCGACAAGGGTGAGCTGAGCGAGATGATGCGATCGCTGGTGGAGATCGCGAGGACCACGAGTCTGGGCGACGACCAGGTCACCGAGCTGATCGACGGCATGTTCCAGGACGTGGGACTCGAGCACAAGAACCATCTGACCTACCAGGACTTCAAGCTGATGATGAAGGAGTACAAGGGCGACTTCGTGGCCATCGGACTGGACTGCAAGGGCGCCAAGCAGAACTTCCTGGACACCTCGACGAATGTGGCCAGGATGACCTCGTTCAACATCGAACCCATGCAGGACAAGCCCAGGCATTGGTTGCTGGCCAAGTGGGATGCCTACATCACGTTCCTGGAGGAGAACAGGCAGAACATCTTCTACCTGTTCCTGTTCTACGTGGTCACCATTGTGCTCTTCGTGGAGCGCTTCATCCACTACTCCTTCATGGCGGAGCACACGGACCTGCGACACATCATGGGCGTGGGCATCGCCATAACCAGGGGCTCGGCCGCCTCGCTGTCCTTCTGCTACTCCCTGCTGCTGCTGACCATGTCCAGGAACCTGATCACCAAGCTCAAGGAGTTCCCCATCCAGCAGTACATTCCGCTGGACTCGCACATCCAGTTCCACAAGATCGCCGCCTGCACGGCGCTCTTCTTCTCGGTTCTGCACACGGTGGGTCACATCGTCAACTTCTACCACGTGTCCACGCAGTCGCACGAGAACCTGCGATGCCTGACCAGGGAGGTGCACTTCGCCTCCGACTACAAGCCGGACATCACCTTCTGGCTGTTCCAAACGGTCACCGGCACCACGGGCGTCATGCTGTTCATCATCATGTGCATCATCTTCGTGTTCGCCCATCCCACGATCCGGAAGAAGGCCTACAACTTCTTTTGGAACATGCACACCCTGTACATCGGCCTGTACCTCCTGAGTTTGATCCACGGCCTGGCCAGACTGACTGGACCTCCGCGCTTCTGGATGTTCTTCCTGGGACCGGGAATCGTGTACACCCTGGACAAGATCGTCTCGCTGCGCACCAAGTACATGGCCCTGGACGTGATCGACACCGACCTGCTGCCCTCCGATGTGATCAAGATCAAGTTCTACCGCCCGCCGAATCTGAAGTATCTTTCTGGCCAGTGGGTGCGGCTGTCCTGCACCGCCTTCCGCCCGCATGAGATGCACAGCTTCACGCTGACCTCGGCGCCGCACGAGAACTGCCTGAGCTGCCACATCAAGGCGCAGGGGCCGTGGACCTGGAAGCTGCGCAACTACTTCGATCCCTGCAACTACAACCCGGAGGACCAGCCCAAGATCCGCATCGAGGGTCCCTTCGGCGGTGGCAACCAGGACTGGTACAAGTTCGAGGTGGCCGTGATGGTGGGCGGCGGCATCGGGGTCACCCCGTACGCCTCCATCCTGAACGATTTGGTCTTCGGCACCAGCACCAACCGATATTCGGGCGTGGCCTGCAAGAAGGTGTACTTCCTGTGGATCTGCCCGTCCCACAAGCACTTCGAGTGGTTCATCGACGTGCTGCGCGATGTGGAAAAGAAGGATGTGACCAACGTCCTGGAGATCCACATATTCATCACGCAGTTCTTCCACAAGTTCGATCTGCGAACGACAATGCTGGTGGGTAGCAGGAATAATTTATTATTATTTTTTATTATTTATTAATATGTTTTCCTATTTTCAGTACATCTGTGAGAACCACTTCCAGCGTTTGTCGAAGACCTCAATATTCACCGGTCTCAAGGCGGTCAATCATTTTGGTCGTCCGGACATGTCCAGCTTCTTGAAGTTTGTTCAAAAGAAGCACTCCTATGTGAGTTATCTAAACCCCAATTAATTACAAAATTAATAAAAATTATCTTTCTTAGGTCTCCAAAATAGGTGTCTTCTCCTGCGGTCCTCGTCCGCTGACCAAGAGCGTGATGTCCGCCTGTGATGAAGTGAACAAGACGCGCAAGTTGCCCTATTTCATTCACCATTTCGAGAACTTTGGATAGAGGATAGCCGAGATAAACCTGCCAGTTTTTTTCTGTCCCGAGCTTCGATCTGCCTCCCAGTGTCCCTCTCAACGAAATCTAATTGTAGTCTTAAGGTTCATTCATTAGGTTAGGCGAATTCGGTGGCTCAAACGTACTTAACTCGCCGTCCCTCAATCGTAGGCTACTCGTACAATCATTAATTAGTCAAGTTTCGTCTAGAGCATTATGAAAATGTATCCCATTGTAACAAAATCACTGCGACCACAGCAAGAACAACAAAAAGGCCTCTTCTTATATATGTGTATGTATGTATATGTGTATTTATTGAAAATATGATTTGTTATCAGTTTTTGTAAACCGTTCACATTATTTATTAAAAATTTACAATTATCATAATACATAAAGAATCTTTATGGTGTCTTTTTTATTTAAACGTTGACTGAAATCTTTTTGCCAAAGTTTTGTAAGTCTGTTCTGCACTATTTTTGTAGGCCAAAAGCAATTTAAATAAGAAAGTCGAATCTTATATACCCTTGCAGTCATCATGTCAAGTTATGCACTTTTATTTAATGAATTTTGCCTAATTTTTAGCAGCTTATATTTTGAAAATTTCGAAAGGGGTTATATTAGTATCAGCCTAGGGAATAGTTATACTAAATAATGAAAAATAAACTGGAACTATCGAAATTGTAGCATACTCTTGAGGGCTCACTAACATTTGGAGCAGCAATTGAAAAAATATGATAAGTATAGATTTGATGGTCGGCAAAAAAAACTGATTTTCCACAGCCCACAATTTAAGTAGAATTTTATATAATTCTAAACTTCGCAGATTACATTTGTAATCAAATTTCAGGGTTTACATTTTACACCCATGTGGTGTAACTTGAAAAAAGAAAAGAATAAAAAGTTCGGTTTTGGTTATCATATTGTGAAATTGTATTTAGCAACGCTGTTTTCTTTATAAGTCACGTTGTCGCTGACAATTTTGTCATTAACATTTTAAAAACATTCACGATGAGAACTTTTTCTCTGATAGTTGCTTTGGTTTTCTTATCAACAGCTCAAGCCTGGGAAGACTGCGGTTTTAGCTTTCTCTGTGGACCAAACTCTATTCGTAAACGTAATCGTTCGTCATTGCTAACAAAAGATGGTAACCCAGAGTCTACATAGTGATTAAAACTGCAAATAATAAAATTCAGGAATCACTCCTCTTCCCGTTGTGTACATTAATATTGTAACTACAGCAGAATCCCGATTATTCGGATCAATTAAAACCAGGGGTATTCCGTATAATCGAAAATCCGGATAATCGATTTCAAAGCAAATCAAATAATATTCAAGTTTTAATAAGTTTTTATTATGTAATGGATTTTACTTTGATAACAACACTACTCTTCTTCGCTTGGACATTTTAAATGTCCAACACAAAACGTGAACAAAAATAAAAGACAACCTTTTAGTTGAACGCTATCAAAGAAAATTATACAATAGCAAACACTATCCTGCAAACAAATGAGAGCGGGAGTACACCGTCGGAGGCGGGAATAAACTTGTCGTAACATGTTTTGTTGCGCCGTCAAAACATTTTTAATTTAATAATAAGAGCCAAAACGAATGAGTCCAGATAATCGGGATTCTACTGTAGTTGTAAAAATATCTAAATATTTGTAAATAATGGTATATAGCCCAGGCCCATATCCCATATGTACCATACTTGCCCCATTGCATGGCCATGTGGTGTAACTTGAAAAAAGAAAAGAATAAAAAGTTCGGTTTTGGTTATCTTATTGTGAAATTGTATTTAGCAACGCTGTTTTCTTTATAAGTCACGTTGCCGCTAACAATTTTGTCATAAACATTTTAAAAACATTCACGATGAGGACTTTTTCTCTGATAGTTGCTTTGGTTTTCTTGTCAACAGCTCAAGCCGTCATTGACTGCGGTTTTGGTGGTATCTGTGGAAAACTTTCTGTGCCGAAATGCGTAACAAAGGATTGTTCGACCTTGTTCGTCCCTACTAAGAATTGATGACATGGTAATCAGAAATGGTAACCCAGAGTTCACATAATGATTAAAACTGCAAATAATAAAGTTCAGGAATCACTCCTCTTAACGTTTTGTATTGTACATTAATATTGTAACTAGTTGTAAAAATATCTACATATGTACTTGTTAATAATTGTATATTGCCCAGGCCCTTATGTACCATACTTATCCCATTTTCTAAACTCCCGGTTATGTTCAAATGGTCCTGAACGATTCCGGCGATAATAAAAAAAAATAAAGATTCGCCTGGTACTTCAAAGTGAAGTTGTATCATAAAAATTTAAGAAAATCGATCAAAAAGGTAAAACCAATCAGTTGGAAAAAGTAATAAAGTTTGTAATATGTTAAAAAATAACAAAATGTTCTCACCTTTTCTCCACTGCTTAACAAGCAGTTTTTGTAAGCAGTAGAGCTCGTGAATTTTTACCTAAGGGGCATGCCACCACCCCAAAGGTGAAAAGTGCGCAGAATCGGAAAACAGCTGACTAAGGATGTTTATCAGCAACCGAGTAAGCCGTGATAAATATTTCACGTAGTCACGGAGCAGCAAACAAATCAAATCAAAAAAACCAGAAGCAATAATACAAAAAGCAAAAGAAATGGAGGCTATGAAGGACTTGGCCCTTGAGACCTACAACATAACACTCAATCGGGAGTTGTTCATCAACGAATGGGCACAAGAAAGGTTCGTGAAACGCTTTTCCTTTTAAACATTTGTAATTAACAATTGTAATTTGTAGGTTGAGTTATGCGGAGCCCCTTTGGCATTTCTTCAGCTTACGACTTGAGCCAAACAACCTCATCACCTTTCTGATTCCCTTGAGCGGCATCTTTGGCCAGGAAATGCTAGTGCATCTTCTGGCGGCGGTCAGCCTGGTCAGCACCTTGAACTCCTTCGAAAAGTGGTGGGTACTATATCCTTGAAAGCCGGAAAAAGTAATCAAATTTAACCTAACAATTGTTTAAACGAACTTAGAGTTATCCCTTCTTGTTTTCCAACAGGATCTTTCCGGAGATGCGGCCTTTGTGGTTCCTGCGGGAGCAGTTTGCCGATAGCAAAGTAGTCGTTAAGCCAAATGTGGCCCTGTCGAGCCACCTGCTGAGCTGCGAGACGAGTGGCGGGCTGCCCTGCGGCCACTCGATGACCTTCACGGTTTACGTCCTCATCGTGTCATCCTACGTCTTTGTCTACTGCTGGGATCGCTTCGAGTCCTGGCGATCGTCCTTCCACCGCTGCCTTACGTACCTGGTGATCATCTGCCTGGTGGTCTGCATGTGGCTGAGCCGCCTCTACATGGCCACCGAGTTCCTGCACCAGTGCATCCTGGGCAGCTACTTCGGGATCAGGGCTCTCAACACCTTCGAGGGCAACATGAAGTACTTGTACTCCCGGCCACGTGGATATGCGTTGGCGTGCGTTTCCTTTCTTGGAGCACTTGCACTCACCGTTTACTTTGTAAAGCTGAGGCTCAACATGGATCCCCATTTTGCAGTGCGACAGGTAGGAAGTCATTCTTTTTATTATATTAAAAATATTTATAAGGGAGTCTTATTTTCTAGGCCTTTAAATGGTGCCCGGAACCCACTTACATGCGCCACGAAGCAAGTACAATTTTTCTACTCGTCAGAGATCTGGGAAATCTTATGGGCCTGGCACTGGCCTCTCCTCTCGATAAAGTCAAGTAATATAGATTTATAACCTCCCAATCCACATACCACTTTACTAACATATTTTGCAGGACCTCAAGGGACTCAACATTTCTTCGGCGTTGCAGTGTCCTTGGAGTTTTGGAGCTCGTCAACTATGGACTGCGTCTTGGCACTCCAAAGCAACACGGTCGTTTTGCCTTCTTGGCCTATGAGTTTCTAAGAAACGTCTTTCATTCCCTAATACTTGTAAAGTTCGTTACCAAATTTTACTAGATTAAGGTATTTTTTTTTTAATTTTGTACAAAAAGAACCTAGGCAATTACATTTAAAAATTCCAAATAATTTTTCACGGTGGTTAGTTTTCCATCATATGGACGCTCCTCTTGTCTGTGAATGGAAAGTGTTGCATTAAGTTTGTAATATCGTTTCCCTGAAGGTGAAGGGAAGTTAACTTTCTCTTGAGAAGAACTTACCAGCTTCCGTTTCTCGCTTGGCCATTTGGAGGTTGGTGTTCTTCAGGGACCTCCTCCTGTCCGATCGCAAGAGGCAGTCGACCCGATCCGCCTCGAAGAAGGCGTAGACCACGCGAACGTTGTTGGTGAATCCGCCGCCGTCCTTCCAGGCACTCACGATCACGATGGGATCGCCGTCATCGATGATCTCGGCCTTCTTGGCGGAGGTCAGGGCAAACTGTACCCGGGCATCCACGTCGGTGGCGTAGTCTGTGCTAGGTTCGGAGGTGTAGAGAACCGGCAGGACTCCGCGGTGCATGTACACCCACCGGGCGGTCCGTTCGCATCGCGTGACCGCCAGGATGGGACACCTTGGCCGGAACTTGCTCACCAGAGTGGCTGAGCGGCCCGAGGTGGTCAGCACCACGATCAGCGTGGCATTCGTCCGCTTGGCCGTCTCCACGGCGGCAATGGCCACCGAGTGGGCCGCGTCCAGCTCGCCACGCGCCTCGCTGACCAAGTCGGAGAAGAGATCCCGGAACCACAGGACCTTCTCGGCCTCCCGGCAGAGGGTGTCGCAAGTGGCCACCGTCTCCTTGGGATACGCACCGATGGCCACCTCCGAGGACAGCATGATGCAGTCCGCTCCATCGATGATGGCGTTGGCCAGGTCGAAGCACTCGGCCCTCGTGGGATGTTGCAAGGTGCGCATGGACTCCAGGATGTGCGAGCCCACGATCACCGGCTTGCCCGCCTTGTTGCACTGCCCCAGGATGCTCTTCTGGGTGATGAAGAGCTTCTCGATGGGTATCTGGGTGCCCAGATCCGCTCGGGATAATAGCAATCCATCTGCCGCTCGCAGTATCTCCGAAAATCTGCTCAAAGCGATTTTGCTATCCATCTTGGCGATGATCTTAATGTGCTTTCCCTTTTCGCCCAAAACCGATCGCAGTTCCTTTACATTTTTGGCACTCCTCACTGCCGAGGCGAACAGGAAATCCACATTGGCCTTCATGCTGAACTGTAGGTCAAACATGTCCTTCTCCGAGACGGCGGGCAAGTCGATCTCGATTTCCGGCAGGATCACATTGCAGTTGTTGTTCAACTGGCCGCCTTGAACAACCTCACAGAGAAGCCCATCCACGCCCACTTCCATGATGTGCAGCAGCAGTTTGCCGTCGTCGATGAACAGGCGATCCCCAGTCTTGGTTAGATTGATGATGTTGGGGTAGTCCACGTAGACCGCCTCCTTGTTGCCCTTGTCGTAGAGATCCCTGTTTATGGAGAGCCGCAGATTGTCACCCGGTCGCAGGAAAACATCGCCATCCAGTAAGCCAGTTCGGATCTGAGGTCCTCGCGTATCCGCCGCAATGGCCACCGTTCGAATCTGACCCGTCTCCTTGTGGATCCTCTCCAGCACCTCGTTGATCAGCTCGATCGTCTTCGAGTGCATCTCGTGGGATTCGTGGGCGAAGTTCAGCCGAAAGATGTTCACTCCCTTCATAATCATGCTGTAAATGGTGTCCGTGTTCCGCGAACTGAGGGATATGGTGGCGATCAAGGACACTAGGCGCTGATGGGAAGCCTGTTGGGAGATCTCCAGCTCGCAGATGTGGTCCAGCTCAGTGGAGCCCTCCTTGAGCACCGTTTTCGCGGAGTACGACATGGTTTTATTGAAATAAGAGGCCAAAGATAACTTGGAATTTTGAAGGAATAAAACTTATAGTAAAATATACTAAACGTACGAATCTCTGACGTTTTATGAAACGGATTATTAATGCTATGTTTGCATATCCAATTCCATACATCAATCTTCTAGATTTAAATAAATCCATAGAGAACCAGTGCATCTCAAACTGTAGGACTCCATCGCATTTTTCGAACGCCCAAAAAGTATACTGTATTTACTTTTAATTCTTTCTTTTATTTATTTTTTTTAAACAGTATTTAGTGTTTTTTGCTTACATAAATATTTGTACCTCCTCAACGATTTCTACTCTATTAACTCAAAACTGAAAACACGCATCCATTTAAGTATTCAATTATGTATGTTTTATTTTCCGGTTTCATCTAATTTTTTCTCTGCCAATAACTCGAAAAAAGCTACTTAAACGACGGAAATTATTACATTACAGTAACAGTAGAGCGCTTGCCCACGCTATTAAATTAATTGGAGCTATTTGCTAACTACCTACATACTTCGAGTGCTTAAGTACATTGACTTTAGCTTGGGACTACAACTAGTGGCAGCACAGGCACTACAGATAATTACGATTAAATAATATCGCTAACGCTAATGTAAATGCTTTGCAAATGAGTTTAAATTAATTGAAGAGAAATGTAGTTGAATGGAAGCTGGCTGAAATGGTGCGAGTCTAGGTCTAATTTGTCCGATATGTAAATGGTAACTTGGTCGATGGCCTCCTCCGAAGTGCGGTGGGAAAGGACTATCATCTGGACTATCTGCAGCCACAGGACTCGACCACCATGTTGGGCAGGGTCTTCACCGTGGCCGTGTTCCTGGAGTCCATCACGACCAGCTGCAGCGAGGAATACTGTTTGGCGGTGCAGCAGGGCACCAACTCCAGCGACTTGTTAGCACCGCTTGTGGAGAGAATTTTCTGTAAGAAGAAAAGATAGCGTATCTATGAGTACAAGATACAAAAAGAAAGACATAAGAACACCTACCATTATGGAGCTATGATGGGAGGCGGCTTGCGTAACACTCGCCACCGAGCTGCAGGATCCGCGGCAAAAGTAGGCGTTGTAGCCCTCCGGCTTCAGGATCCAGTTGCTCCAGCCGATGTCCCTGAAGGATATGTAGAGGTGCTCCCTGCAGCACTCCGTCATGCCACTGGAGCAGTTGACGCTGCGCTTCTGGCGGCTCTTCCGGCGGCGGTTCTGCATGTCGATCACAATGAAGGGTCGGTAGTCCTTGTCCACCGATATCAGCTCCTCCATGTCGGTGACGTCGCAGCCCCCCGCAGGAGATCTGGATGAGGTGGCTCAGCTCGTGGCCGCTCATCCAGTGCTTGATGGGCCACTCGATGTCGATCTTCATCCACTCATCATCTGCAGCGAAAGGAAGGGAAAGAGAAATTAGCTGAGAGTTCAATAGAATGCTGGGGTGAAAATTCTGTTTAATAAATAGAGCATTGTTTTCTTTCCACATTTCGCAATCGCAATATGTTTTGAAGCCGCTCCCTTATCAGCCAAGTGACCCCAGGAACTCCCAATTTCGGGGGGTTGTATTCGCATTCGCATTCGTTTCGCGGCCAAAGTTCAGTTTTTGCACCTCCGATCAGTGTTTTGCCATCATGTTATTCACCCACACGAATTTGGATTCGAAGAGCTCAAGAGGCAATCACGAATCTGCGAAATGATCTGTCTAATTGAAAACACAAACACGATGATGGAGCAGTGGACCAGTGGTTGTCAACGTTCCCACTTATCGGTGGTTTCGTATAATTGTTATTATAACCATCTAGTATAGGGACTTGTCACTGATTTTGATTTCTCTCCCGAGGGTACTGGGGGTCACTTCTAGCCATTCCCCATCCCGACCAAAGGTCCAAACGTGTGCGATTCTTTTTTATTTGCGAGAATTCGAATTCGGTATGATTGTATACTAATACTAACCTTGCGCATTCACCGACTGGATGGCTATTGTCTTGGCCGCCGTTAAGTACTTGGAGTCCTTCTGCTGGTCCACCTGCACCTCGGAGACCACGATCGTCTGCTGGGAGCTGGTCCCGTTCACGGATCCGTCCTGGGTGCGGTTCTGCTTGTTCTTGAAGAGCCACAGCACCGCGGTGCTCACATCGAAGCCCTCGGCATCCGCGTCGTCGATCTTGAAGCTGAAGCACATGGACGGGTTCGACTTGCCTCCTCCCAGGCGACTGCACTCGACCTCCTCTGAAATAAGTAAATAATAACTGGGTTTATAATAAAGTATAATTTTAGGTATAGAAAATAATTGAAGTGCTCAAAGTATCTCAAAATAATTATACAGCTCAGCTTTTGTTGTAAAGGAACTTTTAAGGTTTGTTTTTTAAAGAGTTTTCTGATTTAGCTTACCTCTGTTGAGCAGGATGAACTTCTTGCTGGTCCTGGCATAGTAGTCGTCGAGCTCCTTGTTCTTGGTGCTGTCGTCGGGATGGGAGAGGGTCATCCCGTCGAAGATCGGCTTGGGCAGCTCCACCGCGGAGACCTTGGGGCTCTCCTTGAGGCGCAGCTTCTCGAGGATCTGCTGCTTGACGAACTCGATGCGCAGGTGGGTCAGCTGCTCCTCGGTGATGTGCTCCACCTGGCGACTGCTCTCGCACTTGGGGCATCCACCGCCTCCGCCGCGGGGCTTCACCGAGATGGTGATGTTCCTCTCTCCGATCGGGATATCGGACTCCTCGGGGACCTGCGGCTCCAGCTCCGCATCGGGGTCCTTCTCCTCCAGGTTCTTCTGCTCCCCGGCCATCAGCTCGTTGCGCACAAAGTCCAGGGGGGAAAGGTCCTCGAACTGCTCCTCGGAGGAGAAGGCGGATCCCTCGGGAGCGTCGCCGAACATGAGGGGGAACTCCTCCGACTCTGGTGGATTCTGGTGGCGGTGGGCCTTCTCCTCCTGCTCCATGAGCAGGTTCCAGAGGCGCGGCACCTTTAGCTGCTCCCCCGGCGGCCGGTTGTAGCTGAGCTCCTGCTCCAGGAGGTGCTGCCTCTTCTGGATGACGTGGCTCCGCAGGCGGGCGTAGTACTCCTGCTTGCTGATCGGTGCCTCGTCCTCCTCGCCGGCGGGATCCGGTTCGAGGTTCTTCAGCTGGCGCGATCGCTGCTGGCGGATGTGGTGCTGCTGCTGCAGCTGCAGCTGCTGCGAGGTGTGCTGCACGTGCGGATGCGACTGGTGCTTCGGGTGCGGACGCAGGATGTCCGCCCGGGAACTGGGATGCGATCTCGCGTGCAGCCTATTATAGACATTCCTGTTCTCCAGGGCCAGGCAAACCAGCAGCACCAGGGTTATAAAGTATTTGGCCATCTTTCTTTTTTACTTGGTTTTAAAATTTACTTTTAAATTGAATTTGTTGCTTATTTCTTTCGGTTTCACTTTTGATTTGTTGGCTGGGGCTGATTGCTATCTGTTCGGCAGCATTAACACATCAACTTTGGTCGCCTCTTTGTTTACAAAACTCATAGAATCGCAGCGCTTTTCACTTGTTCTTGCCGTTTTAGAGCCTTTCGCAGGCACTTTTTAAACTTTTTGAATTTTTATTGGATTAAGCGAGTGACTTATACGCTTGGATGATGCATGATCAACTTTCTTAATTTGTATTGTTATTCTTGTCTGCAAGTGAAAAGAAAGAAATTTAAATTATTAAAAGTGAAACTAATATTTTAACTTTATTTTATTGTTCCTAAAATATGATCAATCGGTTTTTAATAAATGTTATTCAAATTAAATGAGATCTCTTTTTCTAAAGTATCTTGTTCAATTTATTCAACGATTCAGCTCTTTGGGCGTGCTGCCCCAATTAAATTTGCAATTTAATATGCCAGCGCGACAGGTGCACTTATCACTCACTAAGCCCGAAGTCTCGCTCAACTTTTCACCGAATTGCATCATATATTTTATTTCAATAAATTCGAAACGCGGCAAGTGTGAAATTTTTTGACATTTCGATTCCGGGAAGCTTCAGTTTCGTCAGGTAATTCGCGCACATTATCACCGACCCAAGGGCTAAAGGCTAATGGCTAATGGTTAATGGCTTATCTGGCCAGGATCCGTGATTCTAGATTCGAGATTCGAACTGCGCAGAGTGGCTGATAAGCAGGTGCAATTAGGTGGCAATTAGGTGGACCCCACACGTACCGAGAGCACACTCCGCTCCACTTTATGGGAATTTGATGACTGGACAGCGATCCACTTTGAACCCGGACACAAATCACGAAACACGAGAGGCTCTTCAGCTTATTGGGACTTAATTATTAGCTGGGATCGTCGCGTGTGCACTGATTTATATACGGTGTATATGGATAGGCCTTCTATATGCTTCCTTTTCTTCCGACATGCGGCAGCGCAAACGAGTTGTGAATGAATGAAGCGGTTGGCTGATTAGTAGAACCATTTATGTGACGAGCGCCGCTGATTGATCGTTCGCCAGCCGAGGCGGTACGACCATATAGCCCGAGCCACTCGTCTCCGATCGGATCGGATCGTATTGGATCGAAACCAAGCCGAGTGGAATGGGTCTCGATTTCCCAGACGATCGGACTGAGGGACGGACGGCAGACCATGGTTACATGGCGCTCTCGCCGAAGAAAATTGGATATGCAAGTGCTGGGCGGCATTGCATCAGCTTCAAGAAACGCCAAGACACCGAAATGCACAAAGTTCTTAATTGCAGTTTTATTTTTGGTTCCGCCACCGCCATCCCCCCTTCCGCTGCCACGCCCCCTCGGGGCTGGGGGCTATCTGATGGCGATTTTGGCAGCCGTTTGGCCGCAACGAAGCGTTTTGATATCAAGTGAATTTATGATCGCACCGAGAGTCAAGTCGAATCGAGTGGAGTCGAGTGCTGGTGGCCCATTCATGCTAATTGCCCCGCAGCGCTATCAAGCTTGACTTTGATGATCCGACTCGATTGTGTGTCAATCAATTAATAGTGAACACGTTGCTGATAACAGCGCCTTGCCACTTTCCAGATTCTTGAAAGGAGAACGAGATCTGGAAACCAATTCAGCGAATTAAGTTCGCTTATTACGCGTATTTCCACACAGCTAATCCTAATCGAATTCGGATTCGGGTAATAGCTGCGATTCCGATTGAAAATCACTCGCATTGCTAATGATTGGCGCCCCTTAATCGCCGCATTTATGCATCAATTTAAATGCGAACTGGGAATGGGAATGAAAGTGTTGCGATCGGGAATTTTGCGGGGAAATTAGGTGGATTTTGTTTATTTTTTATTTTCTCTGGCTGAGTGTTTATTTTCGTTGGGGAATTTCATCAGCCAGAGCATTCGTTCTTTTTTTCGCATTGGTCCCGGCTAAATGTGTAACAGTTGGGTAAGGGTAAGGTCAAGAAAACTAAATGAAGGCCGTCGCGGAAATCACGAGTTAGTTTGCCGCCTATTTCGCTTCGGTTTAAGGCCTCAACACGTGCCCGATCCGCTCGTCACGAACTGTGATTTTCAGAAGCCAATTAGATCATCGAAACGAATAGATTTGATTAATACTGGACATCCGTTTAATTGACAGAAATCGCTGTAGGCCTCAGCGAGTTCTTGCAACATTGTAGTAGTAATAACAGATTATCAAGACTTAAGATTCTTGTTATGAAATATACTAGCTTTTTAGGTACTACCCAAGTCATTAATAAAAGTTAATGATTTACATTTCAGCTTTTCACTTCCGATGGTTATGTAACACTGAGTTACCCGCTTTGCTTGGTAAACGAACTTCCAAATATATAGTTTATTTCATCTGATTCTTTATAACTCGAACCTTATATAACTCTAACCTTTTATGGCATTCTTTCTCTACTATGGTAATTACATCTACCCTTCAATTACGTCCTTGCCTTCAACATAGGTCGCTCCACTTATCGTCTCATCGCATATTTTTCCACGATCTACGTAGTTTGCCACGTTCCAAAATCTGGATTTTTTCCACGGCAAGCTGACGTCGCCATTATCGACGGCAGGGGGCCTCTATAATGGCCGATCGATCGGAGCAGATCGGATCAGGAAGTAGGGCCTGGCAAACACGCGACATGAGACACGTTCTTTATTGATTTTTTGACGTAATTTCATCTCTGCACTGGCTGGTAAATGGCAACGACTGACCGACTTATCAGAGGCAGAAATCAATCGATGACTTGGGGGTCTACCAAAGGGTTGGAGAAGGTCACTTGGAGCGCGCAATCGCGGCAGAGGAGCTACGTCATCGATCACGCAGAAGGCGCGTGATCAGAAGCTGAAGACTGAAGACTCCTCGGTTGCCACTCGGTTGCCATTCGGTTGCCAAGTGGCATGCAAATCGGAGCAGTGGGAAGTGGAGCTGGGGGAGTTGGGGGCTCCGCGAGGAGGAGGCATCGAGTCGAGGTGCAAAGTACAGAGGCAGCTGCCTTCGACTCGACGACTGACTTGACGACTCGACTCGACTCCACTCCTCTTGGGGGGTTTTCCATGCGGCTCCCCATATCATTTTCGCATTAATTACGGGGCAGCGGCTGGGGCTATCGTAATTGCCGGCCATTATCACTTGCATTTCTCTTCGCCCTGCAGTTGAATGCACTGCGACAAAATACCCCCGGCTTCCTTCGGTTTTTTGGCAGTAAGTCCGATCCCCGATCACGCCGTTCGCCGTTCGCGCTGATCAGCGTTTGGGAGCGTGCCGCGATCTGGACTTTGGAACCGCTCACGGAGATCGCCCCGATTGCCAGATTGTCAGAAGCAGCGCAAGTTAATCTGCCTTAATACTTTTCCCCCACACTTTTTCATCGGCGATGCCACCATAAATTAAGTGCAGGATTTGCTGGGATCACTGGCACCCACTAAATTTGGTTAATGTCTTCCGACGTGGCAATAAGGTGTTCTCTAAATTTGCACACGTTGGCCAATCATTTCGGAAGGTTAGGCGTAGGCTCGAAAACTGTCAATCAATCAATCAATCAATCAGTGATAGGCCTCGAATGATAAACCACTTTACAACTTGATTAATCAATAAATGATTTTCAAAATTTAAACTAGAAACTCAGGCATGACTCTCCAAAAAATGCACTGATTTACTAATGGGGAAAATATTCATTTAATAAATTACTATTCACTCTTTCTGTTTTTATGACGTTCTAAAAACACATCACTTTTTAGTTTCACTCTTAACACCGTATTTAATCGCCTAGAGAGCTTATGAATATTTTGAGTCGTCATTTATTTATTAAACAGTTCAAAAATACAATCAAACATAGAAAACGTTCATTTCAATTAATATTCACACAAAAAAATATTCTCTGTTATGCAACTCACCTTATTTAATAATCCATTGACAAAATGATTTTTTAATTAATAGTAGCACATTGCTTTTAATCCTTTTTCAAAGGATGCTTTTTGAATGTCCTTGAATGTTTTTTTATTGCTGATTGTCTTTTCAGATGTTTTCGCAAATCATTTTTGCAAACTAATCGTTGTTTTGTATTTCACCACTTGAACTTGATCTCCTCGTAGTGACGAGCTATTATTTTGTTCAACAAAAACAAATGATTTCGGATTTCCTCTTTTTTTTTAAATGATGAATATTTTGCACAACTTATTTGTCACCGAATTGGTTATTTGCCCGATTTATTTTTTTGGTCCGATCGTTGGGAACGTCTGCGTGTGAATAATTCGACGACGTGCGGCGCAGCGACCGCAAAGGCTGCCCTGGAGCGGTACGACTAACGGTATCTGTTGGGGAGCGGTGTGGGGAACGGGATCGGTATGGTATGAGTGTATGGCAAGTGGGTATGGCCCACTCTTCGGCCGGCAGACAGTTCAGTTTGTTTGATAACAGCAACGCCGATTACTGGCGCACTCCTCCGAAAGTGATGCGCAATTTTACTTTATTTTTCAAGCGAGAGAGAGAGAGAGAGAGAAGGAGCGATCTGATAAGGCCAGGCTTTCCCCCCGTGTCGTGTATTATCCCTCCTGCTCTTTTAAATCCGGTTGGTTCCGAGCGCCTCCTGCATCGAACACCCACGCGGCAGCTTCGAACATGTTCGATGGCGCGCGCGTTCGATGTTGCGGCTCGAGCGCAGCATTCGTCACCCAAAACGTGAGCTGACGTAGGTCGGCGGGGTATTCTGACTGGCCGGTGCTTTCGATCGTTCCAACAGGTCCAAAGTCCCCCGCAATCCAATCCAGCCGGATTGTTTGATTGCCGACATTGCCTAATGGTTCTCAACGCTTCGATACAATCGCCTTTTTTCCGATAGCACAAAGTCTAATTCTGTTCGGAACTCAAAGGGTGCAAAAGTATGCTAGATTGCCCAGAATGACAAGATTTTCTAACAACAAAGAACCGAATTTATGAGGCAGTAATGTACTTCCCCCTTTATCGCTCATGAGCCTATGAGTTTTTATTGGACCTAATCCTTTACCAAGTATAAGTTTCTACTCTTCAATTATGTTAACCACTTCAAATTGTTTGTATTTAGGCCTTTCCTGTTTTTTTGTTTAGTTCTTAGGCAGGGTAATTTTTTCCCCCTACGATCAGATTTTATGAAGTGCTTTTAGTTTCTTGTTTTTGACTTATTGACTCAATTGGTTAGCACGAGTGATATAATAATTTTGGAGATTTCACGCCCGCTGAGCATGGGCCTATAGAGATAACCAAGGAGGACTTTAATATGTAAATTTGTTATATAATATAAATTGAAACCTGACGCTGTGTTTCACTTTCAGACCTCATGCCAATCCACTGATTAAATCCGTCTCGAGTTTTGTTTACCTTGAGATTTCACAACAAAGCGTTCACCTCAACTAGAATACGAGGTAAGTGTACATTATACGTATACCTTCCATAATTTGTATACCCAGGATCGAGGCACGATCTGTTCCCAACCTACGTCTAATTTTCAAATGTGGCGCGCGTGCTGGAAAACACGTCACAAAGTACGTCTTATCGTGGTCAGGCCTCTAGAAACCCATTTTTAAATGAAACAGCCTTTTAATGTCATAATTAAAACAACACTGAACGAATTATTTATTTCTTACGTTCTGTACCCATGAAAAGGGTATTCTGACTTTAGCAAGAAGTTTGAATACTTACTTGCTAAAAGTGAGGTTCAAAGTTTAAGATTATAGGTACCTATTGCAATTTTTCATTATATTTAGATTCATTCAACTTGCTTATAATGATTATAGATGGCCTTACTGGTCTAGACTTTGCCCTTGCATTCGATCAGGAAAATTCTATGACTTTTGAAGTGTATTAAAATTGTTATGCCAGGAATTACTAATCATTATTATTATTTACTTCCTAAAAAAGTACACACAAAATTTTTGAATAATTAACATGATTATTACACTCCATTACATTTATTTTTA